GGGGGGGTTGTACCGAGATGGGAGGGTTCTTCTTCCGGTGAGGGAATTCAAGGGGAAGAATCTATTCTGCATGGAGGGAACAGAGATAGAGAGACTCACATATAGCATCCCGGGACCAGCTGATCCCTCGTCCACCGCGCGCGGACCTCGGCCGGCCCGTCGTCGGCAGCGGTTGCGGCGGCATCGTCCTCCTCAAGGCCGTTGGACCGCTTGCGCTTCGCCTTGGACGAGGCGGGCTTTGACTTTGACCTCGACCGCGAGGTCCGCGCCGCCTCCTGCAGCTCGGCGACCAGCTTGCCCAGCTGCCGCCGCAGTATGCCGAAGCTGCCCCACCATTGCGCGCCGCGGAACTGGTTGTGGTTGCGGTGGTTGAGCCCCGCGAGGATGGGCTGCAGCGGCTGCAGCAGGGCCAGGGCGCGCTGGTGAGGGTTGGTGTTGGTGTTGGCGTTGGTGTCCAGGGCGAGGACGACGCTGCCGGGGCCCTTCACAGCAGCTGCAGCGGCGCGTGAGAGGGTGGCCATCACATGGTGCGTGCGGCTTCTGACTGGGATTAAAGATCAGCGTGCGGATGTTGAGTTACTTTGCTTTGAGCCGGAGGTGAAGTTCTTATAAGATGCTGGAGTAAAGGTTTGATGTGAATGTGTGGTGGAGCAGCCGTGTTGAAAAGTTGGCTCCACTTTCGGACAGGCGATTCTAAGTGGTGCTGACAGTAGATCCAGACGGTGAAGGGATGTTATGTGTCCGAATTGGTGGCTGCTACTTACGATACCGGTGTAATTGAAAATGCCATGCGAATTATACGATTTAGACATCACGGTTGATAATGAAAGTCTATTCGATATCCAGATGCTGTCATGTTGGCCGTCATGGCCGACTGGAAACAAGTTCGTCATTTCCAGGAAGTCTAGAGAAGTGGACTATGTTATACACTTATTCCACGGCCGGCGCCCAGGCCACAACTGTCTCTGCTTCCCATATATCGAGCTCAATTGCATTCTTTTGTGTAATATTTTGCTGTCAATATACTGGTCTATCCTGTTATATACAGTATCCCAACTAAAAGAACGGCCGCCTATCCATGGCCGTGGAGTTGTATGTACCTAGATCCAAGCCGAGCTCCCCGCCTGTATCCGAAATGAGTGATGATCCATGCGCGCCGTTGATGAAAGAATGTGTGGTATGTCCCATTTGAACCGCCAACTCCTTGCCCAAAGATGTAACCATTATTCGTGACCCGTAAACCTCATGATGCTTTCCTCCCCGGAGAGTTGCCAGAATATCTTTTCCATCTCCGACTACAACGTCGACCTCTTGCTGCCCGACATCAGCTGCGATTTCGACGAGTTCCTCCACTCGTGTATCGAGTCCTCCCAGCCCGGCCCCGCGGAATCCCAGCTCCACCCACTGTTATGGTCGTAGGTGGCCCGCTCCGTCCTCTTCTCTCTGACATGCGCCTGTGGCGCCATCGTGATCCTTGCACGACCAACACCGTACTGGCCGCCGGTCTCAGCCATCTCGACGTCGCCCTGATCCGACAGACCGCGGCAGTGGAACGCCGTGGACCGGACCGACAGCCTCGAGGACTGGCGCCGCGGGGACGCGCGGATGGTGGTGCTCCGGTAGTGCCCGCGCGTGGGGTCGACGGGCTTCCGGAAGAGCGGCCGCAGCGTCGCGATGGACGAGGCGATCAGGCCCAGCCCGTTCTCCACGGTGCTCCAGATGAGGAAGTCGGTGAAGACGTACAGGAAGTCGGCGTCGTGGGTGAGCTGCCAGACGTAGGGGATGCGGATGAGGGTCGCTGATGAAGCACTGGAGTTTCACCATGTTAGTTTGAGCAGTTCTATACCGCACGGTAGATTGGCAATCAACAAAGTTGCAACGTACATGACGCCCAGCCCCAAGATGGCAGCGATGCTGATCTTGCTCCGCCGGCTCAGCTCCAGGTTCCACACGAGGGCCACGGGGAGCAGGCCCAGGACCCAGTCGGCGAAGGCGTTGACGGCCGAGGCGGCGTACGTCGAGCCGGTGGCGACCTCCTCGCTGACGCAGGTGCCGCGGGGCGTGGTCGGCAGCACGCGCAGCCAGAAGTAGCCGATGGGCCGGCACTGTAGCAGGGCGATGAGGAAGTAGAAGATGTTGAAGGCCAGCACGACGGCCAGCACGGCCCAGATCGCCGCGCTCTGCCACCGCCGCGAGCAGATGCGCAGCAGGAACAGGCTCACGGTGAGCTTGAGGAAGACCGAGGTCAGGATGTAGGCGATCTCGCCGAACCAGCGGGCCTGCAAAGGGGGTTGTGAGTGTCAGTCATGGGGACCGTGTGTAGATGGCATGGTTGTTTCTCTCACCTTCAGGGCCTCGGGGATGTCTTCCGGTGGGACATCCGAGAGGTGTTTCCCGGCGCCGTGTTTGATGCTTAGGAAGACACAGGTGCAGTAACACGCGAAGAATGCCTGTATTGCACAAATCAGCAACTGCTTCCTCCAGAAGACGTAAACAATTAGTGTTTACCATGGTCACCAGAGCCATCCAGTCCTCCCACCGGAACGACTTGATAACGTAGAGTCGCACATAGCATCTCAAGGCCACCGTGACGCTGGAAACCGCCAGCAGCGTGACCGTGATGTTGAACATCAGGGGACTCCGATCATTCTCATCTTGCGCCATGGTTGTCTGTCGCTGAGTATCATAGATGCCAAGGCCTGTGTTCATGTAAGTCGACAGATGTAATTCAAAGTCAAAGCGTCAACCCACGCCAGCCGAAGGCCATCAATAAACAGAGACAGAGTCACATCCGCGAGTATAGCACGAGGGCGCAAGCCGAGATATACCACAGAATGCTACCCTTCGCCGCAGGCCCGCACCTGGGGTGCCTGGCCCAGGTGTGTATGGGTCGATGCCTCGGGAGATCGTCGACCAGGGCCTCCGCGACGCCGGGGACGCGGGGGAGGATTCTCGCCCCATCTACTGTCTGCCATCTACTCTATCGGTGCTGTCCAGCGCACGCCTCCATGCCGCTCTTAGTCCGCAAGGGGGAACTGCTTCCTTTAGTCACGGGCGCCCAGATCGCAGCTCGTCTTGCAAGCTGCCGCACGTGGTATGTATGCGCGGCGGCTCACCGCAGGCTCCAGAGGCGCCACCACGGGCCTCGACGGAGGCATACGTATACTCGTGGACACATCGCCGGCTTATCAGGCCTGCCTGGGTCGGACGAGGGGCGCGCGCACTGCGCCCTCGTCCGAGTAGGTCCATGGCCCAGGATAGTAGACAATGCCCGTCGTATAGCCGAAAGATATGAAAGCGGACGCGGTCTCACATGTGCGCCTGACAGTGCCGCGGAGGCGGCGCATCGGACGCAGGTCGTGAAACGGGAAGCTAAGCCCGCCGTGGCGATTATGCGTTCCGGGGTCAGGCCGGATTAGGAGCACGGGAGCACAACAAAGTTTTTGGAAGACATACAAGAGAGCATGGATGACTCTCGTGTTCCGCCGTGGGTTCAAGGTGAGTTTGGGTCTTTCAACAGCCCTTGGTCCTGTGAATGGTCCCTCAGTGCTGCGGGGATGCCTCCGGCCGACACTCGGCGGTGCATTCGGATCCTACAAGCTGGGGCCTTCGGCACGCAATATTTAGAGTAAAGCCATTGCGCAGGCAAATGCTCAAGATGAGCTGAGCACCGGCCCTGACCATTGAGCTTAGAGGCCATCCAAGGCACTAATCTTCTGCGGAGCTCGCTTTGACAACTATGCGTGCAAATGACACAGGTGCCAGAAGATACGAGGACAGGTCAGTATCAGCGAACGGCTAGGTTTAGATGTGTCTTGCGAGTTCCGTCACCAAGGCCAACGACCTTCCGTTTGTATAAGACACTTGTCCAGATTCGGCAGATCTGAAAATGGTTGACTGTCCTGTGGCTTCAGATAGTATGGGAGATCTGACGAAGCAGATCAGAATCCGGCAGGGGGCCGCTGCAGGTGCGGGACGAGAGCCGGCGCTAGAAACGGGGTTGCAGTGCATGGGACGTCTTGGCAACCGTGGCAGCCAACTTCACGTCCTCTTTCTTCTTGAGTGGCTGAGTGCAGTATCAGCTTGAGACTTCACAAAGCCCCACGATGATAACGAGTTTTGTTTGTCAGAATCATGAGTTCATTGGTTCTGATCTATCTATCTCCAAGGCCCAACCCTGTACGAATCACGAAATACGGCCTCAAGAGAGGCTCCATGCCTACATCTTCTGTAGGACCAGGCACCGGCCTGTTTCCGTTCGGTGTCTTCCGTAAAAGGCCGATGGCGGCGACACAGCCGCGTCCGTCGCAATGAAAACAATGCCGAGTGGGTATCGTCCGCGACGCAAATCAGGAAAACAAGGAAAATCCGGGACCATCACAAAGGTCCAGTCGACACACCATCATTAACCACCCTGTCCATGCCCCGTCCGCTTCCATATCAAACTTTGTCTCGTCAACGTCCAGGCAAGGCTTGTGCCGTGTAAGTCGATCGTGGGCGACGATGATTCCGAAGAATGTTGCATGAAAACTATTTCACTGTTAGTTAAAGGCTTGATATATATGTCGCCGATATAAACATGATTGGAAATAATAGAAAAGATATATGTATGTCGCCGACATTGAGTATAGGTATAAGAAGGTATATACGTGTCGCCGAAGTTCAGTACAGGGATATACATGTCGCCGACATGTGTAAGAAAAAAAAGTAAAAAAAATATACATCATGAGAATGTCATGGTGTATATATGTCGCCAGGGGGTAGGGTGGGAGAAGAGAGGGAAGGACGGCAAGTAGAACATACCTGGCGGTGACATCTAGGCTGGTGAAAACCACATCTCGTGGCGGTGTGTCGGTCAATCATAGAGAATCAGGAAAGAAGCAAAGAAAGGTAGGAAATCGGGCCAACTATTCTCTGTTAGTGAACATTATCACGCTGATTAGAGTGGGAACAGAAACTCACAACATCTCTTAGCCCTGGTGAAAGTGGACTTTGTCGAAGAGATGTGTGTGAAAGGCCGCTCTAGAGATGGTGTCAGCAATCGAAAGAGCATGTGTGTCTTGGGCGCCAGGCTGCTTGCCAGGCTGCTTACCAGGCGACTTTAGTCCTCGAGGCGGACGGCGTAGAAGCCACCCCAGGGGGTAATGTACCATCGGGTGGGCAGTCGATCAATGGTAAATCGGTTGCGCTTGGTCCAGTTACCATCGAGCTCACGAAGAAGATACATGCGGGCGGGGTCGTCGTCATCAGGCTTGAAGTCCTGAGGCTCCAGGAGATTATCTCTGTGCATCGACTCCAACAGGTCGAGCGTGTTCTCTCCCTGGGTCTTGCCGACGCCCATGATGTCGGGCGGCAGCATGCCGTGGGGGAGCGAGCTAGGGGCACAAGTACCTGTGATGAACTGAGGCTGGCCAGCGGCCATGGTGCCGACCTGGACTGCGGGCTGAGCAGCGCCAGGAGTCTGCATCGCGTAGGCAACGCCCGGCGTGGGCATGGCGGCAGGCATACCGGGCATCATCGCGGCGCCGTTATACATGGCAGCATGCGGCTGCGGCTGGTATGCCATCATCGGCATCTGGACGGGAATGGCGGCAGCGCCAGGGTGGACCTACATTGGACGAGCTTGTTAGCAAAGTCCAACAAGTTTTGTTTGCAATGAAGGTGAAAGCGAAAGTGAAGGGGAAATGAAAACAAAACGAAACGAGGGGTGATCGAGCTGTGATTCATGGCACATCGATTGATGCGACGCCATGCCAAGCCAGGCCAGGTCAGATGTTGGTGAATTTGGACGAATCACTTGCATTGTAAGGATAGAACTGAGCCGGCTGCGGGTACTGCTGCTGCTGCTGCTGCTGGAGAGGAGCGGCAACGTTCATCGGAACACCCTGCTGAGGGTATCCGGCCTGCGTAGCATAGACGGGAGCAGGGGCGTTGGGAAACTGGCATTCGCAAGGGCCCGAGTGGTAGGAGGGGTAAACCTGGCCAGCGGGGTACGCAGCCGGGGCAGCAAACGGAACACCATTGTCATATCGAGGTCGATAGACATGGTGCATCGGGCCGTAGGTGGTGTCGGGTACGGGCGGCTGGAAATGCTGGCCCGTGTTGGGCATGGTGCCATTACCGTAGTCGGCCATGGTGAGGTTGGAAAGAGTGCGAAGGAGTCTTCCAATTGCAGCTGTGAGGGCAGAGAGGGCTGTGGTGTCTGGGTCTTGCGCAGAGGGAGAGCTTACAAGGTCGTTGTGGTGATGGAAGTGGTTGTGACTGGCCCCGGAAGGGATGAGATTGCCACTCAAGTAAGGAAAGACGCCCGGGTGATTGTGGTGAACGTAGGAGTGACCATAGTGGGGGCTAGAGTGGATGAATTGATTATGGTAGGCACCTCTCTGAAGGGATTGGCCTCTCTGAAAGAATAAGGGCGTGTTCCAGGCACCAGGACCCTGCTGAGCCTGAGGTTGATAACGACCAGCTCTGTGCTGGTACTGGGGCTGCGGGCCAACGGCAGGATTGGGACCGTTCACAGCAGGTTGGGCATTCCGAGAGATAGTATGCTGCACTTGAAGACGGTCGCGCGAGCCTGGGAGAGCCGGCAAGAACCAGCGAGCAGGATCACTGGCTGTGCCAGCGCTCGCATACGACGGTGTCTCAACTCTGACTCTGGTCGTTCTGGTGCCGTTACCGCCAGCAACGCCGCCCGCATCACCGCTGGAAGAGGGACGGCTGGAAGAGGGTTGGCTCGAAGAGCGCTGGCGGCCGGAAGCGGGCTGGCTCGAAGACGGAACGCTAGTAGCCGGAGTTTCGTCCTCAACGGTCACCTTCTTGCCTTTGTCCTCGGACGGCATCGTGGGAGTGTGATGTGGATGTATGGTTTAGGGGGCGAGGTCGACGAATCTGGGGAAGGGATATCAGGCGACGATGTCCCCAGAGGGTGTGATTGGGACTCGACGAGTCGTAGAATGATGAGGTCGTCTAGGCTCGGGGTGAGAATGTCTCAAGAGAAAGCCTTGTTCTAGCTTATGCAGCAGGCGGAAGAGGGGCAGAAGGATTGGGCGAAGAGTTCACTCGGAGCTGGACTGCTCGCCTGGGTGTGAGTGATGTTGAGACAAAGATATCTCTGGGGGGAGATTGTAGCGGATTAAATATAAAACTGGAGGGAAGGTGAGTGGGCCAATTAGGTATCCAATTCACATTGAAGTGAATTCAAGTCTTTCATAAATTCACTTTGATGGCGAATTGAGGTTCAGATGAATGGACTCGACTCTGGATTGTTGTTCGAGACTTGGTGGAGGTAGTTGCCAAGCTTTCTCAAGAGGAAAAGTTTGCATAGTGGCATAGGTAGCAAAGAATGAGTTGTCAATGGACTTTTTTTTGCTGAAGTCACTCCTCCATGAGTCTCTGCTGCGGTGATGGGGGAAGCCGAACCCGGGCTACAGCATATCGAGCCGGAGAACGTGAAAAGCGCGATGGTACGGATGAAAACACGCAGATGGAACCGTAACCCTCCAGAGCATCCCATGTGCTGGTATCGGATGGACAAAATTCACTTCACTTATCGGCCGAAAGGCATCAAAACATAGCAGACCTGGTGCGTCAAGGGGGCAACATGTTGGCTTCGGCGAGTGAACGGAAAACGACGGAAAAGAATCAAACTTACAATATTCCCTACAACCGGAGCCCATTGTCGGCCATTCCATACGTACTGGAGCGCTGGCTGGCGTTGCTGGCGGCGCTGCTGCAGTTCGGTAGCCGAATCGTCCTCGAGGACAATGTCTTGAACGGGCCAGCACGGGAAACACATCTTGAGTAAAGTCTGTGTGCTTGTTGTGGTCGTGATGATGGAATTAGTGAGTTTCGCGGGCGTTGATGTTGTGGTCTGGTGTAGTTTTCGGCCGATTAGAATTTTTCTCTCAATGCAAATGGAGAGTGAATATGTTGTGTTGTTCTGTCCTGATACCAAGCGGCGGCAGTTGCGACAACAGGTAGAAGGCTCTTCCACCGCAAGACACAGGCACCCACCTTTGCCGACACTTGCACGAATGTGAAGGCTCACAGCCAATACAAAAGGATCCCTTCAAAGCTTCTGCTCGGACTTCTAAACCGTAAGCTCAAGTTCCTCATTCTGTTGCACTCTACAGCTATGAGATTTGTCTAAGGTCCCAAACGCAACCGGACCTCGATGCACAAACGAGATATTCTACGATCATTTGCATCACAAGATACTCAACTGGGACACGGATATGTACAATCAGATACCACTCTGACGCAGAGGGCATTGTCTCCTTACTGTCAAATCTATAAACACACAGCATCCAGCGCCGGCCGATCCTGAATTCAATTCGACTGGTATACAAACTTTGCTGTAATAACCAATCCACACGTCCTCAAAGTCTCATAGCCATGGTACACATGCCAACGGAGGCGACACAACCCTAGAGGGTTGATTCAACCCTGTAGCCCACAAACACTTCAGGGGCTCGTCATTCCGAGGTCACTCCATACTGGCTAAGGCAGTACGTTGTTCCTCTAGAAGCCAGGTCTGGAGCCTCATCAGTATAAATCATGAAGTTGCTAAGGTGAGAGCGAGCACACCTGAATAAAAGCTGGAATCTCATCGGGGTTTTTGGCATGGTCCTTGACGAGCTGCTGAAACTCATCCTCTGTCTCCAACGCCCGCCACTCGCTCGTGTCCGTAAGCTTCTTGAGGGATTTGGATAGCTTCTTGTACAGCCACTTGCGGTCTTGCTCGTCTTGGCCTTCATCGTCTTGCCCCAGAAAGTCCATGAACTGGTTGATCCCCCCATCTGCAGGGGACATGGAGACTCCATGCACATTGTGACCCCAGCTGGCTGGATGGAGGGGATCGACAAGGGAGTCGAGCCAGGCGTGAAGGTCTTCCAGGCTTTTGGGTTCCGCAGTGTGGTGGCATTTGTACGTCATCTTGTTATGGTGGTCGTAAGTAAGGAGGCAGACCTCTATTTCGGGCTCCCGGGGCTTGGAAGGGAATTGCAGGTCATGCTTGGCCAAGTAATAAACCTGTTCGTCGAGAATATTAATGAGACGTGCTCGGAGCATACCGATTACTTTCATGTGTTGGGTACCTTTTCCTTGGTCGTCATGTCCTCCAAGGGCTTTGGGCCCAACCACGCGATCAGATCGATCTTTCTGATATTCTCATCCAGCAGCGGCGTAATAGCGGAAACGACCGCGGGGTCTCCTAGCATAGCCATCGAGTCGCCATGAAGCGCTCGCAGCTTGGGGTCGACCGGCGCGGCATCATCACAGCATACCCGGAGATAGCCATCATCCGGGATCAGAGCCAAGTAGAATACTTCAGACCGGCGGGCGTCACCGTTTGATGTAGAACCAACTTGGCAAGCCTCAAATAGCATCTCTTGCATCGTCACGCGAACGCCGTTGGCGCGCCAGGTCTCGACATAGGACGAGACAAGCTGATTCTTCAGCTGCTCGGGCGTGGTGACCGTGGCGGCTGGCGATTCGGCCATGGCTACCGGAACCAGGTCTGGACTGGTTGATGGCAACGAAACCTCGCAAAGGCTAAGATCGAATACAAAGGTCCAAGTCTGCTAACGTGAGGGGCGGAAGCATGCTTATGGCCGTAATTTTGTTGTCCTGCTTCGATCCCAAAATCTCGTTGCCGCCAGGGTGGGATAAACAGGCTAGGTACTCGAACAATCCAATTGCAGGTGGCCTGGCAACACTAACACCAACACCATACGAAACATGCGGAAGGAGCTCGGCTCAGGGTCATGAAAAAATCTCAATTGCCATCCCAGTGCTGACTAGAACGCCTACCTAACCGCACTCCACAACTGCGGACTGCCTTCTAATGCGCTTCACCGTCTATGTTACACGTCCAGCCAGAGGAGAGATGATCCATCGCTATGCGACCAGCCCAAGGAGGCACCATTTTTCAGGTTATGATGTCAGAAGAATTACATTTGTCGTAGAGACCTGGGGCGAGGTCCCGTATTTATACACAGCACCCGAAACGTAGGTTGCCAGAATACCGTGAGGTGCTTCGGGATCCAATTTTTTTTTTTTTATAAAGCGGTTCGCTTCTTATAGTCGTTGTTCCTGCTCAGTCGGCTCTGCGAACATGGCGCGTCGGGTCACCTGTTTCCGAAGTCAGTTCAGTGCCCGTGCCACTTGCAGCGGTTGACACAAAAGGGGGGTTCACTTACAGCCCATGCTCCAGCAATCGAGGCGACAACTCCTCCCGAAACCATCATCGGCCGCAGGCCTCTCGTGCTCTTGAAGAGCATGCCGCTCAGACCACCAGCCAGAATCGTGTTGAATGCGTCGTGCTTGCCCCTGGCGTAGCCGATACCAGAGTTGAACAAGTTGTAGCAGATGGCGACGACACCGGCCGAGTTGCCGAGGAAGGGGCCGCGTCGCGTCACAGCGTTCAGCACCGAGTTGAGACGTAGTTTGGGAGGCTGGTTCGCCGACCTCCTCAGGCCCTCCTGCAGACCCCAAGCACCTCCGAGCGTCAGGGCGGTCAGGTACGTGATACCGGTTCCATAACACAAGTCATCGCTGAAGCCGCGAGACGGGATGGCGGACTGGGCGCCGGGGAGATCCGACAGGGCCGAGTCCTCGAGGGTGATGTATTCTAAGGTGTCTTTGTTCAAGCCGGCCAGGGGGTGCAGTTGCGACGGGTCGGCGAAGGCGGAGCTCTTGAGGAAGGCATCAACGCCCTGGGCCTCCGAGGGGTCGAAGGGCGGGGGCGCGAATGTGGTCGTCGGCGCCGTGTCCGGGGATGAGGCGTTGGCGGATGTGGACGATGGTGATTGCTGTGATGACGAGGACGAAGACGAGGACTTGCGTCCTGTGAGGGTCTCCCAGATTCCAGACATGGCGGCGGCGGACTGCGAGGGTCGAGGACTGAGGTATTATGACAAAGAAGAGCGAGCGCGCCGATGGGGAGTGGATCCGAGGTGTCCGTCTGCGATGTCGAAGCGTGTTCTTCTGAGAAAGGGGGGGTGGTCGTTGTCTGCTGTCGCAGTCGCAGTCTGGAGGCGGCGCTGCTTCGAAAATGCTGAAGCTCCCCCCAAGCCCGGACACGATAAAAAAATTCGGTCCGCGATTAAGTCAGATGGCCCGTGCGCCGACAGGGATCCTTGCCTCATGGATTCTTGGAGAGCTGGGATCGTTTAGAGCACACATTACTAGCGGAATTTGCTCGCGACTTGGGGAACGGGCAACTCCAAATTTTATGCTTGGGTCAGGGAGGAAACCGCTCTGATAGGATCATCAAGTTCAATCCTTGCAGTCCAGTCTGCGATTCTGCCCCCAGGTCCAAGCTGAGGTCTTTGGCCTCGTCATATCCACGCATTGTGGGGGAAGAACGACGGCTTTTCTCAGAGCGCCTGCATGTGATCCTGGCCATGAATGAAAGTTGCAAAACCAAGACCTTCCACTTTTCTTGACTGTTTTCCGGGAGGACGAGGACGAGGACGAGGAAGATCATGAACGCTATAGCAGCCCGGGATGCCTATCCTGGCCTCGCGGAGCAGTCGTTCAACCCTAGACATGCCGTCTCTTGGATAGAAGAAAAGCCGGCGACCGCCCAAGTCTTGTAGGTTACTTCATCAAACAGGCTTGCGGGAATGGTTGCTTATAGGTGAAAAAGGTATGCCCATGATATCTTCCAGGACTTGCTCCAGAGCGCCGCCAGGCCCAAGCAGTCGTCCGGGCACGCATGTGTCAAGCTGTGTGGCTTCGTCGACCAATGCGCCAAGGCCGAGTCTCCTGCCTTGCGAGAATATGCATTTGCCGAGAAGACTGCCTATGACCTCTTCAATTTCTACGTCGAGTGGAACGAGCAAGACCAGCACCGCTCCATGCGGCTTGTCCTAGATCTCCTCAAGCTCTCCATAGCAAAGAACCCGGACCAGGAGATGGGCACGTCCATCAAGACAAGGATCTTGCATGACACTATTTCCTACATCACTCTGCAGTCGACCAAACCCTCCATCAAATCTGCCCTGACCGCCTTGGACTACTTCTTACAAAAGAAGCTGATTTGCCTGTCTGATATCCTGGGCACGTATCGTCAGCTCCACCAGTCCCCGGAGCACGATGTAGACTGGGACAGCTTCATTGCGAAAGTGTTTGCGTGGATGGAGATGAAAAACATCTGGCCCATTGCTGGTAAGCTTCTAGTGAGCATCTTCACAGCGCCGCAGAACCAAGACGAGGGGGCCATGTTCCGCCCCGACTCATGGCACAGATTCTTGCACGCAGGTGTGACAGCGAACGTCGAGCTCCTTGAAGCCTTCCAAATCTACACACTTATACCCCTGTTCAAGACTGACAAGGAGCAAATGTTGCAATATCTCGATGACTTGTTCACCTTGCAGGGTCTGACAAAGGATCAAACTAACCTTGATATCAGCTCGATGATATGGCTTGCAGCATTGGAGGCAGGGAAGAAAGTCGGCGTCCTTGGCGAGCCTGGTAGCGGTATGCTCCCCGTTCTTTGCATGGATATATTTACTGACTTGGCAAGAAACGGATGGTAAAAGCCACCTGCAACAGGGCGTACTCGAAGACATCCTGTCTCATACGTCGCATGAAGCTCGTTCTTCCGCGGTCTCAATCTTGATCGCTTCACCTTCAACTACAAAACCATATACCACAGGTTCTCTTGATTTGTTACGGAAACATCTACCTGCATTCCATGCCGACACCGACGCAAAGTTCAGATACGACGTGCTGGGTCTTTCTAGAAATATGATTGCCCGCATACTTGGGGCAATTGCCGCGCTTCGTCGAGATTGCGAGCGGAAGTTTAAAAAGACCAAGAAGAACGAGGCTCGAAGCGATCTTCCAGACAGCAACTCGAATGCGACCAATGCCATTGCGGAGTTGAAGTCTCTATTACAGCACCACGAAGAGTTTCTGTCTTGGTATTTGAGCTTCCTCAAGCACGAGTTGGTTCCTACCGCTTCTTACCAACGCCATATAACTTCTCTGAAGGTTATGGAATTCATTCTGAAATCAGGCCTGCTCAAGAGTTACCATGACGAAACTCAGGAGTCTAAACTCAAGGTACCCCTCTTTGACACGACGTGGCTGAGAGCCGTCTTGGATCTCATCATGGACCCATTCGAGGATGTTAGAGAAACGGCCGCAGGGCTCTTGCTGCTGTTATCCTCTTCCGACGGAACAACGCTTCTAACAGACATCCCAACCCCCATGGTAGACAGCCTCGAGGAGTTTTGTACAAGGGCTAACACTCTTGCTCTGCGAACCTCGCGCGCCGACCATTCGGACGGTGTTGCCAGGTCCTTCGAGGTCCTCTGTCACTGGACAGTATCTAGGGAGGACAAGCTGGCTATCCCAGGCAGAGTCTTGGAAGATCTTGAGACAAAGCTCTCAGCAGCTGAGCGTGACCTTGCTTCAGCTGTACTGGATGCCCCCATTCATGGAGGCTTTGCTGCTCTCCGGTAAGATTTCCGGTTCTGTGCACTGAATTTATACCTGGCTGACACCAACAGCTACATTTGGGGGTCATTGTCTTCTGTTAAATACACACAGGGGGAGCTTGACGTGTTGAGTTCCCTGCAGTCTCGCGCAGTTGCTTGTTGTCAGAGAATTTGGTCTACGGTTCGAGTTGTTCTTTGTGACGACTCTCCTGAAGGCCATTTACCCGAAGAGCTAGAGGAAGTAGATGGGCTTGATACGAAGGATTTGCTGAGTTACAGCTTCCGTGCGATCCACGAGTCCAGGTTTGTTCCACCTGTTCTCCTAACTTTGGGGAAATGTAGCTTACGTTTTACCGTAGTCATCTACTTCGTGTTATTGCTGGCAACGCCAGATCACCACAGAACGCCGGCCTCGTCAGGCCCTCGTCCGATACGTTCGAAGTTATCGGAAATCTGACATTCGATCAGCTGTCCAATCTCAGGCATAGGGGAGCGTTTACTACCGTGTCCCAGACATTTAGTAGCTGTTGCCAACTAGTCAAATGGTTCCCATCGCCTTCTGCTGACGTTCAAGGTCTTCTCGACCAGTGGTATCAGGTAAATACAATTTCGTCCCTATAGAAATCCACCTCGGTCTAACATTCTCAGGGTGCTTTGAAATGTATCTATGGGCAAGCCTCAACAACAAGAAGGTCTGCGGGCATACCGGCTCTTGTGGTTGGCATTCTGTCGTCAAACGCGACGCAGCCTTCTTTCCATACTGTCATGCTTCAGCTGCAGGATATTGCGCGGCAAGAAGCGCGCATCTCGGAGACGGATGGTTCAAACTTGCCCCAAGTTCACGCTCTCAATTGCATCAAGGACATATTTAAGAGCTCCATGCTCAGCAGAAGGGCGGAACCATATCTAACGGACTGCCTGCAACTTGCGGCAAGCAGTCTAAAATCAGAAGTGTAAGTCCTCCTTACCTACAGCAAATGATGACACATTTGCCAATATCGTGGACAGGTGGGCTATCCGCAACTGCGGCCTTATTTTGTTGAGGAGTCTTATCGATGTTCTCTTCGGAACGAGCGAGAGCAAAACCTCCATGGAGGCGGGATGGGACGGCCGAACAACAAGGATTGCGTGGCACAAGTATCCGGCACTGCCTGCTTTGCTTGTGAGCCTGCTGGAAGCTGGCCAGGTGAATATCGATCTGACCAAGGGAGCCACGGCAGAGTCTGTGTTCCCAGCGCTAGACATTATCCGCCGTGCCGGGCCACCGCAAGACTTCAAGGATAAGCTCTACGGGACCGTCTCGTGGTATCTCGGGAGTCACTTCTGGCACGTGCGGGAGATCGCGGCTCGGACGCTCTGTTCTTTCCTACTTCGGCCACAGTGGCTCGAGCCTCTTCGGGATATACTGAGAGAGTCCCAATCTTCAGCTAACAAGTTGCACGGGGCTCTCCTGACGTTCAAGTTTCTCCTAGAGCGTCTGCTAGATGCGATGCCTGAACAACTTATCAGTGAGTACCTTGAATTTCTTGTTCTTTGTCCACAACGTCAAGAGTACTTTCTAATCCATGGCATAGAAGAGTATCCAGCTGGTCTATTAGACCTTATCGAAGAGATACGCAGCGCAAATGGCAGTTTCCAGACTTGCTCTGAAGCACGCGCGGTGTATTACGAGATCATTACCTTTATTAACGAATTATCTACATCCCAGGCGCTGTCTAGCAAGTCACGGGAAGCGGTTCTCATTGAGCCAGCCTCTGCTCAACTGTCAAACACCCAGCAACGACACAACCCGTCAGCACTGGAATTATCCAAGAAAGCACGGGCTTCCGCGGGATACGATCTACAGAAGGTGACGACCTCATCATGGAAGGGCTTGAACATCGGTCTCAGCTCAACCATCGATGATATCAACGTAACATGCGATATGCTGGAGGAGGTTCTGCTATCGTACGAAGCAAACCATCTGTCCTCTTTTGATCAAGCCACAGAGGCGGCTTTGATGGAAACATGCATGGCGACATGTTCGGAGACAGACGCTCCTGAACTACGAGCCCTCGCCCTTAAGATTATTACGATTCAGCTCGACAGAATACTTGGACAGGGGTCGAGAGATATCCTCCCGTCAAAGGAGAGGCTTACTGCGTTATGGGATGGCCTGCAGACAAAGCCGATGAACCCTGGGCTGGCAGACTCGGTCATACAAGCCAGCGGGTCTCTTATGGCTGCCATAATCAAACAGCAGTCTGAAGATGGTCAAGATCCCAGTCCGGCAAGTCACCTCAGGTCATGGGGAGTGATGATCGCTCACGCCGGATCCGTGGACAACGTACGTTCTCTCCTCTCCTTCTCCGCAATGAATTCCCTCCAGCCCAGCATATTAACACAAATCAACTCCAGGGCTTCGACACCCGCATGTCCGGGATCCAGGCCATCCGGTCCTTCACATCCCACACCGACCTCTCGGCCCCCAGCCCCGCCCACCTGCCCGTCCTTCTCGCGCTCTACGACTACCTCAACGACGACGACGACGAGATCCGCGACGCCGCCGCCGCCGCCACGCTGCCCATCCTCGGCAAGCCCCTGGTGTCCATGGAAGCCGGGGCCCGGCTGCTGTCCTGGCTCGGCGCCCGCTTTGGCGACGACACCGAGTTCCGGGCCCACGTCGCCTGCCGCCTGGTCGGGCACCCCGCCGTCGCCGCCGTCGCCGCCGCCCAGACCACCGAGGCCCTCCTGCGCGACTGGGCCCCCGCCGCGGACCAGCTGGCCACGGCCCTGCGCTTCGACGACGCGCTGTTCGTCGTCGAGGAGCAGAACCTGTACGTGGACGAGGTGCGGGAGGCGCGGCGCTGGCGCGACGTGTACGTCCAGATCCGCCTCGCCCCGTCCCCGGGGTCACAGGAGCGAAAGGAGGCCGCCGGGCCGGGGGTCGCCACCACCGCGGACGACGAGAAGCTGGTCGAGTGGACGACCGCGGGCCTGCGGACGCTGATCCAGCTCGCCGACGCGCACCGCGACGACGGCGTGCTCGGCTGGACGTCCAAGCCCGAGGTGTTTGCCATCTGCGCGCGCATCGTGACCGCGGGCGCCGTGCTGGCGGACGCGCACCCCGGCGTCAAGGAGGAGCTGCGGAGGTTCGTGGAGAAGGGCGCGGGCAGCCGGGTGCATGGGCTGTTGCTTGGGATGTGTGGACGGGAGTGATTTGCGATTAGACGTAGAGGGAGGCCCACCGGGCTCGGATCATGGGAGAAATGAAAAGTTGACTTTTGATTTGCACCTTCGTCTTCTCTGTGATTTGTACCTTTTTGAAAGTGGGAGATATGGTAATATATTTCGTGTTAGTTGAAGACTCATTCTTACAGCTCCACGCTTTTTTGTCATAAGAAATTTTCCATTGAGTTCATATCATAGTCATATTCTAAAAGGATGATCGCGGGTGCCGGCCACGCCAGCACTGGTATAGGGTGATACACGCACAACGTCTTGTAAGCAAAGATGTACAAAGCAACGCATGCAAAAATCAGGCTCAATGCTCATTCCATGCATTCCAATCCCGTCCCTGTGAGAATGCTCCAAGAAAAGAAGAACAAGCAGGATGGCTTCGTCGTCTCACCGCCAGCCTCTCAAGCCATGCTCCCCCTCCTCTGCTGGAGCCGGCCGGCCCCGTCCTCGAGCCCCTGTCGCAGCCAGCTCCGCATACTGCCCACGCTGCCGGCCCTGCGACCTTGGGCAGTGACCGCCGACGCGGCCCGGGGCCCCTAGACCCCGGCGCCGGCGCCGGTGCTCTTGAAGCTGTCGGTGCGGCGCAGGTCGGCCAGCAGGGCGGGGCTGCTCTGCTTGCCGAGCTTGGCGACGAGCATGGTGTTCTGGCCCTGCAGCTCGCCGATCTGGGCCTTGAGGACCTCGACCTGCTTGAGGGCGACGTCGCGCTCGGCGCGGGTCTTGTCGAGCTCCATGGCCAGGTTGGCCTTCTCCTCGCGCTCGGCCTGCTTGCGCTTGCGGTCCTCGGCCTTGCGCTGCTCGTGCAGGCGCTTGTCCTCGAGCCGCTTGAGCTCGCGCTGGTACTTCTCCTCCTGCTTCTGCACCTCGCGGTCGTGCTTCTCGCGCAGCTTGGCGATGGCCGCCTCGTCGCGCTGCGAGTCGGCGTCCTTCTTGGAGACGGCGCGCTCCTGCGCCCGCGCCATCTTCTCGGCCAGCTTGCGCCGGCGGTCCTCGAGCTTGCGCAGCTCCTTCTCGTGCTGCGTGAGAGACACGGACTTGCCCCCTGCCGACTCGGAAGAGTGGGTGGACTGGCCCTCGCCGTCCTTGGAGTTGGAGACGGCCGGAGTCATGACGTCGTTGCTCGCGGTCTTGCTCAAGTTGTCGTCTCCCTCGTGATCGGATTCTAGGCTGTGGAAGCTTCCTACCGAGGACGTATCGTCCTCGTCCATCGAGGAAAGATCCGATTCCGTGTCGCCCCCTTTCGCGGATCCCAGAGGGTTGGGGAGGCGAGAGGCAACCGCACCTAATGCTTCGGCGATCATACCGTAGAAACCGCCGGGCCTAGGAGGCTCTTCCTCTGCCTCTGCTCTTAGTGCTTGCGACGGCTTCGCTCCCGGGTTGGTGATGATGTTTGATGTCGGGTCTGCCGTCGCGCGGCCTTTGGACGCCTGATGTGAGTCGGCCTGGGAAGCATCCTGCTTGAGCTGACTGTCAACGCGATCGGATTCGCCGATTTCTTCGGTCTTCTTGGAGCTGATCCATTTTAAGAATTTCTCAGCATCACCGGCAATGCCCGCTGGCGTGCCCTTTTCGACCATGAAGCGAGGAACGCTGCCGCCAGGGTCACTTCGTGTCACCATCAGCCATTCGACCATGGTCTCAACGTTGTCGTCGTCGTCATCGTCCTTCTCGTCTTCACCCGACCCTGCGAAAGCAATGGTCCGACCACGTTTCCGTCCCTCCGAGTCCCCGCTGTCCGAGACGGAACTGGACATGGCCGCGCTGCGTGCCGATCGAATCATGGTCTCCTTTCCCAGGCTCTGGGCAGCATTCTGCCTCGCCGCCGCGGCCTCTTCGTTTCCAAGATCTATCGAGGAATGGACTTTCCGCAGAGGCTTTTCCACTTTGATCTCGCGAATGAACTCAACTGATTCGTATTGACCTCTGATATAGCCACTTCGCTGCGGGCATTCGGGATGTATGCATGGCTTGGAGACAAGCATGAAGTATTTAGGCTTCCCCAAGCCCTCCTGCATTGGTGTTTCCAGCGCGGAATCGGAGCTCAGCAACAGCGTCACGAAGTCTCTGGGTGTTGTGGGGCCAGGGAACTGAGCAGATAGTTGATAAACTGTCACATCAGGTTAGCAGCCGCTTCAGCAGGGAGGAATGAATAGTGACGGCAGCTGGCTTACCTTCCATCTTTCCACAGCCGTCAACGACAGTGTTGACGACCCTCTGGTCGGCGCCTATGCCTCGGATCTTGCCCTCGCCAGGCTGGCCCTGCACCTTGAGGCTCTCGGCGAACTCGGTCTCCATGCCCAGCTTCCACTTCTCAAAGGTCAAGCCCTCGTGGACGCTGCGGCGCGCAAACCAGGCCCCCTTCTTATCCTTGGCCGACAGCTTGTAGACGTTGACGCCGAGCGGGTTGTCGCGCGGGTTGACCTGCACCTCCTTCCACTCCTTGCGCAGCTGCTCGGCGCGGTCCGAGGTCTTGGGGGCGCGGGTGGGCAGCTTGGGGGGGTCGGTGGCCGAGCGCGGCCGGCCGGAGCTGCTGCTGGCGTGGGAGGCGCCGCCCTTGGGGTTGAGCGAGACGGGGATCGAGTCTATGAGGCATTGTGCGTCGACGAGGACGTCGGTGAGGAAGCCGCTCAGGTCGTCTTGGTTGATGGTGCTCCAGTCGACCGGCGTCAGAGCCTTGAAGGCGTCGTGGGGGTTCGTCATGGTGTATGCGTGTCGGGGTGTGTAGGTCGTGGTCGCGTAGGTGCTATCAATGATCTAGGCGATGCTTGCGTATGGATATCAAGTCGGGGGGAGGGCCTAGTGGCGAGAAGCCTCTGTATATATCATGCAGACGTGACAGGTCTCCGAAAGGCGTACAGTATCAAGCATTCAGGCCCGTTTGTATGTAGGTTTCGGGAGTGGGTAGTCGGCGTTGGTCTCCGAAGGGTAACTTAAAATGTTGTGAGAGCTCAGATAGTCAGGAACTTGAGCAACTAGCCAACTGTAGCTGTCACCATCACGGCATCGACCTCACAAACTGCTCGACCGGAAATGCGGCATTGGCAATGAGCAGAGCAGAGCAGATGGGCAAGTAGTTGCACAGGCTCGTCATTTCAGGCGATAATACTGTCTAGGAATAGTTTCATGGCTCTCTTTTGTCCAGCCCCGATCCAATGCACCAATGCACCCCACTCGGCCACTGCCCCTGTCGGCGCCGCCTCTCCCACAGCAGGCAACGGTTTAGCTTGGGCGACTTTTTGGTGACAGCAGCTCGGGAAGCTGACGTCACCCCTCTCGCATAACTCGCAAGGGGTCTGGGGGCCCCGAGTGCTTCTCCACTACCAGAGACACCATCAGAGACACGCGACGTCAATTCGACAGGCTGGTCGGCCGTAGGCAAGGGAGGGAATTCCATGGCTTGGCCATCCCGATTCCCCAGGAGTGGAGCTAAACCTCCGCCAACTCTAGAAAGTAACGGGGAGCATGGAATAGAACCTGCTCACTGCTCTCTGACTTGCCTTTCCTCGTTAACGAAAACAAGCTTTGTGTTTGAGCCTCTTTTCTTAACTTTTTTTTTTCGGTCTTTGTTTCTTTTTTCTTACCCAGGTTCCTTGCTCTATAGTCAACCACGTATGCAACAATACCAGGGCGAGATTTATTTTCGCAGGCAAGTGTCGGTGTAATCCGTAGGTAATTCAAGACCATAAAAGCTATAGACCAACGTGTGTTGAATCACATAGACACGGAGTCGCTTGTACATAGTTTTGAGCGCATCCGCTCAATGCAGCACCTCAATTCCATCCCCACCTACCGAAGCCCCCGGACATGTTCTCACTCACAAGACACACACCAGCGCCGTCATGGACGGCAAAAAGCTTGTCTGGTGCAGATGTCCCTTTACCGAATCTGGAAATCGGTAAGAAGCCGACCCTGGCTTGGTTGGTACCTGACAGGCTCGGGTAGCGTGGGCATGACATACCATTTAGTCTAGATCAATTAGGAACCGTAAGCTACAGTACAATGGCTGATTTACATAGTCGGCCTTCTATACGTATCTCCTGTATCAGTACGTTGGCTTCTTACAGGTCCGTGTACCGCGCTGGTAACGCCCAACAGGAATTGGAATGACTGACCAAGGGAACTTGGCTTTCAACCCATTTTGGGTTAATAAACACGCCTTAGGGAGTTCGTGTTATCATTATTCTGACATGAAAATTATCGAGTTCGTTGCTTCAGGCGCGAGCTTTCTTCTACTCTTGCCGTGACTTTCAAGAGCCGACGACATGAAGAAAGCAGATAGCATCGAGCATGCACATTCACTAGGTCTGTTTCTCGGATACGACGTTAATCAAGAAATTAAAAATGCAGCTCCGAAATGAAATGGCTGTTTTTCCACATCCTGAAACGCCGCTCTAGGTCCATGATACCCTGAATCTCTTACGACGTCCGACTTTATTGAGTAAATCATATTATTGTGATAAATACATAGGCAATATCTGCCATTGCCAGAATCCTACTTGTCGAATCGAATGAACAGATGTGTCCGAGTGAGACCAGAAACATGCAGGAGATACAACTACCGAAATCCTTTCCCGCCTAATTTCCCTTTCCCACACAACACCTAGAACCCATACTTCTCCCTCCGCCCAAACCGGCCCCGTCTCACCATCCGCACGGTCTTGACGACCGTCGGCCGCCCGTCCCCGCCGACCCTGGTAACATGGTCCGGCCCGGGGCTCCTCTTCTTGGCCCCGGCCTTGGAGTAGATCTGGATGGCGCCGCTGCCGCCGCAGTACTGGGACCCGGCGGCGCCGGCGCACTGCATGTCGCAGCGGCCGTCGTCCGTCTTGCGGGCGGCGGGCGTGATGGCCTTGGCGCACCAGCACTCGCGGCCGTACTCGAGCCCGGCGAAGGCGAAGCCCTGCCGGTCGCAGAAGCGCGCGCACGCGTCGACCGTCATGCCGCCGTCGTTGGTCACGGCGGCCGGCAGCGCGCGCGGCGACGACTCCTCGTAGCAGCCGGCGAAGGCGAAGGCGCCGCCGTCGCCGGCCTTGGGCGGGATCGCCGGCCCCGCCATGCTCGCGTTCTTGAAGACGCTGAGCAGCGACCGCCCGCCGCACACCTGCGCCTTGTTGCCGCCGCACCTCATGTCGCAGAACCCCGCCCCCGGGTCGACGCGCGCCGCGGGCGCCAGCTGCGTGCCGCAGAAGCACTCGTTGCCGTACTCGACCCCGGCGAACGGCAGGCCCTGCTTGCTGCACAGCGAGAGGCACAGGTCGATCGACATGTCGGCCCGCGCCGTGCTCCAGGCGTTGAGCGTGCGCCCGCCGTTGATCTCGGACACGCAGCCCACGTAGGAAGAGCCCCCCGGCGCAACGATGCCGCCGTTGTTGGGGGCCGGCGCAGCAGCGCTGGACGAAGAAGCGGGCGAGGAGGCGGGCGATGGGGTTTTGGATGTGGAACCAGCCGGTGATGGCGACGTGACGAGGGAGGTGGGCTTGGAGGTAGGCTGAGAGGTTGCCGACGAAGCTTGAGAGGTGGTGACGGCGGTGACGCTGGGGGAAGAGCCGCCGGTGGGCTTTGTCGTAACGGCGCTCTCGGTCTTGGAACCCAGGGGCGACGCCGGGTAGGTAGGCTTGATGGTAATGACCTGGCTAGTGGCGGACGACGAGCCCGAGAGGCCCATGCAGTACCAGAACCCGGCCCAGAGCCCCTGGTCGCAGTTGTTGCAATCGAAACCAAGGACGGCCTTGTTCATGTTGCAAAAGTTGGTGTACGGCATGTTGATGTTCAAGCCGATCTGGCGGCAGAAGTCGCCCTTGTTGACCTGAACCCATACTTCGCAGTTGGGCACGATGCCGGCCTGAGTCGGAGACGGCGGCGCCGGGGGGTTACGGAGGATAGAGTTTTCCGGCATGGTTTATATAGTGGTCTGTCTGCCGTACATTGGCCAGATAAGAGTATTGAGGCAGTTGATGGCCACCAGAAGGGATGGCTGAGGGGAAGGGTTCGGAGATGAGGTGAGGCCAGAGCCGTGGAACAACTCGAGTGCCTCAACCCCCCGAGAGAAAGCCATCCATGATGTTGTTTATGTGCCGTCATACTGACAAAGGTTGGCCACTGGTGTATTGCATTTGGCTCTCGTTGACGAGCCTTGAGAGGCCTTTGATATGATATAAGAAGGCTTCATTGATGAAGCTCAATAGGGCTTTGATAAGTCAGACAAGGCGGTTACGAGAAACCGCGCATACGACTACCAGATACCCAACCTTGAACGCTCACTATACGCTGGCTAGCGCCACCGAGATCTATGGACGTCAATGAGCGGAAGGGGCGGGCCGTGACATGTTGATGGCTGAGACAAGGGCTCGGGTCCCCTAGTGCCAACAAGCCGTGGACAAGTCGGCTTACGCTTTCGGGGTTAGAGAGCCGGTCCAGATCCCGAGACAAAGGTTGCCCACAGAAATTATGCCGTTCATGGTGGAAGGCCGGGGGCCAAAGGGAGTCTTGGTGAAGACAGTTGCCCAGCGAAGGCTTTATCTCAGCTGACTGTTAACGACATTGTCTCTGGCATCAATCCACAAGATAACCATTGACTGATAGATCTTGGACATCACCGAGTTGCCATGGGGTTTGCGGACAGTCCTCCAAGGAGAAGAATACAAATTAGTGTCCTCAGCTGAGATACAACATAGTATATGAACACGTCCGGATTTTATGCAACGTACCTAGATATACGTACTTTCCAACTGTATTCTGTCACGATTTACTTGACCATTTCTGCGGTTGCATTCAGCAACAGTTAGTGGCATAGCCCCCTCGGACCCTTTCAATATAATCAGAAAGTATATATACACAGCGGTGAATTGGGTAGACCATAGGATACTGGCATCTTAATACGTACTGACGAGGTACGCTCAACCTACACAAGGGGGATATTGCGTCCTCCAAATTAGTGGCGCGATTTATCAATACAAACATAACCCATACAATTATGGAATAATTTAGATCCACGCTCACATATGAAGCTGCCCTTGGTAGTGCCAAATCATCAATACTCCGTAGTTGCGGCGCGTCCAGTGTATGGACGACCGTCAGGAACGCCCGAGCCAATCAAATCGCGCCATAAGCTCAAGCTAGCGAACACCCGCCCATCAATCCCTGCACTGTGCCATATCACGGAACTCACCTTCTTCGACTCTGCGCCAGACAAGCCTCTCTCTCTCTCTTTCTCTCCCTATCCCTCAGTTCGCCGTCGGCTCGGGACAAGCTGGGCAAGAATGGACTCCGCCCTCCTCCAGTCTCTCGACCCGTTCCTCGAGCCCGCCCGGCTCTGCCAGGCCTTCTTCGTGCTGGGCGCGGCCGCCGTGCTGGCCGTGGCCGCCACGCCGGCCTCGGCACGGGGGCTCCTGACGCAGTACGGCGCGCGGGATTCTGCGGGCTCGAAGGACGATGGCAACGAGGGCTCCGAGCCTGACTCTTTCACAAGGTTCATCAGGTGGATCACGTCCGTGGGCAAGGTGCCGCACTCCTGGTTCGTCCACTTCTACATCCTGTCTGTCTCCAGCTCGGTCTTCTGGGCAGCACAGTACCTGTGCCGCGGTAGCATCATGGAGGGTATGGCCCGCTACCAGACGGCTCGAGGCTCGACATCTATGACTGTCAACCAGGTTATACTAGTGTGGTTCTTGATGGCCATGCAGGGAACCCGACGTCTGTACGAGTGTCTCTTTGTTATGCGAGCTTCATCATCAGGCATGTGGATTGTGCATTGGGCACTCGGCTGTGCATACTATCTATGTATAGGCATTTCCGTCTGGATTGAAGGATCCGGTGAGTGCCGACTCTTGATATATGAGATGACCCTCAGCTCTTGGTGGCTAATGCATTCAGCATGTATCCTGGAATCTGATCGATGGTGCCTCCATCCTTCATTGCCATCAGCCAACACCATCATTGGCGTACCACTCTTCTTATATGCATGGTTAATGCAGTACGTATGCCACCGGCATTTATCGGAACTGAAAAAGTACTCGCTCCCAGAGACGGGGCTCTTCCGGTACTTGGTCTGTCCGCACTATACCTGCGAGTGTCTCTTATATCTTTCACTCGCCATCATAGCGGCACCGCCGGGTCAAGTCTACAATCGGACACTCCTTTGCGGAGTCCTGTTCGTGGCAATCAACCTTGGCGTCACTGCCGACGGCACCAAGAAATGGTACGCCAGCAAATTTGGTGAGGTCAAGGTCCGTGGCAAATGGAAGATGGTCCCCTTTGTGTACTGAACACAGCAAGCCCACTTGGGCCTTTTTTCACTTCTTCTGAAACAACGAGAATTTGTTGCCCAGCTTGGAGACCTTCATGACGTCTCGATAGGTCAAGCTTGTTCGGGTGCTTCTCGAGTTGCAGCCCTGAGCAAAGTCGGCGGTAGACCGGAGGAGGTTCCAGTTGGCCACGGTGCTCTCGGAAAGGTCGACATCTTCTGTGATATCGGCGATGCCGTGGAGGAAATCACTATAGAGGTCCAAAGAAGTAATGAGAAGACTACGCGGCTCCTGAAGAATCCTCCACATGGGCGCTGGGTCCAAGGCTCCGTCGGCCTTGGTTTTGTAGATGTTGAGGCACAGACTGGCCCCAAGACTGACGGTGCAGACGACGGGGTGGTACGCACTCCCGTCCTTATGCGGCATGATGCCGACACCCGGCGGGTACTCGTTTATCAACACGTGGTTTGGTTGTTTGTGCGGGCTGTCAGAGAAGATGCCGGCCGAGCCGGGCTCTCCGGTCTGCGGAACAAGCGTCAATCGCGAGACGATGGGGTCTCGAAGCCAGTCCGGGAGGGGTGCATCGAACAACTTGTCGTTGACGAGGTCGGAAGGCCATGTCTGCAGACGCCTGTGTGTGAGCTGCTTCCAACGAGGTTTGGGCGCTGATGCGACCTGTCGTCGACAATTAGAGACCGGGAGTCACCAACAGTATTCCCCTACCGTACTTTGTCCAGAATGGCGTGCTCCTCGTCCTCGGAGATGAAATCTGAGATATAATAGGCGGCAGGCGGAAGGGCCCCTATGCGGACGTGGTCAAGCGAGGCTGGGAGAATGAAGGGCGGCTTGGAGGGGGCTGAATCGCAATCCATGTTGGCGTCGAGGCGAAAGCCGGGCGACAAGGCTGGAGGCACAGTGGTGATGGGACCACAGCAGACGTGTGCGACAGGGCCAGCGGACGCGATATATATTACTCGATGTCACTCTTGATCAGGCAGTCGACGGATGGCCAGGTGGTGGAGATAATGCCAGACTGGAGCGAAGGCGCAGAGCGAAGACTAGCAGCAGGTCAGACAGCGGTGCAGGGAGCCGAGGCGGCGAAATGCACTGGCCAAGAGGGCGGGTCGGCGGTCAGCAGAGGTGCGTTGCTTTTCTGGGGACACGAGAATGCCCTCGGCGGCATTTTATGTATGGTACGACGTGGTAAGTGATGCGCAGCAGGACGGTCCTGGCCCGCCTGGCTAACGAATATGTGTGTGCGGAGGAGTCGGCGTCGGCGTCGGCGGCGACACGGAGTGCAACAAGGCAGATGATGAAGCTTCTCGTTGATTTCAGGCATCCACTGCCACCTTATTATTACAGATGCGCGATGCGATGCAGGCACAGGCACAGGCACAGACCCATACAAGCCCCATTCGACCAAGACGGCAGGCATGCAGGCTCTGGTGGGTCGAATGCAGGCTCCGGCTTATCATGGGTTGAATGAGCGCTGCGTGGCCACAGAGAGGCCAAGGCACAGACAGGAGAGGGCCCAGTGCGCCAGCAGCGAGAGGCGATCATCAACAAGGCTTGCCAGGCTACGAGCTGCACGGCCTGCACGGGTCGCGGCGGATGGGGAGAAACGAAATTGAGGACGGCCGAGGGGGGGGGGAAGGGGGGTGGGAGGAAGAGGCAAGACGGGCAAGACGGGCAAGATGGGCACCCACTCAACCACCGACTGCCCATGACTGCCCATGACTGCCCACCGGGGGCTTGCCAGGAGGCAGGAGGTAGGAGGCAGGAGGCAGGAGGCAAGGAAGGGGCCCTCTTCGCCCTCTTCGCCCTGTCCTGCACTGTCCTGCCTGCCCAACTCGCTGCGTCTCGGGTCTGCGCCGGCCGCCGTAGTCCTCAGCCCACGGCCAATCAGCAGGCCTGGCCCGACCCGACCAGAGCCGATGCGGCCTAGCGGCTGCCGGGGGGCAGGACTTTCAAGTTTCAATCGGCTCGCTGTTGACTGACTGGATGGATCTCTCTCTCTCGAGGACAGAGCGAGAGCGAGCCGTGGTTGCTGCTGTCTTGTCTTGTCTGTCTCTGTTCTGTCTGTTCATCCTTCTGATTGACGCCTCTCGACTTGATCCCGAATCGACTCACCCACCGGCTTCCCTCTTTTTTTCCCCCCCCGTCCCTTCACCGAGAATCGCCCCGTACACCTTTTTCTGTACCATTTCTTCTCATCGCGGCATCTCTCGTCGCTCCACAGGCCCGACACGGCTCGTTTTTAGGCGTTTCCACCACTGCTCGGCCGCCCCCTTCTGTGTTTGCATCTCAGACCCGCGACCCTCACCAGCTCAGACGAATCACCACCACGACTTTCCACCCCTTGCTGTCGGCGCCGCCCTGGCCTGAGTCCTGTCCAAACGCCACCACCCATGAGTGGCACCATGATGGTTCAGAGCTCATAATTGAATGATATGGATGCGCAGAATGCTGTCGAGTCCACAAGCGCGAAGCAGCCTGCTTCCCCCGACCGGGGACCCGTAGACGGCGCACCAAAGGTCACGTCGCCTGCACCCACCACCAGTAGCAAGCCGACGGCACCGTCGTCGTCGACGACCTCGCCAGCAAAGGACTCCAAACCCGCGACCGCGACGACGACGGCCACCACCACCACCACCGCCGCCGCCGCCGCCAACAACAACAACGACGATGACGACAATAACGACGCTACCGCCAACGACCAGGTCTCGGACGCCGAGACAATTGTGCTGCCCGGGAAGGATGGTGTCTCGCCCTCCAAGCCCAGGAAGCTCATCAAGCACGAGGACAAGAGCGACGGCGAGATCGACCGCGTCCTGCCCGCCCCCAAGAAGGTCTCCCGGGAAGCCAGAGATGCCCGAGATGGCGACCGTAGCACTGCTCCCGCCGATGACGCCCCTTCGACGGCCCCGAGGAAGAAACGGCCGCTGGACAAAGAGAGCGGGAAACATGGCTCTGATGCACTAAGCTCCGCGCCTGCGTCTCCCCACCCTCACGCCCAGCCGCAACGTCGTCGAGAGCGCAGTTCTTCCCACCGGCGGCACCGCTCCGGCGACGCTCACTCTGGCTCCGACTCTGATGACTCCAAACCGAGGTCCCCGAAGCTGTCCAAGGCAAAGTCAGTCGATAGATTACTGGCTCAGAAGCGCAAGGCTCCCAAAACAGAATCCGACGACGACGCCGAGTCCCGCAAGGTCCGTCGACCCCGTATTTCGGATACGAGTCTCGATGGCAAACCCCACAAGGACCACAGGCAATCTTCCGCCAAGGCACATCCGGAAAAGATGTCATCTACCCGCACCCGATCCGTTTCGCCGCATGGACGGCCTCATCGCAGGAGCCTGTCAACACAGCTTCCCTCTCAGTCCTCATCAGCCGGCCTCAGTTCCAAGAAGCGCCGCGTCCCCGCCCCTCTCCAGTCCACCGACTATCATTCCGATGATTCCTCCGCCAGCGGCAGTCCGCACCCTCGCAGCTCCAGGCTCAAGAGCGTGGCGACGCCTGGCACCGGCGACTCGACCATGTCACCGGCCAAGATCGCCCCTCACAAGAAGCACCTTGACGCGCACGGCCAGACGCTTTTTGCAAAGGCTTGTGCCAAGGGCGAGTATGACATGGCCAAGATGCGCCTTGGAGAACGCCCCGAGGATCTGAACTTCGCCGACCATGCCGGCAACACTCCTCTTCAGGTGGCTTCGCTCAATGGGCACGAGGACATCGTGGAGCTCTTGATCGGTGCTGGGTGCAACCTAGAATGTCGGAATGATGTCAAAGACACTCCCCTGCTCGATGCTGTTGAAAATGGCCACCTAGGAGTCGTGAAGCTCCTGCTCGCTGCCGGAGTTAACCCTCGAAAAGCCAATGCCGAAGGCCAGGAACCTCTGGAGAAAGTACCGGATGACCTGGACAACGCCGAGGAGATCAGGGCTGCCTTGAGGGACGCGAAGCAGAAGGTGGGGGAGCTGCGTCGGACCTCGGAAGACCATCTGCCTCAGGATAGTCACGATGCGGCGTCGTCCAACGACGCCAATAGCCCACGTCGTTCCCCAGAAGCCTCCATTGCCGGAGTTCTCTCCGCTGCGTCACGTCGCGGAGGTACGGTGCGATCAACAAAAACCAGCAATCACTTGCTCTATATGAGCTTGGATGAGAAGACTCTGCGCATAGCTGCGGCACGTGGTGACCAAGAGACGGTGACGCGCATCCTGCAGGTAAAGGAGAGCTGCGATGATGCGGAAGCTCTGGTTGCTGCAGCCCGTGGAGGTCACAACTTCGTTATGGAGCTCTTACTTGCCCTGGGCGGTGCTAACCCCGATCCGTCACCTGTTCCCTCCCTGCCTTCAGAACACAGCACACCGATGTTGGCTGCTATTGGTCAGGAGAACATCAAAGTTGTTCAGCTTCTTCTGAATCAGTCTGGCTTTGATCCAACACGTCGCTTTAGAGGAGAGACGTATTATGAGATTGCCAGGCGCCGAGAGGGTCCGATGTGGAAAGATGAGGAACACATGTTGAAGAACGCCTACGATGACTACAAGAAGTCTCACAAGAGTGCAAAGACCAAGTCTCCGTCCAGGCGAGACCGGGAACAAGCACAGGAGTCCAAGCGCGCACCTCGCACTGAGCCGGCTCAAGACAAGGTTCGGTCACAGCACAAACGGCGCCCCTCAAGTCCCACAAGGGAACCTGATGCGAAGAAAAAGCTCAACTCGAGTAAAACTGTGACCAGCCCCAAGGAGAAAAAGCGGTCTCAGTCTTTTGGCCAAAATGACGACCATCAAACCTCCCCCAAGCGTGGCAGGCCAAAGAAGGAGGATCGAGTGCCTACAATCGCAATTTCCGATCGTGAGGCATCTCCTGCTTTATCCACAAAGTCACATCCGATCAAGGTCAAACGAGCCGAGTCCGACATTGCAAACTCATCCGAAGGCGAGGCCACCAAACCGCGAAGGAAGCTGATCTCGGGCAAGGATCTCAAGGGCCAGCGCGAGAAGCAACGCCGGGCTAGTATGGTGTCGAACGTGTCCACCAAGGACGCGGCTGAACGCGGAGACACGAAGCACGACGAACCAACTGAGAAAACTCGCGCTGAGCGTTTGTCCGAGAAGTACCACGACAGAACCAAGGTTTTGAAGCGGGATGATTCGAAGGATAGGCTATCGCCTGGGGATGGGCCTGGAAAGAGACATCGGTCAAGCGTCACGCCAGATCGCCACGGACTCGGTGACAAGGACGACAACGAAGCACCAGTCAAGCGCAGAAGGCTGGACGTCGAGGGCAAGGAAAAACGCGCTCAGCAGACCTCGTCGCCCGACGATCGCCAACGCAAGCGCGATCTCTCTCGTGATCCTGCCAAGAAACAGAAGCAGGCTGATACCGACCGCAAGGACTCTATCAAAGTCAAGAAACTCAACCGTGATCGTCGAGAATCAGAAAGATCCAGCCCTTCCGAGAAAGCGAGCATCACGGTCTTCTCGGAAGACATGGACATCGATATGCGGGATGCACCAGACGCAAATTCTGCAGGCGATAGCGCTGCTCAGCTCGAGCGAGAACAGGAGGACTCCAAGAAGCGCCAGGCCGAATCGGAGGCTGCTGCCGCCGCTGCCGCCGCCGCCGAAGAGGAAGAAGCCCGTAAGAAGGCCGAAGAGAAGCAACGAGAGGAGGAGGAGAGACTGAAGCGAGAAGCAGAGGACAAACGCCAAAAAGAGGAGGCTGAGAAGAAGCGTTTGGAAGCCGAGGAGAAACTCCGCCAGGAAGAGGCAGAGCGCAAGCGGAAGGACGAAGAGGAGAAGGCTAGGTTAGAAGCTGAACGCAAGAAGCAGGAAGAGGAAGAACGAAAACAGCGCGAGGAAGCCGAACGCAAGCAAAGAGAGGAGGAGGAACGTAAGAGGCGTGAGGAAGAAGAGGCTGCTCGTCGTGAAAAGGAGGCCGCCGAAGAAGCCCGTCGGTTGCGCGAGGAGGAGGAGCGAAAGGAGCGAGAACGCAAACGAGCTGCTCGTGAAGCCGAAGCCCTGCGAATCCGGCAGGAGCAAGAACGAGAACAAGAACGAATTCGCCTGTCCAGGTTGCCTGCTCTACTCCGTTGGCTCGACGGCTGCCCAGAGCCAAGGCAACGAGAATACGCCGAGCTCTTTACCGCCATGCAAGGTGTCCGATACGACACAATCAATCCCAGCGCAACCGGAAGACCTGAGGGCCGGGAGCAGTGGCTACTGAACACGCAGGTTGCGCTGCTTCTCGGCGAGAAGGACCTGACTCTTCAAAGATGTGAGTGTATCCAGGAGTTCCGGCAATTGTAAGGTAGCTAATTCGGATGTAGACACTGGATGGGAACGGATCCCTGTTTCGACCATCGCCAAAAGAGTAATTTGGCGACTCGAGCAGGATCGGTACGCTCTTACCGAAAGCAAACTGTATCATCTCGGAGAGCAGCTTTCCGACTATTACGGAGGTGACCCGAACCGAGTTGGTTATCAGCAGCTCGAAAAGCTCCGCGGCGAGGCATCCAGGCTATTTTTCGAGATGGACATGTTCTTTGTCAAGGTAAGAATGTCCTTCCCAAACGCTGCCTATGGCCAGCTGCTAACCAGTCATCAGGAGTCCGACTTCCTTTTCATTCTTCCCAACTTCCCGCATCTGCGCAACGTCAGGCTTTCCATTTGCTACCGTGAACTGCCAGAGCATGAGTACCAACTCAACTCCTGGAGCGCGCCAGCCAAGTGGAAGCAGGATCCAGATGCCAGCAGACGAGAAGGTTTCGCACCACGTCAGAAGTATTACATCAATGGCCAGTACGTCACCGAAGACAAACCTGGGCATTACAAGCCGAGCACGTGTCCTTTCCCGGAACAGCGCGTGCCCCGCAGAGGCGGCCTCGTAGCTGTAGGTCCCGAAGAACCTGATTACCCGCAATTGTGCATCGAGCAAGGATTGAGCCACCTTCTTTCGGAACAGCAGAAGCTTCTGTTGATGCATGCTGCCCATCTTACACCGAGAAGCATGACCTCCAACGACACTACGGACGGTCTCAACGGCAGGCAGCGCTCACCTTCAGCTGTTTCTCCCACCTCTCGGGTGAACGGCATCCATGACATTACACGAGGACCAGAGAAACCCCTTGTAAATGGGATCAACGGTACCGCCAGCGTGGAAGGCCATTGAGCAGCCTCGTTACAACCGCGCCCACCACCTCACCTAGCCTTGGCGTCGCATACCAACCAGTCCGATGAATGCCACGGAACGTGGCAAATGGGATATTCCACTTTGTTATTGGCACGAGCTCATGACACGAAAAAAAAAATACATAGCATCCCATCATGACGCGTACATAATCTACACATAGCTGTCGGAATGATCTTTTTTCGCCGGCCCCACGAAGGAATGGGAAGCCCGGGCTTGGAACGCTTTATGCTCCAATGGCACCAGATGTCTGCCCTATACCGGATCTATCGGATCGCGCTCGATTAAACGCGCATCTTGCATCACCATACACGGCCTCCCCGGACGACGAGGGGGGCTTTCTTGGCAAATGGTGAATGATGAAAAGGCATTAGATACCACTCAAATACCAGTATATAAGCTCCACGATCTGGGCTACGATGTGATGAGAAATGTGTGAAAATTCGCTGTTTTACCTATGAATCTTTCTCCGGGAGGACGCCCGGACTAGACCTCAACCATTGGACCGCTCTGGGCCAGACCCAGGGGGTTCCCTGCCGACTGTTTGAAGGTTTTACCATTGAGATGGATCCTTTCCTATTCATTCCCGTGTGGTTCTGGTAGTTTGCTATTCCACTAGGCCCCGTCCGGTCGGGATGGGTATCAAGCGTGCTAGCTGATGGTCAAGAAACGTAACCTAGGTGTCGCTCAACTCTGAGGCGTTGTGAGTCTCTTCTAGGGCCGTAGGTACCACTTGTTTTCGTCTCGCCCCCGTGATGAGAGCAATAAAGTCCGCCGGCGATGTCTCCAGCCTGTCTGGTGGATGGAGACGTCGTCCTGGCTGGCCAAGGGGCTGTTGAGAAAACGAGAGTCCGGCGGCTGATTCGATGGCCCCTGTTTCTAAGCCACTGGGCGGGTTAATTGTATGATGATGCCTCGTCAGATTGGACTGGACATGTTGCCATTTCCAAACTTGCTATGTTGTGGTCCGGCCTATAGTCAAACCAACCTTGTAAATTTGTGAAAGGCAATATGACTATGAAAGCTTGGTGGGCAAGGTGTGTGCGCGTGAGCAAAATTCAGTTCATGCAGTCTGCTCCTTTTCATTCAGTATAAGATAAATGGCGGTGGTATGGTACACGATGTGATCGAAGGCCCGTTGTCATCTTATTTACAGCCCGGTACTCGCTCGTGGAAGGGGACAACCCCGACTTCGGTAGTATGCGGTGCGCAACATTTGGTGGTGGTTAGCAATGCGTTGTATAATTAGTATAGATAGCGTGATTTGAATTTATATGGCGATATAGAATCTCAACAGCGTTTTATATGATTGACCAAGATGCCACTCTTGACTCGTGGTTCAGGCTGGGATGAGTCGGGTGGTGAGGCTCGGGGAATAATCGGCAAAACTTCTGTCGCGGGGCTTGACATCATTCTTGTGAATTTTCGAAGTTTGCCCCGCCAAAACCCGACGACGTGTCTACGGGCGTAGTCCTGCCTGCGCATTTGACAACGAGAACACCAGAGGACATCTATTTGTGCTCCCAGAGGGATACCACACCGCCAACATGTCGACCACAGTGGATAAGGCAAGTTAGACCCGAGGCCCATGTCAGTTTGCGCAGATGCTAACCATGTGCACAGATCAAGGAGATCGAGGCCGAAGTGAGTAGGTCCCGTGATCATGAAGGCGGGAATGGGGGTACTAACCCATGGATAGATGGCCCGAACCCAAAAGAACAAGGCTACCTCGTTCCATTTGGGTCAGCTTAAGGCGAAGTTGGCAAAGCTCAAGCGAGAGCTCCTCACCCCGTCGGGAGGTGGCGGTGGCGGCGGTGGTGCTGGGTTCGACGTCGCAAGAACAGGTGTTGCCAGTATCGGGTTCATCGGCTTCCCCTCGGTGGGAAAGAGTACGCTGATGAGCAAACTCACCGGCCAGCATTCCGAAGCTGCTGCTTACGAGTTCACAACTTTGACGTCGGTCCCGGGTCAAGTCACATACAACGGTAAGGCTGCGCAAGGGCCCCTGGGAGCACGCTCATGAGCGTCATATCGACGGGAAGCGACAGCAGTATCTAATGCGCCCAATAGGAGCTCCGTTGCAGATCATTGATCTTCCCGGTATTATTGAGGGTGCCAAGGATGGACGAGGAAGAGGTCGTCAGGTCATTGCTGTCGCCAAGACGTGCCATCTCATTTTCATCGTCCTCGACGTCAACAAGCCACTCACGGACAAGAGGGTGATTGAGACCGAGTTGGAAGGTTTCGGTATCCGAATCAACAAGCAGCCGCCTAATATCACGTTCAAGAAGAAGGACAAGGGTGGCTTGAACATCACCAGCACTGTGCCGTTGTCACACATCGACCACGACGAAATTAAGGCCGTGATGAACGAATACCGTATCAACTCAGCCGATATTGCGATCAGGTGCGATGCCACAATCGACGACCTCATCGATGTTTTGGAAGCAAAGAGCCGCAGTTATATCCCCGTCATCTACGTCCTCAACAAGATTGACGCCATCAGTATCGAGGAGCTCGATCTGCTCTACAGGATCCCGAATGCTGTTCCCATTAGCTCAGAACACGGCTGGAACATTGACGAGTTGATGGAAGCTATGTACGTCCCTCCCTTCAGGCTATTCAGGGGGTCACCCATGAGTGTCATCAAAACATTTACAGTGACTGACACTCTTACTGCACAGGTGGGATAAACTGAACCTGGTTCGCGTTTACACTAAGCCTAAGGGAAAGATGCCGGACTACTCGGCACCTGTCGTGCTTCGAAGCACGCGCTGCACAGTCGAAGATTTTGTAAGTGTGCTTGCCAGGGACCCGATGATGGCCAAGACAAACCCATGCTGACCGATGACACAAAGTGTAACGCAATCCATCGGACAATCGTCGAGCAGTTCAAGACGGCCATCGTCTATGGTAAATCTGTGAAGCACCAACCGCAGCGTGTGGGTCTCGGCCATGAATTGGCAGATGAAGATATCGGTACTGTACCCATAAATGCACCTAGTCCGCCCGGGTGCTTCCCCGCAAAGACAGCTCGCTAATATTGTCCTTTGCAGTAACGATTGTCAAGAGATGATTTGCTTGTTGGCTCGATATTTTGCGCAGTGCAGGAAATCCCGTCCGAGATGCGTCTCGACCCTCGAGTACCATGCCATCTGGGTTCGCAAGCAACTTTTTGGGTCGTACATCATGACACCGGGGTCGCGGGCTGCCTCGGAAAAATAACCCGTCGCCCGAGAGTTGTACTAGCAATAGTTCGCTTTTGAGAAACTCCTGTATGTGGACAAGGCTCGCGGGCGGCTGCATTCCCCAGGGGTTGGTCTGCGGTATTGTTTGCCGGCTGACGGTACGAGACAAGAGCTGTAACGGAACGAGGCACAGCAAGTGGGATGTTGGGTTGGAGGGCAGATCGTCGACGGAAGTGTTATGCATGATGAATGGAAATAGTGACCATCGTCAGGCCAGGGCCCATATTGGTGCGCTTCCTGGCTGTCAACATAGATGCCAAGTCTTTGAAAGAGTATAATGACGTCCGAGCTTTTGGTGAAGCGGCTCATCTGATGCCCAGTCGTTCCCCCTCCGACCCCCACAATCCTTTCCTATGCACGCCACATCTCGACGTTTGAAACGTCCAGCGCCGACAGCAGGAGCAACGAGCTGCAATCGAGTGCATTACCGAGGCCTCGTTGTATGCGGCCACGTACCCGACCAACAGGCGCAGGAGAGGAGCACGGGGTGACCCAGTGACTCTGGCGAGCAGGCGCCCCGGGGGCCGGGAGGCCACTGGTCGCCTCGCAGCGCTTCATGCGAGGTACATGCCTTTCTGCGTCACTTTGGGGCTGCGATGAGGTGCTGCCGGGCCCCTTACGCACCTCCTGGGGTTGCGATCCGCCGCCATCTTCTGTCGGGTCGCTGGGTCTGGGTTTTCCTGCTCCTCGTCTGATGTGTATCCCGTTGCACGGCATCGGTCGGAGGTTTTTTTCTTTGTTTTCTCTCTTCTTGTCTCTGTTCTTCGCCCATTGTGATTCTTACATCTTGGCCCTTCAGCCGGGCCTCGACCGTTGGGCCGCCTCTCCCCCTCCAATGACCTGCCCGACGGTGAGAAAGGTCCATTGGGGGTGTGCCTCCAGGCAACTCTCGACCTTTCACAAGGCTCGACTTGCCGCCAAATCCCGCCGATGACGGCCCACCATGCATCTTGACGTCCTCACCGCCGTCTAGTTATCTGCCCATTCCTAGTGTGCTATGTAGAGCTCGAGACGAGTTGCCCTCGTCCCTCCGCCCGCCCAATCGCACAGGACTAGCTGCTGTGCCCTTTCTTGCTTTTTCTGCTTTTTGGGCTCTGCACGCCCGCCCTCGTGTCGTTTCTGCATCGCGCCGCCGCCGTGCCCTGGATGCTCAACCACCAGAGGCACCCAGCTCCCGGGGTGCACCTTGTCCGCCCGTGCGGAAGGAGTGGCACGTTGGATGCAAGTCCCTGGCGGTAGCGCCGCATGGGGGGAGTTTGCGCGCGATTGACGGCCGCGACGGTCCGCTGAGGACTAGGTAGGTACCAGCTAAAAGGCTAGGGGGGGAACTACGTACTACGCTGGCGAAAGAACCCTTCCCCGGCGAGGGCTTCCCTGCGTATGGGCCCACGAGAATCTCTTTTTTGCTCCTCTATCCAACTGCAAGGCAGATCATAGGAAGTTGTCGCGGATGCACAGGCCAGGGCAGGGTGCAAGGAAAGCAAGCAACAATTGATGGCCCCCGGGGGGGGCCAGACAGGGCAGAGAGTCAGCACAGACGGGATGCAAGTTGCTTTGGCCGTTGGGTGATCCCTGGGCCTGCCCGGCCGCTTCGCTAGTTCTGCCAGGCTGCTCGACCCTGGATCCGGAGCGAGACGCCGAAGAGATTGCAAGAAGCTTGGAAGTGGAGATGGGACGGGATTTCCCTTTCGGCCTACTGTAGCTGTGGCAGCTGTGGAGCTACGGGGGTGGTAAAATCCTTTACCTGACTGTCGACCTCCCAGGTTCCCAGGGCTCTCGCAGTTACATACAGTAGGGCCATCTCGATTTGCATCTCGTCACTTTTTTTTTTTTTCCAGTCTGGTCCCCCCGTACGATGGCAAGGCCGAGGCGAGCTGATAGCCGAAAAGAATCTACTGAACCACGGATTAACCCTGGGAATGCGACCTTGTAGGATCGTGGACCCAGCAAATGTCTCTCGTATGATTCAGGTGTATATATCTTGGGTATCTATAGCGAGGTGACGTCTGGCTCGCGAGAACAGACGCGGATGGGGTTTGGGACAGAGCCGTGGGTTACCGCTTATGGAAGTCAGCATGGCATGATCCTTCCCACTTCGAGTACATATCAACGGAAACGTGCATTTGGGGGGAGACAGCTTGCGATCGTCGCGTGTTAGTGATGGAGGGAACTGTGGGGCCTGGAGAGCCCTCCGAGCTGTAACAGTAGGGAAGAACTTGCCGAACATGCTCTAGTTCCCATGAGAAAGATTAAAAAAGCTCTCGCATAATGCGGGAAGCCTGGGGGGAGCGCAGTAGTAGCAGCAGCAGCAGCAGCAGCAGCAGCAGCAGCAGAGGAAGAAGCAGCACTACCGGTATTGCTGTGCCTCGTCGGCTGGTGGTGTCCATTCAATACTCTCTGTACTGCATACTAGGCTCGAAACAGGTGCGCAACCCCCCTGGGGATATTCGCAAGCCTCGTCCAAAGGCCCGTCGAATAGTGTGGCAATGATAGCCCGGGATGGCGATAGAGCGGACCAACAGGATCGCGGTCCGGACGACGAAACAGGCATCGCTTGGGCCGCTTGTGACCATTTCGACCCAATGGCCTTTGGTCAGCACCTGTGTCGAACCCCGGAAATTAGGCCCAATGGCATTTCTGTTTCAACTCTGCGCCGTGCTGTTGGTTGGCCGACTTGATAGAGTTCAAGACAATTTCAGAAAGCGGCCACACGCCGCTCTCGAAAATTCTGTAGCCATCGTGTTGGTTCGTGCCCGCCTACGAACATCGTTGAAGAAAATGGGGTCTAGCTGCACCCTGAAGATCGGACCACGCCAGGAAAGAGGGTCGGCCCTTTCCCTTTAGCCAGATCTCGACATCTCTCGCCGGTCGTGTTGGTTGCAAAGAGGCGTCGAGCCTCGGGAACGGGGAGCAGGGTCCCCAGCGTGTTGGAACCACTGTTGAAGGTTACATGGGTCATGCCTCAGCGACAATGAGGCAAAGATCTGATGATGAATAGTTACAAGCTACGTTGCTGGACTTGTCACTCATTAATAAGCACCTGTTGAGGGTACATAGAAAACAGCAGCTTGGCGACCTGGGATCTTGGGACCGCCAGCCCAGCCCAATGGTGTTGGTTCCCAATGCGCGTTGTTCCCTGTCAACCCGTCATAACCGGTGAGCGTTGCTGCTTTGTTGAACTTACACTTGGTGAGTGGTGAGAGAGAGCTGGCAGGCTGGGTGCCGCGAGTCAGGCTGTATAATGAAGCTGAGATGGCGTGTGCGCAGTAGCGAACTTCCTCTAATTTGCGTTGCGGCCGGGATCTACGTAGTACAGTAGGCTCCTCTGGATATTAGAGTATCAATGATCGGATGTGCTCGGCTTTAGCAAGCGAATAAATCCTACCCGGTCAACTACCGTCCACTGCTCCTCGCGTTGTCATACCCTTCTGGTCCCTTCTGGTCCAGACGTACGCAGTATTTGGCATACTCATCTTGGGGGAGCGGAGCCTCTACTGCAAAAAAGGCTTGAGCGCGAAAAACCTTAACAGATCAAACCCTGGTCCGCATGACAATGATATTCATGACTGCCGCGGGGCCGCGATCGTCCCCTGAGGGCTGAGGGTTTCCGGCATTGAACGGGCAATGCTGCGGTCTGTCATGTCAGATAGAGCCCTGAACCACTAGTGCGCGGGGAGAAACGTCAAGAGCTTCTCATGTTTCCTATGCGGGTCCTGTGCGCTCGACTCGTAAAAGTCGGGAGGACCCCTGCGCGCGCGACGCTCATCTCAATCAGAGCCCAGGAACGCGGTCTTGCTGACGAATAGTCAAATGTCCTCGGCAGGAGATAGTGGGCTAGCATGAATCAGCTTTATCGGCGACCACTGACCAGCCATGCGTACCCCTCCCGCGGGCTCATCAGGTGAGGGAGTGGTGGAGAGAGCAGCAGTCATGGGACGCCCGCGCAGGTCGTTGAACTGAACTACTCCGGGTCTCTGTTCACGATATCAGTTCTCCACCGCCCAGGATAGGTCGAGCAGCGCCCGAATGAAATCCATGAGGAAGAAGGAGCATCATCTATGTAATACGAATCAGACCGGAGATCCGATGTATTACTGGGCATGTTTCTGGACTATCCAGACAGGTGAGGGGCGCAATTGATTGTCGTTGAGGCTTTCGGGGTTTTGGCTCGTCGGCGACGAGCGAATCGCAGTGCAGGGCCTCGATATTGACGGTTGCAGGAGGAAACGGTGCCAGAGAGTGGCTTCACGGTGGCCCTATGAAAATCCTCACGGGCCATGTGACAGGGAGCTGACCTGGGTTGACCCCTGTCTCCTATGTTCCACTCGATCCGTGGAGTGGAGGTGCTCCAAGGGCCAAGCTCTTGCTCGGATGCTCGCGAAATCACTCAGCACCACATCCTCAGTGACCGTCGAGCCAACAGATGCGATGCCATGCCATGCCATGCTGCGCGACAGCTGACTCCATCGTCATTTCTTGGACGGGAGGAGAGCGCCGCTGACTCTTGGACGTTCTCGGTCGGCCCCGGAGAGAGCAGCCAGTGCCGCCATTCATCCGCACCGTCGGCGTCGTCGTCGTCGTCGTCTGTGAGCGTTAAAGGACACCACCGTCCTCTCGCTTATTGGGTCGCACTCAGGTAACTTAAAGTAAGTTACTAGTGTTAGTACCCTGGTGGGGTAGTCGTCGATGGGGAGAGCGATGGGGATGTGGGCATAACACTCCGTCTCAAGGTCGTTAATCGAGCAGGTGCGGTGTTTAGAGTATATAGACTCTGGTGATGGGGGTAATATGTGTTGATGGTAACACGAATCTCACCGATACAGAACCAGCGTGGACTATCGGTCTCTAGATCGGCCTCTTTTCCACCACCCCGTTTCGTTTGCTGATTGCTTTTCTACCCTGGCTTGGCTCTGCTATTGCTTGGTATCCTGCTGCTCCAGCAAGCTACCTGGTCCCCTAGACCTCGGGAGCTTCCTTCGTCCGCGTTTAGTCGCTCCAGTACTAATCCAGGCTTGCTGACCACCAGGGCAGATCAGTTGCCCTCGGCATATGCCCAGATGCCCAGCAGCCATGGACATCCACCATCGCTGTAACTGAGGGATTGCCGCATTGGACCAGACGCTGGATGATAAGTTGACTCTTCGAGCAGAGATGCAAGATACTATATCATGTCGCGTCATTACCCATCACGAGTCGCACTCGATGCTACTTCGTCCGAGCTCTGTTTCTTTAGTAAAGCTCTGGGGGCTATTCCCGTTGTCACCATAATTGCTTGACGGCATGCCGAGACCAAGTGGCTTTCGCTGGCTGTCGACAACCCCGGTCGGTCTCCTCTTGTCACCTTGTACCTTGGTCTTGTTCGGGCTCCTCCCAGGATTCATCGAGTCTCGACGGTAGCATTGTGGTCCAGTTTCCCACCCCCAGTCTCGAGCATCCCCGTCCAGTCAGCCAGCCCTCTTTTGACGCTCGAGGTCGACCTTTAATTCATCCGTTTTCACCCTGCCCAGCCCCAGTCCTCGCCAGTCTTGCCATGCCCATTTCGAGTCTTTCCCTCACACCCCCCAACTACCTCGTCCTTTGGGCTTAGGGTCCGTAGACCATTTGACGACGACCCCTGCGGCTGCATACGAACTTACATATGTATCAATCTACGGCTCCTCTCCATGTCTGCATCTGGCCCTGCCTCTGTCGTGCATTTAATACTACTATCTCGACAAGCCCCCCGGAGCTCCCGCATTGCGTCGCGGCGTCTCTTTCCTGCTGCGAATCCTCCTCGTTGGTGAGCTGCCCGTGAGGTCCGGTATTGACTTGCAGCTTTGTTTGCTACGTCGCTCAGCCGGCTGCTGCCTTTGCCTTCTCTGCCACAGCACGGAAAGCAGCCCGTCTGCCGTCCTGTCCCTCCATCCCCCAGGGCGAGCAGCGTAAAAGGCACCACGAAATCAGGCCGAATCGCGAGGAGAGGAAAACAAGAAAGAAGGTGGCCAGCTCAAAACTGGCCAAGTCGAATTATTCCACAATCGCCGGCACCCATCCTGGTCGTGTGTTGGTTGGCGGTTTCTCCAGGATCGGCCGCCTCCTCTCACGCGCGCTTGAGTACATATAATCGAGTATCTACTACTACTGGTATCGGTCCCTCTGCGTGCGCATCTCCGCCATTCTCTTTTGGGAGACCTGCCGAAAAGACCTGCTTGACCAACGCTGCTGCAGCTTCCAACCGCACACGAGTGTTTCTGGCCGCCAGCAGCAGGCCACTGCATCCCCCCTTTCGGGCCCCAATTGGCTGACTGGATATGCATGTCGACTCCCGTCCGTAGAGATCAAACCGCCAACCCAAGTCCGGCAGATCTCCACCACCGTCGAGTGCTCATCCTCCATCTGTGTAGATCGGCGCAAATACATACGTACATCTCGGCCGCAGCAGATCTCGGACCCCGTTGTGGCCGCCAGTCAATGCAGCCACTCGGCAGAATAACACCAACATCACCTCTTGTATAAGAGGTTGCGCTAAGACGACGATATGCACAACATGATCGGCTCGTCGTCTGGCATCGACCAGGATAGTCATCTTGCTTCGGATCATACCTTTGCCAGTGATCAATGGGTCGGGATGAATCCATACAACCAAATGCCCATGTCAAATTATGGGAACGAGTATTATATGACATCGGTTACTCATGGGCTGCCCTCTGAATCCATCAATGCCGGTCACATGGGACCGCCGCCAGTCCCGCAGCAGATTCATCATCAACAGAGTCAGCATTATGCCAGTCAGCTGCCTCACTTGATGATACCGACACAGCAGAGCACACCACCGGTGTCATGGCCCAGCCTACGAACGAATCCAAGCCAAACTTACTCGTCACCACCGGTTCCTATTCCGCCCCCGTCAGTAACCCAACCGCTCAAGCAACAGCCCAAGTTACCGTCAATCACGACCTCGACCCCCCGGAAAACTTTGACAAATGAAGACCGTCGAAGAATGTGTCAATTTGCTGAAGATAACCCCAAAGTAAAGCAGAACGAAATCGGACTGAAGTTCGGAGTCGAAAGGAGGTAAATAGACTGTTCCGCGGCAATAGAGTTGCTCTAGACTAATCTGCTGCAGTACGGTGTCCAAGGTTTTGCGAAAGAAGGATCAGTACCTGAATCAAGATGATCGGAGCAGCTCTCCAATCAAGAAGCCAAAGGGCAAGAATGCCGGCGAGCTCGAGCGGACCCTTGTGAACTGGGCCAGAAATCAGCAGAAGAAGGGAGTGGTCGTGACCGACGAAGAGCTTGAGACTCAAGCCAGAGCCTTTTTCGCTGGAACAGGTAGTTCTGAGAATCCCGTAAAGATCATCACCAGATCTTGGCTGGAAAAGTTTAAGCAGAAGAACGGCATGGGACCAGGCAAGCTGATCCGCAGAGCATCGGAAACGGCCATCCCAGACAATACTCAGCTCTCTGCGGACTCACCAATCCTTTCAGCATCTCAGACCCCAGGAGGAATCTCGCCAGCTTCGCCTGTGGGCCAGTCTTCACCGGCTATCGTGTCAGCGACTCCTAGTAAGGAAGGAAACGACACATCGGGCGCCTTCGCAGATTTTGAGAGCGGCCAGTACAAGCATAATCAAAGCTCGACATCCCTCCACAGCGCTGTCACTGACCCGTCTTCATCATTCTCAGGGAGTGCATTCAGCCCTGCTTCACAGTTCACGTTCTCGCCGGATCCGAATAGCGGTTTGTTTGAGCCGAATCGTATGTCCCTTGAAGCATCGAACTTCCAGCGCCCTCGGAGCCAGACGTTCCCAACTCTGGATATAGAGTTTGCTCAGCAGCAGCCTTCAGAACCCCCGACGCCTAAGTACAGTGCCTCCACAACGGCGCCTTCGTCTGCTTTAGAGTCGCCAGCACACGAAATTGCCGCTCCGACGTTTGGCATGGACGCAACAATCTCTCCCACTTTGCATCACAGCCGTAGCAGCAGCAGTCTTGGGGGGAGATCGACAAACACACCAATACTTCCCAGTGCCGTCGCATCTTCGCCGGGTTCTCCTACACAAGACGACGCAAGAAGGGCTGCAGATACTTTACTGAGTTTTATGCAGCACATGCCGACGGGTCTGGTGAACCACGACGAGTATGCAGCCATCCTTCGGCTGACTGAGAAATTGCGCCTACACCAACAACACCAATCTTTCAAGGCCACAGTGCCTACTGGCATGGGTGGACTCTCGAGAATACCAGAGGGCGATACGGAAATGTCGAGCATTGCGCCTCATTTGATGAAACACGAGCTCAAAGACGACGCCATGATCACCGGCTAGAATCTCCGAGAAACCCCAACCAAGGCACACCTTGTCACGTTCGCTTCCGAATATCTTTCATCACCATATGGCACCCCAGGACTCGGTATATCGACAAAATGACGCCGGTTCTTCAGCCATGCTTATGAACTTGAAACTTGATTCGCTATGGATACACAGAATTTAGGTATGGCAGCACCGGCAGTATCAGACCGCCGCACTTTGGAATCGATCACTCGAGTACGGAAAACCAGGGGCAACCCGTTGACATATGGATACACATGAAGTCCTGTCTCACGACAGATGTATGTATGTGCTTTGTGCAATATAGCCGCCGCCCACGCGAACGGATCGAAACGGACACCGAAACCTCCGGGAAACAAAAAAATAACAACTCAAATCTCTGTTACTTTATTTCGACACACATCTCCGGCCCTACATTTTCATCGCCGACCTCACGAAGACTTGTCCACGCTCGCGCGTTCGTCTGGACACAAAATCTCTTCTTTCACAGTTTTTGCGTCTTGCTTTCCCCGTCGATACCGTATATACAGTTCAACTGTCGATCACTCGACTTGATATCATATTCCTCTTCTGGACTTCTCTCTATACCTTTTTTCTTCTTCCTTTTCCTTTTCACTCGTCTGCATCTTGGGATTTTCTTAGGGTAGTGTGTTGGGTCTACAGGCCGCGGATGAGCTAGGGAACAGGGAACAGGACAGGGCCCCTGGGCAAACATTAACAACAGACACCGATCGGAGGCATGGCAAAGGGAATATCCAGAGGATGAATGGACCGCTTCACAGCATCACGATGGGCGTCATAAGTTTTACTTTTGCTTTTATTGCGGTTGATTTGGTTTTCCCCACAGCGTTTTTTGCTTTCTATCTTTTACTTGGTTCTTTATTCCCCGTCCGTTGACCAAATTGTTTCCGTCTTTATTTTCGACGTTTTATATCTTGTGGCATTGGCCCAACCCGACGAAGTATGTCGTTTGGGAAGTATCTACGCCTGGCCGGGGATGGGAGGGAATGAGAGGAGGCTTGAAATGTGCTGGGAAATGAGGGCAAAAAGTAGTATGACGGAGGTGGGATTGGATGCGAGAACTTGCGACTGGGTTGCCCACCTGTTCTATCTCGACGTCGAGCAGCCACGCCTCTGTGAAAAGGGGAGAGCATGCTCGTTTCGCCATAGAACCAGGCGCCGGCGGCAAGGAAGCAGTGCTCGTCGGCACGCTAATTTCACGTCTCTCGTACTGCACATAATACACACTCATTCCGCCCTCCCTTTGAAAAAAGGGGAGGGATATCTAAACTCACATCCGAGGACCCGTTGCGTGACAGGCCCTCCTCTTTTCCTTCTCTAGACCGTGGTTCTGAATTGCCTCCCCTGCATTGATCTCTAAATGTTTCCGATCACGTTGAGGAGTACCTGGAAGGGCTGGCCGCCCGCTAAGACAGGACTATAGCGTGACCCCACCTGGGCTATACTAACTTGCGGACTATGCCTAAGCGCCCGCCATGATTTGCATCCAATGCAGCAGCGACTGACTATCGGAAGAGAGGCGGTTTCGCAGGAACCGCAACCGAACGTCGAAAAAAAGCAAAAAATGACATGTCGCCGGTTCTCGGCAACGGACAACCCACATCACACTCCGTGTCTCGCGTGGTCCCGAGCGTCTAGACCCTTACCCCCCCATTCCGCCTTTCCTCGGCCGTCAGTTCAACTGTGTGTGTGTGTGTGTGTGTGTGTGGTTTCTGCGTACATGTGATGCGAGACCCCCAGAGGAGGCAGGGACTGAGACACTCCACGAACTCCGATACCTGACTAATGAGTTTTAGTGTGTCAGTCCGTCCGCCCACCCCGGCCGAGCAGGGTCCCAACGACCCAGCCTTGTCCCTGTACGACGGACGTGTGGCCATGCGCCGGATGGGGGGGAGGGGAAGTGGGAGGGATGGGCGGATGGACAGATGGGAAGGGATGATACGGAGGGTATTGGGGAGAGAGGCAGACAGACAGAGCGAGAGGGTGGTATTAAGAGCGCGCTAATGCAATAAGACACACGGACCCGGGGCAGGCAAGCAGGCAAGCAAGCAAGCAAGCGGACAAGGGCACGTAAGCAAGCAGGCAAGCGAAGCCAAGTCGGTAGAGAGCAAACGGACGACGTGACACAAGCGACGTAGTATCAGATTGGGTATCAATGAATTGAATTCTAGGTACAGCACCTGGAAGGGCAATTGAAGCTCGACAGGAACCAGGGGGGCCGCCGCTTCGACCAAACAAGAGAAAAGCAATGATTCATTTCAGGCACCACCTCTTGACCTCGATCGAGGCCCCACCCGTCCGATGTCTTCTCTATCTGTCTGTATGTACAGTATGCATGTAGGCGCCCTGCGGCTCTTTTCTGCATCGGAAGACGCACGAGGCATACCATACGTACGTACGTACGTACGGTGCGTATAGTCTGTGCGTACTTGCCCGCATCGACCCCGGCGCGGGCGCCGGCAACGGGCATTTTCATCTAATGTTATCCAGACCTTGGGCCTGGGCATTGTTTTATTGCTGTAAAGGAGGTGTTTTAACTGAGCCTTTCCTCCCAGAGCTCGATGATGCCGTTCTCGGCCAGCTCGGGCATGAGGCGCACGAGGACCAGCTCCAGGATGCCGTACATGAGGTGCTTGTTGCAGTACGGATCCGAGAAGATATCTAGGATGCCGGTCTCGATCTCGGACAGAATCCTCTCGTCCTCGCTTGTGCTGCTGTCGCACGGTGATGTCTCGCCCGTGGACTCGCTGTGATCATTGCCCTTTTCGCCGGTACCGGGCCCAGCGACGTTGGCAACACCCCGCGCGTGGAGTGTTGCATCGTCGCCCTTGGGCTCGACGCCTTTGCCAGGGCCATCAGCTCCGCTTTCCTGGACGTCCTCCGTCGTCTCACTCGCGGCGGGGTACTTAAGTGCGGCGCTATTATCGCTATAAGCAGACTTCTCACTGTCTGGCGGTCCGGACCGTGAGGTGATCATGTTGTCGTCAGATGCCTTTTCGACACTAGCAGGCCCCGCAGCACAGGACGCCGCGCTGCCAGCCCCAGGCCACAGTGAGGTCGACCCAAAGTACAACCTACCAACACTCTTTGGCACAAGAGCCCAAATGGCGCTAGCGCACCTCCGCCGTAGGCCAGCCAGCTCCTCTTCGGACGAGGGGGCGACGAGAGTCGAGGCGCCTGGGGCATTGTTAGGATAGAGAGAGGCGCGGACCGAGCGTAGCAGTGGGGGTAGGATAGCTGGGTCTAGGATTGAAGTCTGGATATGGTGGGAAAGGAATCTGCCAAATGACGATATCGTTAGTCCATGCGCTTTTGTTTGACAGTAATAAAACACCGATAATGACGATCTGCTAATGGCATGATATAAACGGCGTGGGGGTTACAAGGGAGAGCTTTGCTTGTCAAGTAAGCGAAACCTGTAAAGCAAGGGGATCAAGTTACACAACCTCATGACTTGAGGGGGGCCAATAGCAGGGAGAATGCCACCGTCAATCAGTCCATCAAGAGGCTCACTGAGGCCCTTGAGCGATTTGCAATAAGTATCACACGGCAAGAATTCTGGTCAGCTTGGGACACCTGATCGATGCAACGACAGGGCAACTGAAACTTCAGTCAATCCGGACGTCATGAATTCATTCACGAGGCCGGCGAGGGAAGCACTAGACATGCAGCCACCCAGTTCGGGTCTTTTCGTTGTGAAACACAGCATGGGGTTTGGGAACTATTTCAGGTGCAAGCCGGGGTTAGCTCGAAGGCCGAACACCTTCTGGAGAAAGAACGTTGCAGTGGTTATAGGGTTGAACCAAGGCTCCGACATCAGTACTCTGATGGGTTTGATCTCCAGGCCCAGCGAAGCCTCCTAGGCCCAACATACACCAGAGCTCTTCTGTCATTAATGACATTGCAAAGACTCAAACACCAGCCTGCTGGGTGGGCGGCAAGGATTGAGGTCTCGTATACTGGGATTGGCAAAAACCGTCGACGCCATAGTTTCCCACTTGGACGACCCCAGCGATGATCTTAGGAACCATGATATTGTAAGATATGTTTGCGCTTGCGAAACGGACGGTAAGTGGGGCGGCGTAGAGCGAAAAGGTAAAGAGCTCGTAGCGTTACAGCAAAAGTGAGACCGAACCAAAGAATTTGAGATTCTGGTACGGGATCTGGATTACACTAGAGGGAGGACCCTTGCTTGACTCCGGCTTGGGCGCGTAACTGAGGCTTCCGGGTGGTGAGGCTAGGCTAGCCCCGCGCCGTGAACCGTGCAATCGGATGAAGAATAGTCAGGAACGCCCGTTTATTGGCCAATGGTGACGAGTTCTTCCAGATGAATTCGGGTAGGGGTGGCAGTTGACCGTTCTTGTGGAAAATAAACGGAGCTCTTGGCACCAGTGCTTGTGAGCATGGCGTGCTCCAAGGGCAAGATGTGATTGTTGCACGACATTGTCGCAGAATCAATGCCCGTTAAAGGGGGTGTGAATCGAGCAACTGCCAGACTGCTAGCATCGGCTCATTCTCTTGAAGGGCTCTCACAATTCGAAAGGAGATTAGTGTGATTGGATGGGATGGAGTGAAGATGCTTGTCCTCCACACTTGAAGGGACAAGGCATCTCTGAAAGCTGAATGGGCCAACGCCCAGTCAAGTGACCCGAGGTGTATGCGGGTGGCCAGATGGGGGTTTCCTGCCTGAGCATGAAGTAGGGAAGAAAGGTCTGCCTACCTATCAAGAACGCCGTTGTAGCCTGCAATTCTGCCTGGACCTGTCATGGCGCTCCATTGCATCATGGATAAGGCTCCGCTCAGCCACGGCATGCGGACATCTACCTCAAGTAACTCCGCGACGCAAGGCCAGAGCTTGAAGTCGACGACGGGAACTCTGAGTGATGCTGGGATTGATCGTGAGCCAGCCAAGGGCTTACTTGACTTCTCGTCAAATCGACCGCTCATTGCTGGCTTTTGATTAAAGAGCGGATGGGCTCTTGGGGGCAAATTTCGAGAGGAAACCATGGTGATAATGATGACACGGACCGTGTTGAACAGTAGGAACCCCCATTGAACAACGGACCAGAAGATCTGATCGACGGCCCAGGCCCTTCTGCGTCTCGCTGGCTGTTTGAGGGATTCCTGATCACGCGGTGGCGCCTGGTCTTTAGGACCAACGGCATCGGGAGGCCTAGATCTCCCGGTGGGCTCATGATTCCTCTTCGCTAGGCGCGTCAGAATAATAAAGATCTCCAACAGCAGCCATGGCTCAGAGAGCTTATTGGTGACCAGATTACCAATGATAAGTTCGGAAAAGATCTGGCCAACCAGCGACGTTAGACACTCGTTTTGGAGATCCTCAGTCGGGAGGAGCAGGGCCAGAACGCCCTGGACGAGCAGCTGACGATATGCAGCCTCATTCTCAGCCTGAGTCTGGACTGTCCTGGCGACGTCTGCCTTGGGAACTGGAGACAATGCCGGTAAAGGGCACAGCGAATGGTAGATGTCACGGCGATTGGCTTCGATGGGCGGCCGCGCCGCTGAACTTTTGGCAATGCGATACGCTGTTGATTGTGATTAGCTTGGTATTCCCGGTCCAATAGTGTTTCTCATGTAGTAGATGAACATGTCATTCGTGGAGTCAAACAAACCTCTGATATGTGCGTGCAGCAGCTCAGGCAGCTCATCAAACAGGAGGCTCTCTAGATCCACGGTCCGGAGTCGCTGCTCCAAGGCTCGGGTGCAGTGGGCTATGATCTGGACGATCTCGGCGACGAAGGTCTCGTCGGGGGTGATCTTGTTGTACCAGTTCTGCACGTACTCGCGCAGGATGACGGATATGAGAGCATAGAGGTGCAGGTCCACGTCGTTGCGGCTGGTCAGGGGCGGCAGCAGCTCGCCGATGGGCGCCGGCGTGCTCCTCCCCCGGTCGGCGGGGTGCTGGGCGCACAGCGTGCGGCGGATGAAGGCCGTCGTCGCCCGCTCCGAGAGGAAGTCGGACGGGGCTGGGCGGCCGGGGCCCCGTCGCGCGCCGCCCACCTGCGGCGTGCTCGAGCGGCTGGGAGGCTGCGGCCGCGCAGCGGCAGCCGACCCCGGGGTTATGGCCGAGGTCGCCGACGCCTTGGAGGGCGACAGGCCGGCGGTGGCTTCGAGGGGTGGGATCGCAGCCGTGGCCATGGCCGATTGAGGATGGGGCCAGGCTTATTGTAGTGGCATGATAGGTGTCGCGCTCTGGAATCTGAGATCTGCGCAGCCGTTCAAGGTATGCCGTGCCGTCTTCGGGCGTCCGATCAACCTATTACCGTGGCCGGGGGGGTATGTCGTTGGGAGGTAAGGTTAAGCTCAAGAACCCACATGCCCTGGAGGCTCTGTCTAACCTGGGACCAACGTTGGCACAAAGCAGCCCGACCATGCACGCTAACTAGCTCTCCAAGGCAGGGCGGGCTGTCGAAGAAATGACAGGCGGCCGTAGCGAGATCGCCCGCCTGCAGTAGGTCGCTGCGGGACGGCACGTGCGCTGGACCTGCAACTACATGGGGCCAGGGTTCTTTCTGTCACTACACATTGCATTCATAGGTATACCATGACAGTACCACCTTGAGCCTAACCATTACCTGCTAGAAGTGTACTCGTGAGGAATGTACATGAGGGGGTCTCCAGAGGACAGACATTTCCTCGGGTTGAACGGTCACCAGAGTAATGTTGCTGGGTGTACGCAGAGCGCAAACCATCGTGCAAGAGCCGTGTTGGTTTTGTACATGTGAATATACATTTAGTGTACAGGGCCGCGCCGGCCTGGTCTAAGTATGGTGCTTGTACAGACACTCCAACATCTACACGTCAACCCTAGTTCCATAACACCCTCGTCTACGTCTACTGCACGTCCTTGTGCGTGGTTTCGTACCTAAGAAAAAGGGTTAGCGACCTTTGGTTCAGTTGAGTCGAGTGTCAGCCAGCGTATCGCATACCTCTTGCCTCTGAACGCCCAGACACCCCAGTTGCCACAGGTGACATCCTGCGGGTCTTGGTCATTCAGATCCCACCGTTGGCTCCGGAACGTGTTCTCGCCCGGCTCCATGAGCAGGTCAAACTCGCCTCCACAGGTCTTGTTGACCCATTCGATATCTCTCTCCATGTCGAACTGCGTGTAGCCCGTGGCGATGATCGGCGCCTTCGTCTCGAGCAGCATGGGGATTGTCTCGGCCCACTCGTGCGAGCTGGCGGGGTGGCCCAGACCGGGGTGGAACAGCACAAAGCAGTCAAAGTAGGGGTCGTAGGGCTCGAAATGGCCCGTCTTGTGGATGGTATGGTAGTAGTCTACAATGGTGCTGATCTTCATCGAGGGCCATACGCGGTCCTCGACGATGGTGCCGAACGGGTTGGAAGGAGTCCGCGGCGGGAGGGGGAACTCGTCGTCGCGGTTCGACATGCTCTCGGGCCCGATGAAGACCAGGTGGAACTTTCCTCGGGGGAAGAGATGGGCGAGCTGCACCCAAACATTGCGCGGCAACGAGGACTCGGCTCGCGCACCCAGGATGAATATCCGCACCGGCGGGGCCTCTGGTCGCAGCCCACGGATTCCCTCGCCGCCTCCGGTCTTGGGCGGATGGAGCGTATACCGCAGGGCACTGAAACTCTTCAGACCCTCGGGCGTGATGCGGCCTCCGTCGCGAATGCTGTAGGGACTCAGCTCGTGGAGAATGCTGCCGACGGTGATGGGGTAGGTCAGCAACCTAGTGACCTGCCGCATGCTCCTGTCGTCGTTGACGGCCTCGAACTGCCGGGTATAGAGGAAGGTGTCCCAGTTGGTCATGTTGACGGCAGCCTCCTCCATCTGCGGGCCGGCATACTCGAACTCGGGGAAAAACCTGCCGGACCGCAAGTCATGGTCATCCTCGTTGATCTGACGCAGCGTGTCGCATATCTGCAGGTGCGCCTCGTAGTCGTCGGCCCAGTGCTCTTCGCTGCAGGACACGGGGATGCCGCAGTCGGGGCACTCGAAGCTTACGTGGGCCGGGGGCTGGCTTCCAGTGGTGGCAGCCTTGTCGACGTCGTCGGGAGTCGTCGGCAGACGGGTCGGGCGATGGTCGGGGTGAGGGCACAGGGCGTGCTGCCTCATGTAGGCGGCGCGGTGCCGTATCTCCGGGATGGGCGAGTTTGTATAGGAGTGGAAGAGGTCGTCGGGGCGCAAGACAGGTGTGTGCTTCCCCTTCGCATCTGGCGCGGGAGCGGGAGCGGGAGCGCCGGAGCCAAACTGGACAACGCCTTCATCGTTGGTCTTGGTCTTCTGGCCGAAGAGCGAGAAGGGCCGGGCAGGCCGTTCGAGGGACCGCGGGCCGGGCTGTCGCAAGGCGGCGCGAGAGAAAGCTCTGGACGACGCGGGGGCCTGGGTCCTCAAGGCCTGGGAGCACCTCCGACACACATGGGAAGCTGCCGACCGCATGGCTGGTTCCATTGGCATGGTGGCTGGCCTCGAAGTTGCGGACGGGACGAGACAAGATGCTCGTACGATACCTAGCGAGCTGCTCCACGGCCGTCGGCTTCTGCGCGCCAGGTCCAAGTGCGAGAGGTAGCTGGGGCCCAGTCCCCGAAATTTGGAGGTTTGGATCAATGATTCTCCGCCGGGGGCCTGCAGTGGACCGCCAGCCAAGGAGCTCCAGGCCTCCAGGGGCTGCAGCTGCCTGCCAGCCCAGCCAACGAGCCAACCAGGGCGCCACGAGCCACCGCCGACTGCCAAAAGCGGGCTGGAGCCTAGCGGGCAGGAGTCAGACAGTGGTCAGACCGTCAGAGCTCCAGTCAGTCTCCTCCATTTTGAAATTTTGGAGCTCTGGCCCTCGCGCCGAAAGAAATAAAACATATATTCGCATGCTGTTGCTGCCGCTGCTGCTGCCCTCCCCCAGCTCCCTCCCCCATCCCACGGCACCTCCTCGACGCGCCCGCGAACCCCTCCCAGACATCTAGAGCAGTCCGACGGGGAGCCGCGCAGCTCCTGCGCACAGACTGTCAAGATGGCCGCCACCTCGAGCATGTTCCTCTACTCCCTCACCGTCCAGCCGCCCACCACCATCACCCAGGCCATCGTCGGCCAGTTCAGCGGCACCAAGGAGCAGCAGATCCTGACCGCCTCCGGCTCGCGCCTCACGCTGCTGCGCCCCGACCCGGCCCAGGGCCGTGTCATCACGGTGCTGTCCCAGGACGTCTTCGGCATCATCAGGTCCATCGCCGCCTTCCGCCTGGCCGGGAGTAGCAAGGGTAAGTTCTCTCTCCTTCCCCCCACGTACATGAGGCTTCAGTTAGTGATTCTTGAAGCTGCCACGGTAGAAGCACACACGGGACCCTCTTGATGCGCGCACCCCTGCGTGTTCGTTGCCCAAAGGTCCGACACGCGTTCACACTCCTGACCGAACCCGCGCTGACACATCTCTGCAGACTATGTTATCCTGGCTACCGACTCCGGCAGAATTGCCATCGTCGAGTACATGCCCCAGCAGAACAGGTTCGTGCGGGACAAGCTCGAGACCTTTGGCAAGTCCGGCGTGCGCCGCGTCATCCCGGGCCAGTACTTGGCCTGCGACCCCAAGGGCCGCGCCTGCCTGATTGCCTCGGTCGAGAAGAACAAGCTGGTCTACGTGCTCAACCGCAACTCCCAGGCCGAGCTCACCATCTCCTCGCCCCTCGAGGCCCACAAGCCCGGCACGGTGGTCCTGTCCATGGTGGCTCTTGATGTCGGCTATGCAAACCCGGTCTTTGCCGCCTTGGAGATCGACTATACAGAGTCTGATCAAGATCCTACCGGCGAGGCTGCTCAAGAAATTGAGACCCAGCTCGTCTACTACGAACTTGATCTTGGTCTCAACCACGTCGTGCGGAAGTGGAGCGAGCCCGTGGACCCCACAGCCTCTATGCTCTTCCAGGTCCCAGGCGGCAATGACGGCCCTAGCGGTGTCCTCGTGTGTGGCGAGGAGAGCATCACGTATCGACACTCCAACCAGGAGGCCTTCCGCGTCCCTATCCCGAGACGGAAGGGCGCCACGGAGGACCCCCAGAGGAAGCGGACCATCGTGTCCGGGGTTATGCACAAGCTCAAGGGCAGCGCCGGTGCTTTCTTCTTCCTTCTGCAAAGTGAAGATGGCGACCTGTTCAAGATTACTATCGACATGGCTGAGGATGCTGAAGGAAATGCAACCGGCGAAGTGGCTCGCCTGAAGATCAAGTACTTCGATACTGTCCCCGTGTCAACCAGCCTTTCCATATTGAAGAGCGGCTTTCTCTTCGTGGCAAGCGAGTTTGGCAACCATCACTTCTACCAGTTTGAAAAGCTTGGTGATGATGATGACGAGCTTGAGTTCTCGAGCGATGACTATCCGACGGATGCCAAGGCGTCATACGACCCTGCCTACTTCTATCCAAGAGCTGCCGACAATCTGAGTTTGGTGGAGAGCATCAACTCCATGAACCCGCTGATTGACTGCAAAGTCGCAAATCTGACGGCAGATGACGCTCCGCAGATATACTCCATCTGTGGCAACGGTGCGCGGAGCACCTTCAGGACCCTGAAACATGGCCTGGAGGTCAACGAGATCGTTGCCTCGGAATTGCCCGGCATACCGTCGGCAGTCTGGACGACCAAGCTGACGCAAGGTGATCAGTACGATGCGTATATCGTTCTGTCTTTCAGCAATGGCACTCTAGTCCTCAGCATCGGAGAGACTGTGGAAGAGGTGACCGACACCGGGTTTCTGTCGTCGGTGCCTACGTTGGCTGTGCAACAGCTCGGAGACGACGGCCTGATACAAGTGCACCCCAAGGGTATCCGACATATCCGCAATGGTCGCGTCAATGAATGGTCCGCCCCTCAGCACCGCTCGATCGTTGCTGCATCCACCAACTCTCGTCAAGTGGCAGTCGCTTTGAGTTCTGGCGAAATTGTCTACTTCGAGATGGACGGTGACGGTTCGTTGGCAGAATATGACGAGAAGAAAGAAATGTTTGGCACCGTCACCTGCTTGAGCTTGGGTGAGGTTCCCGAGGGGCGGCTGAGGAGTTCCTTCCTCGCCGTGGGTTGCGACGACTGCACAGTTCGTGTGCTTAGCTTGGATCCGGAATCGACTCTCGAGAGCAAGTCTGTTCAAGCTCTTACCGCCGCACCGACTGCCTTGTCCATCATGTCTATGGAGGACTCCTCATTCGGCGGATCCACTCTATATCTCCACATCGGTCTTCACTCAGGAGTATACCTGCGAACGGTACTTGACGAGATCACTGGCGAGTTGACAGACACGCGGCAGAAGTTCCTCGGACCGAAAGCTGTAAAGCTTTTCCAGGTTTCGATCCAGGGTCGCACATGCGTCCTAGCCCTGAGTTCAAGGACCTGGTTGGGTTACTCAGATCCCATAACCAAGAACTTCATGATGACGCCACTGGACTATGATGATCTTGAATGGGGATGGAACTTCAGCAGTGAACAATGTGAGGAAGGCATGGTGGGAATCCAGGGCCAGAATCTCAAGTAAGTCGCAATTTTTGTTTCCCCCACCCTGCCCCTGACCGATGAGAGTGATGATAAATTGGGATCCTACGCCAAGAGCTTTGAGGATGAAACTTATTTATTTGTACCAATTGTTCCTACTGACTCATCAAACCACTTCTTTGATTTATCTTTCATAACATGCAAAGGAATCTGTGCTAACTAGAAGTACAGGATCTTCTCCATCGATAAACTGGGGGATACTCTATTACAAGAATCCATTCCTTTGACGTATACCCCGAAGCACCTGGTCAAACATCCTGAGCACCCATATTTCTATACCATTGAGTCGGAGAACAACACGCTTCCGCCAGACTTGCGAGCACAATTGCTGGCAGACCCGTCGGTGGTAAACGGGGATGCACAGGTGTTGCCTCCGCAAGAATTTGGATACCCTCGTGGTCGAGGTCGCTGGGCCTCTTGCATTAGTGTCGTCGACCCCTTGATTGAGAAGGCCGTGCTTCAGACTCTTGATTTAGGGGAGAACGAGGCTGCTGTTAGTGTTGCCACAGTGTCATTCGCCAGCCAGGACAACAAGACTTTCCTCGTCGTAGGCACTGGGAAAGATATGATTTTAAACCCACGCCAGTTTTCTGCCGGCTTCATCCACGTCTACAGCATCAGCGAAGATGGCCGGACGGTTGAATTTATTCACAAGACAAAGGTTGAAGAGCCGCCCATGGCCCTGATTCAGTTCCAAGGTCGCTTATTAGCCGGCATTGGAAAGACGTTGCGAGCCTATGATCTAGGTCTAAGGCAGCTACTTCGAAAAGCACAGGCGGAGGTAGCTCCACAACTCATTGTGTCTCTCCAGACACAGGGCAGTCGTATCATCGTAGGTGATGTTCAGCAGAGCGTCACCTATGTCGTCTACAAATACGAGAGCAACAAGCTCATTCCGTTCGCCGACGATTCGATTCCTCGCTGGACGAATTGCACCACCATGGTCGACTACGAATCCGTAGCTGGAGGCGACAAATTTGGCAACATCTGGATTGTTCGATGTCCCGAAAAGGCCAGTATTGAGGCTGATGAGGATGGCGGCGGAGCACACCTACAGCACGCCAGAGAGTATTTACACGGTACCAACCACCGTGTCAGCCTGATGAGCCACTACTATACTCAGGACGTCCCGACAAGTATTAGCAAAACGAACCTTGTAGTTGGCGGCCAGGACGTCCTTCTTTGGAGTGGTATTCAAGGCACTGTCGGTGTCTTTATCCCACTGGTCAGCCGTGAGGATGCCGATTTCTTCCAGAGCCTCGAATCCCACCTTCGAAGCGAAGATCCACCGCTTGCCGGGCGTGACCACCTCATCTACCGAGGATACTATGTGCCAGTCAAGGGGGTTATCGACGGCGACCTCTGCGAGAGGTTCGCTCTGCTACCTAACGACAAGAAGCAGATGATAGCAGGGGAACTTGATCGATCGGTGCGGGAAATCGAGAGGAAAATCTCGGACATCCGCACGCGGTCTGCGTTTTAAGCGGGTTGATTTGTGGCGTCAGGTAACGAGGGGGCAGGCAGCCATAATGTTCAAGAACTGACATAGGGTGGGCTGGCGTTTAGCGGCATGTGAAATTCAAATGATGAAAGATGAAAGACCCCAAACCAACACATTTTCACGGCTTCTTGATGAGCTGATCTATAACGTCATGTGTAATCACGGTAAATCCCCATGACAACGCCGCAAATAGTCTACACGGTTGCAACATTCAACCGCCGCGTCTGCGCAGAAAGCCACGACTTCTGCCCAAACCGCCACCTCTAGCAACCGCCTTCCCCCGCGTCGAGCCCCCAACGGGGTGGCTCGCTTCCCATTCCTCGTCTGCGATGTAGGCCTCGGCGGCTGCTCCCAGATCATAATCTGCTTGCTCCAGATACAGCACGGCAACGTCATACTCAGATACCTTGCACGCCACCATGAACCGTCTAATCTTGCCCTTTCGTAGCTCTTCGTCCTCGCCCTCGACAGGCCTCGGCGACAGACTTATTCCGCCTTTATAATACTCTCCAGGTATGATGACTGTCCGGCGGCCGAGTAGTAAGTGGTCGGACGTGATATTGTTTGTGCGGCGCAATACCGCTGCGGGGACCCCGTAACGTAAAGACAGGGAGGTGATGGTGTCGTGGTTGTGGTTGAGGAAATGTAGAACGTCCTCGGCCGGCTCCTCATCCAGAGGCACCGACTTCTCGTCCAGAGGGTCTGCGCATTTCGGAGCCGAGGCCGAGTACGGCGGCGGCGCCCGTGGGAACTTGGAGCTCTCGGCTATCGAGTGATAGGACGGTGGCTCCTTGAGCCCCGGGGGCAGCGCCGAGGGAGTGCTGGAGATCTGGCAGTAGGGACAGTAGGTGCTGAAGCGGGAGTTGTCCTGTCATTGGTGCCGGACGTGTCAGACGACGGCTGAGTTTCACAAATAACGAGACGGAGAGAACACCTGGACGCACATGTATACAGTTTCCGCAGATCACTCTCGGACAGCACTCTAGGGGCCGGTCGTCTGGCAAGGGCTTCTCGCCGCGGTAGCGGGGCACTTGGGACAGCAGGGTCGCGCAGGTACAGCAGGCTTCCATGGTCTCTTTCCTCATTGTGTGGACTATGGACGGCGGGGCCGCAGGGAGGATGGGAATGGTAGCTCTACAAGGTGGTGTGGGATATCGCGGTAATAATACAAGATTTGATTGCCTTCATGTGGTATAGGGGTTGTTGGAACAAAACATGTCGGGGTTAACGACGTACAGCATTCGGGTGTCTCGTGAGTGGCGTTGGTTGCTATCTATCAATGACGCCTTATCGATAATGCAGCACCAGCGGCGGGCAGTTCCAGACGTCGGGTTGGCGCTTGGTAGTGGTGGTAGTGGTGGTGGTGGTGGTGGTGGTGGTGGTGGTAGTGGTTAACTCCGATAGAGCGAGCCAGGCCGTTGAGTTGGCGCCACTGACATGGTCGCTGGCTGACTCGCCAGGGCTACGAGCCGGGTACACTTTGTGAGTCGAGCGAGTGATGCCTTTAGCTTTTGCCGGGTACATACGTAGTATCCAGTTCCCTCAGGATTCGGGCGCTTACTATAAGTGCGTGTCCCGCTTACCGTGGTCAATCACAATAATAGGGGGATGGGCAAGGCTTGCACAACTCCGTCGAGCGTTCTCTTGCATGTGCGCGCATTGGATCGAATTTCGACACTCATTCACGGCGCCGGGTTCTACCTGTCTGCTGCATATTCTACCCGCAGTTCGTCGCGGTCCATCTGGGGCTTGACGAGGCTATTCGTCCATGCAGATCCCTGCAAGGAAAGCTAAGACAACGGCGCTTGACCGGGAACGTCATTCCCCAGCTCAGAGCTCCAACATAACCTAAAACTATCTCCGTATTAACTTGCACATACCCCCCCGTCTTGCCCCGTGGAAAGAGTAGAGCCCGGGGTCATCACCTCGATGCCTGATCTGACCAGCAACACCGAACCGACCCAGCAGACATTCCTGATCTCGCGCAGTACACAATTGCCCGCGAGCCCCTAACTTAGCCGGCCGGCCACATTGCCCTCGACCGCCACCCTCGATATCAAAAACACCAATTCCCCCATGCGACTCTGACGGCCGGCTTCACTCACGGCCACCGCTTCAGCATGTCGGATCCAGGCCCCGCGGTGCCGCCCACGCCGGCAGGCCCCAGCATCCCCATCGCAGCGACGCGGCACGGCAACCCGCTGATATCGGTGCTGCTGAACGAGGCCGGGCTCGACTCGCCCACCTTCCGCAGCAATGCCCTGCACTTCTCGGACCAGATGGACGCCATCGAGCGCTGGCTCGAGGGCTACGCGCGCACCACGGCCAAGCTGTCCCACGACATGCTGGCCCTCGAGCAGGTCGTCAACGACTACCTGGCCAAGATCGTCCCGCCCAGCAACGTCTCGTCGCTCGACCACGACTACACCGCCCTCGCCCTGAAGCGCATCTCCGAGGGCTCGCGCGAGTGGTGGACCCAGATCCTCGGCGTCGCCCGCAAGATGGACACCGTGTCGGCCGAGCCCGTGCGCAACTTCCTGCAGAACGACCTGCGCGCCTTCAAGGAGGCCCGCCGCGTCCTCGACCAGTCCCAGAAGACCTTCGACACCACCCTCGCCCGCTACGTCGGCCAGTCCAAGGCCAAGGAGCCCTCGTCCCTGCGCGAGGATGCCTTCGCCGTGTACGAGACCCGCAAGGCCTACCTCAAGGCCTCGATGGACTACTGCCAGATGGCGCCCCAGCTGCGCTTCACCCTCGACAAGCTGCTCGTCCGCATCTCGTCCGACCTCTGGCGCGAGATGAAGCGCTCCAAGGACACGGCCGGCACCCTGGGTAGGTGGGGCCAGCAGATGGACCGCGTCCGCGGCTGGTCCAAGGAGATGGAGCTGACCGAGTCGACCTTCAAGCGGGAGCTCCAGGCCGCCCGGCGCGAGGTCGGCGAGAACTCCCTCATAACCTTCAAGCCCTCCCGGGAAATCGATGCCTACAGCGCATCCACGGTGCCGTACCTCGGATCAAAGGGACCTATGAACGTCAACACCGACGAGAAGGCCGGCGTGTACTCCGAAAAGCAGGGCTGGCTGTTCCTGCGGCTCGTGATGGGCAAGCCCGCCCGGCCAGCTTGGACGCGGAGATGGTACTACTGCCGCGATGGCATCTTCGGCTGGCTAGTCAGCGATCAGAAAGGTGTGATGACGGGCGAAGAGATCGGTGTCTTGCTCTGCAACGCCAAGCCCGCCGTCAGCGAGGAGCGCCGCTTCTGCTTCGAGGTCAAGACCAAGAACCAGACTCTGCTCCTCCAGGCCGAGACGCAAGCCGAGCTTATGGGGTGGCTTGAGGTCTTTGAGGTTGCAAAGAAGAAGGCGTTCGAGGCAAGCGTCGGTCGCGATACTTCGTCCCTCCCCGGTGGTGTTGACCCTGCCTTCGCCATAACTCCACCCTCGATGCCCGAGTTTTCTGCAAAGTCACTTGACGCGCAATTGAGCAGCGATGAAAGCGGGCAGAACTTTGAAAGAACCGGAACCCTCCCGGTACCAGGACAGGAAGGAGGCCTTATCCCAAGAGCGAGCTTCGACGTGACAACGGTTGGACCTAAGCGGTCGGCAACGTCTCTGGGCCGGGAGGAGGGAGAAAGCGGTCGAGATCATGCGGCCAGGATCATGCAGAAGTTGGATTTGCACCGGAAAGCGAACTTCTCTTCTAGTACAGATACTACGGCGGGCATGCCATCACCCGGGCCTACGGGCGGGATTGCTAGTCTCATCTCGGCCAGCCATGGTTTGCTTCCAGGCTACCCATCGCCGGTGATCGGGCAGATACAAGTCAGCCGTCCCCAGGCAAGCCCTACACTTCCTGGGCCAGAGCCGCACGCTGGCAGCCTCGCGCCGTCGACACTTGCTAGCCCTCCGGCGCCGACCAGTCTTAGTAGGACCGCCGTGGTCTATAGCAGCGACCGGACGTTGACCAACGACTTGGGCCACACGCTGCCCACGGCTATATTGGCGAACTACTGGGGAAGCAATGCCTGGGCCCAGGACTACGGTCCGAAACCTGCCCGTGCCGACTTCAACCCTGATGACCCCTTCGGACCGAACTCGCCCTCCATCAAGATGACTCTGAGCAATGATAACGGGGAACCCAAGACTCCTTCATCAGTCCACAAAAAGGCAATCAGTATGGATGCGAAGTTCGTCCGCCCTCAAAGCAGCCAGGAGAAAGTCGTCCAGGAGCAGTTCGCCTCGGGCTATCCCACGGAGCTGAAGACCAACACAGCCCAGTTCCGGCTGGTATTCCCTACTGTTCCTATAGATGAGAAGCTTGTTCTAGTCTTCAGAGCGTCTTGGACCACCAGCACCTCAGATCGGGGCAAGGACTCTCCAGTCATGGCTGGTAACGGCCGTATATACGTTACCCCTGACAACATGTACTTCTATGGCCACCAGATGGGCCTGGTGGTCGCTTATACGATTGCCCTGGATAATATCACGGAAGTGACAGCCGCGCCAGGTAGGGACTGCGACTTTGTCTTCCTCCACCTGAACCAGGATGCGCCAGATGTTTCTTATAGCAGGATATCCATCAAGGTATTCCTGGAGGACCTGGACCTTCTCCACGCCCGACTTAATCTCCTTGTAGATGATCTGCAGGCAGAAGAGCCCATGGAACTCATGGAACTGGTCAAGGCCCTGCTCAACCTGGAGAACGAGGAGCTGGAGGACAAGAGAAGCCCTAGTGCTGAAAGCTGGGAGGAGGTATCCGCGAACACACCCATGGATAACGGCACGCACGCCGGTAGAGCGGTCAGCCCGAGGAGCAATGACTTTGCGTATAAGTCTCGCTCACGCAGCGCGCGTAAACCTGCACCCAAGTTCCAGCTTCCCGCACATCCGGTTATATATGAGCCCGAGGACATGCAGCGGAAGGTGGCAGAACGCCATTTCGAGATCAGCGCCAAGGCTTGCTTCCATGTACTCTTTGGTGACAAGAGCTTTGTCTTCCCCAAGCTCTACTTCGAACGGAGAGCGAAGCAGATCGCCCAGGGGCCGTGGATTACAGGGGACGACCAGAAAATGCGGCGAGTATTCAGCTTCAAAGTCGAGTACGGGACCATGTTTGGCCAGGCCAAGGCCCAGGACATCACGGACGAGCAGACCATCGATGTGTTTAGTGATCACGTTACTTACGTCGTCACCCATGTTAAGACCGCGTGGCATCTTCCACACGCGGCGGCCTTCAAACTGGTGACCAAGATCGTCATTACCCACGTGGCCAAGTCAAAGTGCAAGTTGGCAGTCTTCACCAAGGTGGCCTGGTCCAAGTCACCAGCGCTCTCCAAGAAGATGGTCGAGCGACAGGCCTTGGACGACGCGGACCGGGACGCCGAGGAGTTGGCCGACGTGGCCACGGACCAGGTGCGCAAGATCGGGTCCCACAGCCGGACGAAGCGGGCGATCCAGGTCTACGGCAACATCGGGCAGCAGACGCAGACGGTGCTGTTCTCGCCGGCCGACGCGCAGGCGGCCAAGAAGCCGCACATCAGCCCGCACAGCCTGACGTCCATGGTCTTCGACACGGTGCGGTCCTTCATGGAGAGCGCGGCCTCGTCCGTCATCATGTGGGCGCTGGCGGCCGTCCGCAAGATGTGGGACGTCGTCACGGCCCAGCGCCTCCTCCTCGTCGTGCTCGCCCTCAGCGCCCTCGCCAACCTCGTCCTCTCGTCCCAGGGCGCCTCGACCTGGTGGGCCGAGCGCAAGGCCGCCGCCTTCATGCACCGCGTCGGCGTCGGCCCCAACGTCGTCATGAGCAAGGCCGTCTACCTCCGCGACCTCGACCAGGCGGCCCGCAGCTCGGCCATTGCGCCGTCGTGGCCGCAGGATAGTTACTGGTAAGTTGCCCTGGTTGTTTTGTTTGATTGTTTCTGCCCTACATTATTTCTCTCACATGATCGCTATTGAAAGTAACTCAGCTGACATGCGATACACAGCTATTCGACCTTCCAGTCCATCTCCAACAGCACCGACATCGACGGGCTATATCAGGACAGTGGCGCAACGCTGTCGTCGGCCACGAGCCGCGCGACGGCCCGCCGCCTCCGCCGCACGCGCCAGCGCCTCGGCGCCTACCGCCACGACCTGCTGGTCGCCATGCGCATGGTCAACAGCGTCGAGCGCGAGATGCTCCAGAGCGAGTGGGAGAACTGGCTGCTGGACGAGAACGCGCGCTGCGAGCAGGTCGGCGCCGTGCTGCGCGTCTGGAACGCCTCCGACGACAACGACGCCGCAGCAGCGAAGGCCGGCAGCGCCGCTGCGCTGCATCTCCCGCCCGGCCACGACGGGGAGGCCGCTCAGAAGATCCTCAAGGAGAAGGACGTCCGGAAGCGTGACGCCCTCCGCGGCTGGTACGGCGAGTACTGCGGCAGCTGCATGCAGGATAAGGAGGCGTTGCTCGTGGAAAGGGCGAGTTTGGGTATGGGATAGGCGGCCAGGGGGGTTTTACTGTACTCTTGAAAAAGAAGAAGCTGTGTTGTATCTTCTATGGAGAAGGAAAGATGGCCCTCTCCGAAGCTGCATGGTGTCGAGTCGGTACGAATAATGTGTAAGTGTCTAGAGACACAAGAAAACTTGGGGGCCCGAGGGTTGCTGCAGAACGCCCTGTGTATGTATATTGTACTGTACGCTGCTGTACATGATGATGGTCCATGAGTTGAATATCCACAAAAAGGGGCAAGGCGAGAGAGAAGTTTAAAAATAATGATTATCTCGAATGAGCGGTGCCCTTCACTTTTGCCGAGGCTCGACCCGTGCTCGGGCTGGAATTAAGCAGGCTTCTTGGTTGTCTTTCCGGCATGCACTGCCTTGTATGGCCTTAGCCAGGTATGACTGACTTTGTCTGATGCTAAAATGAATGTTCGAATAGGGAAGTTGCAGCTCTTGTTACACACTTGGCGATGGATTCCAGCGGTCGAATTGCCCTCATGTACATCTGCGTATACGTATATACGGTACTAGACGACGGGCTTCTAGTAAGGACTCCCATCCACCTTCGTAGAGACCTCCTTTCTCAATCAAGTTGTGAACAGTTTTTTCATTATAGTTCGCGTATACCCACTACTAAAGTAGAAAGTAAGGCTTAGTGCCAGCTTGCTCTTGAAGGTGAAATATCCAATGCCTCTCAGCATAGTATACCTATGTAACCACTTCCTGATCCAATGTTATACCAAACCCGTGTTGCTCATTATGCGGTAGTCTTCTCTTGCAAGCGAAGATCGCTTTCCGTTCGTCAAGCTAGATAACACCGCACCCAGTCCCCCCTTCAACTGCATCCTTTCAATGAAGTAGCCTCGTGCCCAGACTGCTGGCAACCCTTTTGGTCCATCGCTTTCAGCAAATGTTATTCATCCACTCGAATGAACATCATGGGACTTCTGGCATCGCTGAAACCAGAAAATGGTCCCAACTCGCCATATGAGCCTCCGGTTCCTGCCCTATCAGCCTGCACGAAACGGACATCGCATCCAACACCCTTTCTTTCACCCAACATTTCACACGTCTTTCGTACTAACACACCTCACTCTTGGTTATCGGGTCGATCGAACGCGGCCAGATGAGCTGCGGAATAGCTTTATCTCACTAAAATCACTCTGCTTTGTAGGGTGCTGCCTACATACAGACACATACTATCAGCCAGGAAATCAGTATAAATGAAAGAGATCTGAAACGGGATACGGAGAATTTGCTCAAGCAGCACCCATCAAAACATAAGCTACTACTTGCTCCCAATAGTTGCACTGATCCCATTATGCAGTTCGTGCCATGTACGCCTGCTCTGTTATCCTGGCTTCCAATGAAAGGAGCTTTGGTGGAAATAAATGACTTCCAAGCAGGAAATACATAGCGTTCACGGAAGACAGGCAATGCCAGAACCACGCTCCTTTTGAATCCCACATGTCTTGCATGGCTTTGGGAAGCTTGATGCCATGGCTTGATCCAGCTTTTGCTGCTTGCTCTTCTTCTTCTTCTTCTTCTTCTTCTTCTTCTTCTTCTTCTTCTTCTTCTTCTTCTTCTTCTTCTTCTTCTTCTTCTTCTTCTTCTTCAAATGTGTGCATGAATGCCCGTCGTACTTGGTCAAACTTGTCGAGTTTCTCGCCTTTGATTCCATCAATGGCACAACCGGTCAACCAGTATGGTATGTCCATCATCTCAGCGGGAAGGGTACATATCCACTCCAGATCTATCAAGCCCGTGACGTTCCAATCCTCGTCTACGAGAATATTGCTCCCGTGAAGGTCTGTTAGCTGAAGAAAGAAAGGGCCGTTGCGGAGTTCCCGCTTGGTATAATTGTGTGCAACTACACGAAGTAGTGTCTTAACTGCCATCTGGGTACGGCAATCGCTCTCATCGTACACCGCGTTTGGTTGGCTCAGGAAGCGATGATCATGAAAGGTGAGCATATCCGATATGAAGGCATCCGTACAGCTAACCGTCGCACATTCGAGGGAAAAAAGGGAGGTTTTTCGCGTGGGTGAACTGACTGCTTAGCTAGAGTGATGAGAGACGGTGGGGGACTTACGTGGCGGCCATCCATCGTCCCAAATCCAAACAGGTGGGGTGAGCGAATCTCCGGGCAATTCTCTTCTATCCATACATATGCTCCTACCTCACTGCTCATTTTCTCCTGTATGCTGCCGGGATAGCGGGATTCGGCAAGCTTGTGTGGCATTGGACAGCGGAATATGACCTTTCTGGCTGTGTTGCCTGACCTCACCTCAACAAAGATGCAAACGTTGAAGCTGCCTCGAATCCAATGATCCGACGGCAGCACGCTACAGACGTCTTCGCTGCCCAGCGCAAGATGATGCTTCACAAGAGCTTCGATCGCGTCTCGTTGGGCCCAAAGATCTTGATATAGTTTGTCTGTCGCGGGCCCATAAGAAAGTAAGTTGATGACATTGTCTTCTTCCTCAAGAGCTGACTCGATGGTGATAGGCTTGCGGCCCAGAAGCTCCAATGTCGGCGGCATAGCAATGGGTGGTTTTTAGCGGGCAGAGTCACACCTAGGTTGGAGAAAGAAATACTGTAAGCAAAATGTAATGAGAAGGGGTCGCACTTGAGGAAAGTCCAGTTCAGGCCAGATGATGGGGGCAGCGCTCTTTTAAGTCTTCGGATGCGAGTTGCTATGCTATGCAGAGAAAAATGTAGGAAAAAAACAGAACCAACACCTTACCCCTATCCAAAATCCGGCAAACCTTACGCTGTACACGATTGGAAACTGAAACAAAGTCCAGCGTGTTGGAAGACAAGTGGCTTGGACATATTTAGAGCAAGCAGCCGTAGGAGTGTGGTGTATTCTGCAACTGGATAGTTGTTGGCAGGACACTTCGGACGGACTGTGAAGCTCTTCCTTTGACGTCTACTGCTCCTGCATCGTGCTTAATTTTGAAGGATATGCCTTCTGGCATGTTGCAACCAGGATGGGCCGGTTGGAATTGAGTATCATGGTTGACCAACGGATGGTTTAGGTATGGGACGATCCGCTTGCGTTAGAGCGCGACTGATCGCTGTGGAGTTTTTCCGGCCGAGTGTCCTCATCCAACCACCCAGACTGGACCCTGGCCTGGCCTTAGTTAACTAGTTAGAGCTTTTATACCATAGATACCTTCTAGCGATCATCCGCATCTGCGCATGCCATGTGGGACTCTGGGGAGGGAGATCGGATTGAATCAGGGTTGACAGCTCGCAGAATGTTGTGCCCATATTGTATCGAGACATGAATAAAAGGATGCAGCGCTGTTCTGCTTTGGAGGGACTGCACATCCACACGAGACGACGCCAAATCTGCGTTTCCAGTAAAAAAGGCCCGAGGCTCATTCTAATAATAACATGATGTTAGCCGACAGGATGTCCACCTTCTACAGGGCTGTCACAAATGACGTTGGCCTGAAGGAGGGGACATTTGCATTATGGTAGTTCTGTATGTTGGTAGTACAATACAATCGTGGCTCATCCCCGCCACATTACAACATGGTCAGGACTCGAACGGCACAATAGCATTATAAACACGCATGGTTGCCGCTCGACATTTATCTGCCCTGCTGCGGAAAACAAACCACAGCACGAACACTACTTTACGTACAGCGTTGTCCCTTTTCTCCGTCCTCAATTATTCCAAGCAGAGCCCATTCCTACAGCACCCAAAGGTACGTGCGAAGTCCAGAACAATCGCAGGTATCCTCATGCTCACGCCAAACTAACTAAAAGATCACGTACACGCCATGGAGGAGCCTGCCACAGCACCGTGGGGTTTGAGAATCAGCGACGCCGACTTTAAGAAGCTCAAAGCTGGTTTCGAGCCTCAGGATCAAGATGACAAATATCGCGTCTCAGTCACGGATCAGAGCCAAAGCGGTACCATCTCTATCCACTTTTCTCGAACCGCGACGCGAAAGGAATTCTACGTGCTTATCATTAAGCCAAACGACAGTGGAAGCAGCACCGGTGGTGTGGAGATCGAAGCTATCACTTGGGAACAGAACAAGGGTGGTATTCACATCTCGGAGGAGCAGGGCAAGAAGGAAGTAGTGCTTGTAGCTAGACACCTTTTGGAGTGCGATTTTGATGCGCTTCCAGAGTACGACGTCTCGGATATGTGGAGTCATCCTGCTGCTCACATCCGTGCCAAGTGAGCGGATGCCTCCATCTCTGCCTTAGCGCCTAGGATAGGCCAAGTTGTCAATAGACATTACATCGTGCGACCTCTTTGAACTTCCCACAGGAAGGCAATATTTGCTAAGATTTTATCAGAACTACATTATATGTACCTTCAAGGCTTCTTGTATTTTGGTGGTACGTACTGCAGAAGTGGAAAGCACAGTAGGTAGGCTCTGGAACACCATTGTCTTCCTTCATCCCCCTGATCTATCAATCCACACAATTCATCACCCAACATATGCAGATTTCCTTTCTTTGGATGCACCAACTGCATGTGCGTTGGAACACAGCCGCGTCTCTGCGTATCCAACGCCGGCCCAGTGGTTTCTATTTTAACCTGAACTTGCCCGTATTCCTTCATATTCCTACTGATATCATCCTCTCCTGTTAAATGAGGTGAGAGTTACAGGCAAGCCACTGCAGTCCAACTGACTTGAAAAAAGTGACGCCATCTACAACAATGCCTGTCTGTAGGATTTTCCTTCGAATAGTCGGCTTCGTGTGGTTTCGATTTTTGGATCTCATACCTGTCATCTTGGTTGTACCTTCTTCCTCAGCTTTAATAAACGGTTTAAGAAACCGTCAGATACCACCTAACTGTATATAAGTTCTCGTTCCTTAGCTCTCAGATCTCTGAAATCCACAGCCAAGCAAATAGAGCATTCTCATACATTTCACATTTACAATTTACAGCCTAAACCCAAAAGTTGCAAGAACTCTCACAAGATGCACAGCTCTTCTTTCTTCGTCTTCTTCAGTCTTATTGCATCGCTGGTGAGCGGTATTGTAGCCACCACTCTCTACCGAGGCGATTCACGCAGTCCCGGGACTATCAAAAATGCAGGAGGCTTTAAGGCCAAGGGCTTCGATAGACCAGAAGGCACGTTGTTCCAGCATGTGGAAACACTATTGAAGCATCCTTCTAGGGACCCATTCATCTCTACCACGATTGACCTCGAGTTCGCCAAGGCCCATACGGGAAACGGATACCTTTACACGCTCGACTCTACTAAAATCACAGAAAAGATCTATGACGTTGCAAAAGAGTACGAAAAAGTAGGCGAAACGTATGGGCATGCCAAAGAGAAGGAATTTGCCGTTGAGCATTTGACCCCTGGGGCCGCCGTTACTACGGTCCAGAAGAAGAGCGACGGGAAATGGAAGACCCTCAAGATGCCGACCAAGCGAATGCCTGAATTTCCCGTCGAGGATGTATTTGTGGAATGATCTGTTTATGATGAAACGGATAGGACTTAGCCGGGGAAAAGGAAATGATAAAGGGGGTGGGAATGGGCAGGGATATTTGGCAGGAAAGGAAGACTTGATGTACTGGGAGAAGGAGGCCTTGATCCTTTGGATAACATGGTCGAGTAAGGCTGAGGGAATCGATTATAGTATACTTGGTAGCTTATGCGCTGACGCGTAAGGTTTTTTTTTTTGTTTTGTTTTTGCAGACTCTCTTTAAGATAAAGTATTATACATAGCTAGGTCGACCTCGGATTCTTCTCGTTACGGCGATCACTGTTCAACAATGATACCAATATGCCGTAGAGCCCTCTTCAACTCCGATTACTTTTATTGTTTCTTGCGCTTTCTTTGTCGCTAGTCCCGCGGCATTATCGAGGATGGTGGAGCTCACGACGTTGCCAAGTACTACCATAGTCGTCCCCCTGATTGCTTTTGTTGTTGATGTCGCCGTCGAAGCCATTGTCATGAGATATAGAAACTTTTTGACAGATTTGGAGAACAAGTAGTCTTTATAATGGGGGCTGAAGAAGAAACCTGCAGAATATGTAGTTGGTCTAGCTCAGCATTCTATGGGGAAACGGCTCGCACTTTGGCATACCCATCGTCTAGAAAAGTCTCCACACCTTCTTTCATCCGCTAATTACTTCCTAGTTATGTTTAAGCTCGTAAATCTCCCAAACCCGAATATCTCCAATCAAAATTGTTGGAAGCCTTATACCAACCCCAACGCCAGCGTTAAGCTAGATGTTAGTCCCTGTACAATTATACTTTTCCCGGGGCCTTAAATCACCGCAACTTATTATTCACATATACCCGGAATTATTGTAAACTTAAACTAGTAATTGATCGTTAGAAAATGAGAATATAAGTATTGAATCAAACTTGTGCTCAAACTTGTAGCATATAGCGCCTCCCTGCATTGTATTTCTAGTTCGCCTTTCCCTGATTCCATGTTACACGAAACTGGCGCCCATTGAGCGATGCTGCTTTCTTTTGCGGGCAAGCATGGCTTCCCATTTGTCAAGCTATATGACCCCGCGCCCTCTAATATCCACCTTTGTCAATGGGGTGACCCTATGCCGACTCAGCCTCAATGTCTCACAGCAGACCTTCCGAGGATTGATGCCTGATCCGTTGAGGCACATTTCTGCCTCCCCAGGGACCAGGAACACCACTTGGCTCACCTCAAGTTCTGCCTGAAAGTATCGAACCTCGCCTTTCGACCCATGTTATCACGATGCGGCTACTTCAACTTGGAGCCAACGACCACTTAACGCTGACTAGGGATGTTCATGACAACATACCTCCGTATGCCATACTTTCACACACATGGGGCGACGAAGATGGCGAGGTCACGATTAAAGATATTCAAGAGAATAAAGGGAAAGAAAAGCTCGGCTACAGGAAGATTCTGTTCTGTGGGCAGCAAGCCAAGCGTGATGGCATCGAACACTTCTGGGTCGATACTTGCTGCATTGACAAGACCAGCTCTGCCGAGCTCGCCGAATCGATCAATTCGATGTTCCGCTGGTACAGGCAAGCTCAAAAGTGTTACGTGTACTTGGCAGACGTTACGCACACCAGCGCTCAAGCTGATGATGCAGCTCGATCGACATGGAAATTGAACCTCCAGAAAAGCAGATGGTTTACCCGCGGGTGGACATTGCAGGAACTCATCGCTCCTCCTGTTGTAGAGTTCTTCTCTTCAGACAACCAAAAGCTCGGAAATAAGGAATCGCTGCAGCAAACAATTCACAATATCACACATCTGCCAATCCAAGCTTTGGTCCGAGATGTCCGGCTTTCAGAGTTTTCGATCGAAGAACGCATCAAGTGGTCTGACGCTCGCAACACTACACGTGAAGAAGACAAAGTCTACTCTTTGTTGGGAATACTCGAAGTGCAGATGCCGTTGATCTACGGCGAACAAGAGGGAGGAGCATTTGCACGACTCCGCAGAGAGCTATCTACACGCGAGACATCTTTGGCCAGGATAATTGAGAAACTGCCCGTCGCTCCTGGAGCTATGTTCGACTCTCATGAGGAGGAGCACAATGCTTACTGCGTACCAAACACCAGAGTCGGTATCTTGCAAGAGATCACTGACTGGGCCCAAGATCCTGAATCCCCAACAATTTACTGGCTATCAGGTATGGCCGGGACAGGAAAGTCGACTATATTGCGATCATTGGCACTCAAGTTCTCGAATACTGGTATGCTTGCGGCGAGTTTTTTCTTCAAACGAGGGGAAGCAGACCGCGCCGGCGTAACAAAATTGTTTACTACTATTGCTTATCAATTAGCCCAGCGAGTACCAAGAGCGATACCGCACGTGCAAAAGAGCATCGATACGGATTCTACCATCTTCTCGAAGACCACACGCGAACAGTTCGATAAACTGATAATGAATCCCCTCTCTGAACTTTCAGCAACGAGTACCAGCTATGCCAACCCCAGTTTTGTAATTGTACTTGATGCCCTAGATGAGTGCGATCGAGAGGAGGATATCAAACGCCTTATCGCGTTATTATCGATGCTCAAATCGCTACATACCCCAAGGGTCAAAGTGCTCGTCACCAGTAGGCCGGAACTGCCGGTCCGTCTAGGATTCCAAGCTATCAACGGCACATACCAAGAAGTTGTCCTTCACAACATAGCAGAAGAAATCATAGAAAAGGACATATTCACGTTCCTGAAGCACGAACTTGGTCAAATACGGCTGGAGTACAACGGCAGCGTCAACTCAGAGCGACAGGTCCCCATCGGATGGCCAGTTCACACCGACCTCCAGGCATTGGCTCATATGGCCAACCCTCTATTTATCTTCGCAGCAACTGTCTGCCGCTTCATCTCAGATCGTAAAGGTGGAAATCCTGTGGCGAAGCTACAAAAGGTTCTGGGGTACCGAGGAGTTCGTGGCTCAAGACTTACTGCCACGTATATGCCAGTCCTTGAACAAAGTATCGCAGACCTGTTGGCGGATGACAGAGAAGATGCCCTCAGCCGATTCAGAGAGATTGTGGGCTCGATAGTGCTGCTTGCAGATCCTCTCTCTGCGCACGCTGTGTCGCGCCTACTCGACATTGAGTTGGATACCGTCTTTGATGTCTTAGACCTACTGCACTCTACCCTCAATGTCCCAGATTCGCCCAAAGAACCCATCAGGCTACTTCACTTGTCATTCCGCGACTTCCTTGTTGACCCACAAGGCCAGCAGGGGGTGTTCCGGGTTAACGAGAAGAAAACCCACCAAAATCTAGCTTCACATTGCTTTCGAATTATTCGCCAATCATTGGACAAGGCTGACATCTGCGAAGTTGAAGCGCCAGGAACTCTGCGGGCATCGATAGCAGTTGATTGGATTAATGAGAAGTTGAGCCCCGACGTCCAGTACGCTTGTCGTTTCTGGTCTCATCATCTCAAAGAAGCCAACGCAAGTATTTCAGACGCTGATGAGATCTGGGGATTTCTCTCTTCAGACTTCCTCCACTGGCTGGAAGCAATGAGTTGGTTGGGCAGAACGTGGGATTGTCTCCAGGCAATCAGAGTTGTGCAATCGCTGCCTCAGGTACGTATACGTAAATATTCACTCGGGGTTTTCGGCTAACTCGTTCTAGTCCGGTAATTGCCAGAGCGTGCCACAGTTCATCACTGACGCCGTCCGGTTCATACAATCCGTGCGCACAACGATTCAAACCGCCCCTCTGCAACTATACTCATCGGCACTAGTGTTCGCTCCAACTTCCAGCGTTGTTCGTTCCATCTACGAAGGAAAAATTGCAAAATGGATATTGTTGCCACCCAGAGTGCCTTCAGCCTGGGGCCAGGCAATGTCCCTAGAAGGCCACACCAGCGTTGTCAGTTCAGTCGCGTTCTCACCTGACGGAAGGACAGTAGTGTCAGGATCGATCGATAAATCTGTCCGACTTTGGGATGCCGATACGGGCGCACCATTACAGATTCTCCAGGGCCATAATGGTGCAGTCAACTCTGTCGCATATTCACCGAAAAGCAGAACAGTGGTGTCAGGGTCGAACGACAGAACCATTCGGCTGTGGGACGCTGACACGGGCGTATTACTAGAAACGTTCAAGGGCCACACCGATACTCTGAAATCAGTTGCATTTGCACCCAATGGCCTGATAGTTGCATCATCGAGTGTTGACTACACAATACTGCTTTGGAATATTAAGACGGGGGAGATGCTCCACATGCTCGAGGGCCATGACAGCATAGTCTCTTCGGTTGCGTTCTCGCCCGATAGTAAGACGGTAGCATCGGGGTCTTGGGATTGTACAATACGGCTTTGGGATGCTGACACCGGCGTGCTGCGGAAAACCATTATGGTTAATGACAGCGCCCACCATGACAGTGATATTCTTTCGGTCGCGTTTCCCCATGACAATGGTCGGATGATAGCCTCAGGACAAGGGAATGGTGCAGTAAAACTCTGGCATACTGCCACTGGCGAGTTGCTGAAATCGCTACATAACGGTGGATACCGGGTTCCCTCAGTCATCTTTTCGCCAAACGGCCAGAGGCTGGCATCGGTGACAATGAATTCGGTCCATTTTTGGGATCTCAATGCAAACACGGTCCTACCAACGTTCGAGAGCGATAGAGGCGGCAACTCAATTGCGTTCTCACCCAACGGCCTGACAATAGCGTTGGCAGGCGACTACAGAGTACGACTATGGGATGTCATGTCATACATAGAATCACACACAATCGGATGCCCCAGCGCTACGGTTGCTTCGGTCGTATTCTCGCCTGACAGACAAACAGTGGCGCTGTTCTGCATCCGACATGATAGGACACGTTATCCATATGCGTCGCTCTGGAACGCCAATACTGGCGCTCCATTATACCAACTTGAAAACGCCAGAGGCCTTGTCTTCTCGCCTGACGGCAAGGTGCTAGTGTTTTGTTCGACTGATGGCATGATGTGCATTCACGATCCTGGTACAGGTGCACGGCTACAATTGTTGAAACATGAACTTGTTGACGAAGTTGTATATTCGCCTGATGGTAAGATGCTAGCGTCGTTGTCGAGGGGGCGTGAAGTGCAGATACGACTCTGGGATGTTAATACCGGCACACTGTTACAAACTCTCAATCACGGTAAAAATGTCACTTCTGACCAAACGATCGTCTTCTCACACGACGGCAAGATGCTACTGTCCGTATTCAGAGAGATTGTGTGGCTCTGGGACGTTGCTACAGGAAAGGCGATACAAGAATTTAAGCCGAACAACCGTTTAATAAGCCTGGGAGCGTTGTCAGCTGATAAGAGGTTGATTGCCTTGGGCGGACATGAGACGATACAAGTTTGGGATGCTGTTAGAGGTATACTGCAACACTCACTCGCACCCCGCCATGGTTTTATTAAGTCGATGACTTTCTCCCCCAACAATCGGATATTAGCCACATTTGCGAACGGAACCGTGCAACTATGGAATACCGACGCAGGCACGCTACTCCAAACGGTCGATATTGGAGCTGAAACGAGTACACTGGAGTTTGACACCACAGGCAGCCTGATTGCTACAGACGCTGGTACCTTCGCTGCACCTAGTCTCACGAATGCGGTGAGTCATATGGCTATTCCGGCGTGGGGGATTAGCAGCGACAGACAATGGATAACATATGGGCGCAATAACATCATGCGGCTCACTGCAGACTATGTTCCGAGAAAAGTTGCTATATCGGAGTCTACTATGGTTATTTGCTGCACAGCTGGAAGAGTTTTGTTCCTGCGCTTCGAACACCCGTTCCCAACAAACTTGTTGCCTCGTAGCTCCACTGAGGAGTCACAGGCAGAGCTCAGAAGCTGAAAGTCCATAGTTATGTAGTAGTACTATGCATGGTAGCATAGGCCGTTCTGGATGCCATGTGTGTAGGTGCTTCCTCGCAAAGGGAGCTCCTGATTTGAGACTATTGGAGACACAAATCCAAATCCCTTATGCTTGAATGAAGAGGTAAGTAGAGCCCTAAACCTGTGTGTCGGTTCATTTTGGCAGATTACTAATCCCTGAGCGAAAGCCCATGAGCCATTGGCCGCTGTATATAAGTCCTCGAGGAGACACATTGATAGGAGTTGTGGGAGTCGGCAGCATATGTGAATGGTACTCATTTCTAAGCACAGCTCTCTCGCACGCCGATGCTCGTGTCTTTGTTTTGAATATCCCCATCAACTGCTCCATGAAACGTCTTCTGCTGCCGTAATTGGGTTCAACGCGTTGCTGAACCGGCGTGTCTGACCTGCGTGAAGACCTTGCAACTACTACCATTGCCTTTGCCACCTTGGTGCCTTTCTTGAAAAAAGGTAACGATGACGTTCGAGACCACATTCATGATGTAACAGAAAAGGCAACTAAGCTAGATAATACGGTGTCGTTATCGTTTTGCAGTTGTCGGCTTCATTATCAAACCTACCATCCAACAAAGACGTATTGACTGCTCCAAGACAAGCTCTGTATAGTCTACCACTAGTCTCACGTCAAAAGACGCCCGACAAAAAGCCGTAAGGGCAACCATAGCGTACATGCCTCACCCCTGACTACCTCCGAGGCCTTGTCCCCTCTGGCCAGTTCCATACCGCACCAAGTAGGTAAATAGTATGTACAAGTTCACCGTCCGTACTTCTCCTCCGCTTAATGTTCCCCCCCTCCCAGGCGTATCTGTATGGGTGCACACGGCTCCAATTCATTCCCCAAGCTGCCTCTTTTTCTTCCTCTCGAGAAATATTTCCATGAGCTTCTCGCGCTGCACTCTGAGCTTCACAACCAGACTATCGGCGCGCTCCTTGGCCTTGTCGGCCTGCATTTGCTGGCGCTGCTGCTGTATCTGCAGCTGCATGCCGCTGCTGGCGCCCCGGGTGCTGCGGGCCGGACTGTCATAGATGCTGCCGACCGCCGGGGGCGTCTCTGTCGCCGCCAGCTCTGACACAGGAGGGGGAGGGGGAGGCGGCGTCATGAGCTCCGATCCGCCATTTTCGTGGACGGATGGGTTTGGATCTTTACTTCCGCGGGCGGCGCCAACGCTCTAGGCCGGCGCCGCATTGCTGTTGGCGGCCTTGAGGGCGGCGAGCTCGGCCTCCTTCTTGGTCGTCTCCTTGTTGAGCTCGAGGATCATGGCCGTGACCTTCTCCTCGGCCTCCTTGATGCGCTTGATCTCGAGCTGCTCCGTCTCGCGGCTGAAGGGCTGGCCGGGGCGATTGGTCAGCGGGATCATGGCGCTGCGCTCCTTGACGTCGCCCTCCTCCTTCTGGGACGGCGTGGCGGCGGCCGACTTGCCCTTGCCCTTGCCCTTGCCGGTGCCGGCGGCGCCGGGGGCGGGTGCGCCCTTGTCGCGGGCGCCCGAGGTCAGGATCTTGTAGAACTCGTCAAAGGGCTCGTTGAACAGCTGCTCCTCGTAGGTCCAGGCCAGGACCTCGCCGGTGCCGTTGTTGCGCATGGCCTCGCGCTCCTCGTCGGTGCGGCCGTAGGGGTGCAGGCGCAGGTGGTGGTAGATGGTCTGGGGCTTCTCGCCGCTCTTGGAGTCGTAGTAGAGCTTGATGGTGATCTCGAACTCGCCCCAGCCCGTCTCGTTGACGACGAAGCCGCGCTGCTGCTTGGCGGGGGGCTTGCCCTCGTTGTCGCGCTGGATCTGCTCGGCGTCGCAGGTGCGCAGGTGGTTGGGGATGGACTCGTGCAGCTTGAACTGCACGCGGCGCAGCCAGTAGAAAACGTCGACGTCCTCGACGCCGCGCACGAAGACCTGCCAGCTGTGCGTGTGGTCGGCGGGCACGTGGGCGGGGCGCGGGTTGTCCGTGTCGTTGAAGGGCCGCGCCGTGGTGCCGTAGATGAAGGGGCGGTAGATCTGCACGCCCTTGACGCGCTTGCCGGCGTTGGCGGGCGCCATGCCTGGAAATCTGTGGTGTTGCTGGGCGAATGGATGGCTGGTTGGCGAGTGTCCAGGGCAGTCTGGTGATAGTGGGATAAAGTGGAGGGATAAGTCAGTCAGTATGTAATCAGTCGGGATAAAAAAAAGTTGCCAGGAGATGCGTCCGTCAGCCTTGCACAGCTACAGGGGAGTGAGCTTTGCTTAGCGGGGGCTTATAGTGGATCGATAGCCCACCGAGCCAATGATGGCGGCATCTTGGGCAGACCCCGGCGCCGTCGATTTTTCCATGGGCTCTCAGCCTCGCACATGCGCCGATGATGACATGACTTGATGGAGCTGTCTGTAAGTCAACTAATACGTCTGTTGACAAGTACCCTTCTCTTACACGAATGTCAACTTGATCTTATCTATTGTCCACCAAGTTGACTGCTTTGAGCCCTCACTTTCAATTCTCGTCATTGAGTTTTCTGCTCGATCGGTATTCAACAGCTCTCCGAAGCTTTGGGGGTTTGGGAGCTTCAAATTGGCCCTCTCACGGCGCACTCAGATCGCACGGCATTGAGGCTGGACGACAGAACCATCCATAAGCCGGTTGGCAGAAGCTTCTCTAATTTGATTCGGAGCCCACGGACCCTCATTGCCGCGCATTTACATTGATCACGATGGCGGCGCCAGCAACGAAACGAATCATCGTGTGCGGAGGTAACGGCTTCCTAGGGTCGAGGATCTGCAAATTCGCTGTAGCGAGGGGATGGGACGTCACATCGATAAGGTATTCATGTTCAATCATACATCATAAATCATCCATTATCAATGCACGTATCTAACCCTAATCCCAGCCGCTCAGGGGAGCCGAAATGGGAGACCGTAACCGCCTCCTCCACCCCGCCGCCCTGGGCGCACCGGGTGTCGTGGGAGCGGGCTGACATCCTGCGCCCGGCGACCTACGTCTCGCTGCTCAAGGGCGCCGACTCGGTCGTCCACAGCATGGGGATCCTGCTGGAGGCCGACTACAAGGGCGTGCTGCGGGGCCAGGAGTCGCCCATCGCGGGCCTGCAGCGGGCCTTCTCGAGTGGGCCGCGCCCGGGCAACCCGCTGGAGCGCCACGTCGCCGAGGGCCAGGCCCAGGACATCCGGCCGCCCGAGACGCGCCAGCAGCTGACGTACGAGAACATGAACCGCGACTCGGCCATCATGCTGGCCAAGGAGGCGGCCGCCAGCGGCGCGCAGTCCTTCGTCTACATCTCGGCCGCCGCCGGCGCCCCCGTCCTGCCCGCCCGCTACATCACCACCAAGCGCGAGGCCGAGAGCGCCATCGCGTCCGAGTTCCCGCGCATGCGCGGCATCTTCATGCGCCCGCCCTTCCTGTACGATGCCAGCCGGCCCCTCACCATGCCGCTGGCCGCCATGACGGGCGCGGGCGCCCTGTTCAACAGGGTCACGGGCGGTGTGCTGGGCGGCTTCATGGGCGCCGCCGGCGCCAAGCCGCTCAAGGTTGACGTTGTGGCCGAGGCCGTCGTCGAGGCCCTCAGCGATGACAAGGTCAGGGGCCCCGTCGAGATCCCCGAGATCGAGGACCTGGCGAACCGGGCTTGGAGGAAGGGCATGCTGTAGAAGGGTGTACTGTAATAGTATTGGGAGACTTATCTGCAGAGGTTGTCGAAGTGGATAGTCATCCCAGAAAGGCAGCGGCTTGTCATGTACATATATTCAAAAGTATAGACTGTACGATACTGAAATCCGACTCCCCCAAGTCAGATGTTCCTTGCGGTTTTCACACAGCAGTGGATCATGTACACCTCTGGCTAATCCATGTTCCATCATCCATTATAACACCTCGACAGTTCTTGAGCTCTGTCAAAGGCGTGCGTCTATCGCATCGGCACCATGAGCGTGCAAGATCTGCAATGGGAACCCCATACCCGATGCAATCCAAGTCTATTTCGTCGCTAACCCTAATCAAACAATTGGCCGGCCTGTCCGTGCAAATCCGTTCCGATCCTTCCCGCTAAATCATGGTCCCGCGCTCGAAGCTGTCCCGGATCTCGGCCGTGTACTTGTTGTAGAAGCGGTCCAGCTTCTGGTTGAACTGCTTGTTCTTCTCGTTGATGTAGGTGACGTCGCCCTCGTCGCCGTTGGCGGCCATGCGCTCGCGCCTCTTGCGCAGGCGGTTCTCCTCGGCCTTCTTGAGGTCGTCGACCAGGCGGTCGACGGCGGCCTTGTCGGGCCGGTTGTCGACGAAGCCGGTCGAGTCGGCGGTGCTGTAGAAGCTGCCATCCTTATCGACGGCGATCAGCTCGCCGTCGTCGGTCTCGACAATGTCCAGGCCGCCGCTGGCCGCGGCCTTCTCGATGGCGGCCATCTTGTCGCGCTCGTAGCGGGCGCGGCGGTCGTCGGCGGCGCCGGTGCGGGCGCCCTCGCGCTCCATGGCGCGGACCTGGCGCTTGTACGTCTTGTTGCCCTCGACGCGGTAGTCCTGGAAGGCCGTGTTGTCGCGGGCGGCGGCCTTCTTCTTGAGGCGCTTGTCCCAGCGCTCCGACTCGTCGACGGTCCAGTCCCAGGCGCGGCGGCGCTCAAAGTCGTCGCCGGCCTCCTCGGTCTCGGCCTTGAGCAGCTTGGAGGCGGCGGCGTCGCGCTTGCGCTGCAGGGTCGTCAGGGCGCCCGGGTCGGCGGCCAGGCGCTGCGACTCCTTGGTGGCCTCGGCCAGGTTCTGCGACGACGACTTCTTGGCGCGGGCCTGCAGGGCGCGGAAGCGGGCGAGGCGGTCGGCGGCGGTGGCGGTGGCGGCAGCTGGGGCGGACGAGCCTTCCGAGGTGCTCGCGCTCGTGGTGGTCGTTGGCTCTGGCGGCGCGGACGTGTCTGCTGTGTCTATCGGTGCTGCATCTTTCTCCTCCGCTGTGCCCACCTCTGCTTCTGTTGTTTTCGTCTCGGCCTCGGTGCCTGGTGCTTGGGCGGGAGCCTCGGCAGTGTTTTCCGTGTCGCCAACGGGCACGGCGGACCTCGCGGTCTTCCTCTTCTTCGCAGGAGGCATGATGTGAGGGTTCGGAGGGGGTGGTTGTGGTGGCTCTGGGTGAGTCGAATGGGTGCGTGGGAGGACCGAGTCCAAAACCGAGTGACGCCTGGCTTCCTGTCGACGTTCAAGCCAGTATAGAATTATCTGGAGTCTCCTCAAAGTGGACGCAGGCCGGGGCTTAGTGATAGCAAGGGCTGATGTGATGTCAGTTGGGCGCTACCATCATAGTCTTTGGCAGGCTGCACAGTGCAGTCCAGTACGGGAGTACCTCGAGGTACTGGGGAGAACAGGGCCGGATTATTTCTGCCTCCGCCGTTGTTCCTCCAGCCCCCCTGGCCCCCCTGGCCCCCTGTTGGGTGCCCTGTTAGTTTCGTCTAGGGGGGGCTTGACCATACCTAGGCAGTAGTCTACTGCTTCAACCCCTGTATATCGTTCCAGCTCAACCCTGTCCAGCACCGCTCCGGCACTCAAGTTGCTTCTTCCCCGATCGCGCCGTCGAGAAAGTGGCCCGTTGCGCGCCCGGAGAATGCCCACGATCGACTCATTTCCCACTTTTTGGCTCCGCTTCCCCAGGTTCTCAGCGCACTACCAGTTACCTATCATGGTACAGTCCGTCCTGTCCACAGCAGCTGCCCTATAAGTTGCAGAGACCCCACACAGGGTCACCCCATGGTCTGCTTCTGGGCCGCGCATCTCAGATGTGTTCCTAAGATGTCAAATCACGCGCGAACAACACCATCTCCCCAGTCATGCACCGCCTGGGCAGCCTGCGGTCCCTTCACAGGCTGTCGTCGACGACACCCGACCGTTATGTTGGCCCTTGGCCCCGCCAAAAGAGCCCACCCATGCGCCGCAAGTACCCTCAGTTCGTCGCCCAGCCCCTCTTGCTCGACCTGATCGCCGAGGATGTTCCAAGTGTGAGGAACTATGATCCCGACGTCGATGGCGTCCCAGAGCACGACGGCGCAAAGGAATACCGCCGCCAAGCCGCCCTCGAGCAGCGCATTGCCGCCTTTGAGGCCGAGCACGCAGAGGACGAGGCCACATTCCAGCACTCGATAGCAAGCAGCCATTCATGGCGCATCAACGACTGCGACGTTCTCGCCGCCGCCCTCGCCGGCCTCTCGACCGCCCCATCTAACAAGCCGGCACCGCCGCCCGGTTTTACAGACTCTCTATTAGCAAAGAATGGCATCCCTCGATACGCGAGGCACGCCACTTTCAAAGCTATCCCCTACATGCTCCGCAGAAAGAAGCAGGCCTCCAAGCTCGTGTCCTCCCTTGATCCTGCTGGGCAACTCGAACAGCACAGGGAACAAATCCGGAGCTGCCTCCACTTCGACAGGTTGAAACGAACCGTACAGCACATGTTGCATCGCCCCGGTGGAGGCCCGCTTACTGCCGACCTCAGCAACGACATCGGGGACGCCCTCGCTCGCATTGCCGTTCGCCCCGAGCCGCCGCATCCGTTCGATGTGCTAGCTTTTTCCAACAATGTGTTCCTGAACCTTTCATCTCGGGGCCTACCAGTCGGGGAAAGGTTCAAAGACTTTGCCCTCCCCTTAGCAGTCCAATGTTCTGCCTTGTCGGTGGCTCGAATGTACCTGGCGCCAGAGCCGGAAGCGCATGGTCCTGGCCTCAGTTTGATCAACCGCCTTGCCAACGCATTGGAGGCGATATCTGAGTCTTTCGATACGGCGTCGGCAGGCAGGAACGACCCCGCGACTCTGGCAGATATACAGCGCCGTCGCGTCGAGGTCTTCGGCTTCTTGACCGGTACGGATATCAGTGGACAGGTCTCACCTTTTTCGTTAAGACACATGGTGCAGGATATCAAATGCACAAGCACGGCTGACTTAGTTGTGATGGACTCCGGCCGGACAGCATTGAAGCATTTCATCCACATACTAGGGGAACTAGGCGCCTTGAGGACCTTGTGGTATACTAATCAGTGGTTATCGGCGCCAACCGCCGCGAGAAGCAGCGATAATACTCAGACAGATGGAAACACGTCCTCAAACACATCTTCAAAACCGGGAGAAGACAAGGCAGATAGTGGATCTCTCGTGGGATCAGAAGAGTTCGTCCACGCCTTGGTGCGAACTTTGAACGCTATATTGAGTCATCGAATCTCGCTCACGGCGTTCGACCAAGGAAGCGCGACAGGCATACTTGAGGAAGATTTACTACTCGACTTGCGTGCAATTGGGCTGTCTACAAAGAGCCACTCTGTTTCGCATCTCGGTGCGTCTCACTCAAGAGACAACACACCAATGGCCGATTACTTGGCCAGAGAGGACTCGAGTTTTCGCAGGGGAGTACTGGACGCGTTCAGTAAGCCTACTATCGAGGGCTTCATGGAGGCGGTTTGGACTGTGTTGAAACAGGAAGCGACTTGGCAGAAGCGCCACAGGACCAATTGATTTTTCAATAACAAGATGAGAGTTATGGCAAGACATGGTCTAATGTACATTTGCATAGGTTCCAGATCGACGGGTTCGTGCCATACCAAAGGGGTACGCGACCCGGCTCAACTCAATGTCAGACCACCATTCCATATACAGGCATATTCGGCGTTGGTCAGCTAACCTTGTGACTGCGTCGTCCCATCCCAACCCTGCGGACACTAAGCAAGGACAACTCAGCAGCTCCTGCGATGCTGCAACTGTTCGGACGAGTGTGTCGACCTCGGACGGCCACATCCCCTGGCAAGCCACAGGGTAGTCCGCTCAGAGCCGAGCAGCTTCTTGGGCCCTTGTTGTGTTTTCATTTGCGGAAAGCAGTCGCTCCTGGCTGCAGCAAGTGCCTAGCTGTGCGCCTCCCGCCATTCTGGTTCGCCCGAGTCTTTTCCATCTCCCAGGTTTCACCTTTTGCAGGTATCCAGGTATCCCAGCCCAAGTGGTCACAAGGAGCCACTATTGCCAGGCGCTCTTCGGCTACCTGCTGTTTTACTGTTTGGCCGGCCTCTGTGCTGCGCCGCCCAGCTGGGGCGTCGCCGTGAATTCAGATGTGTTACCCAAAAGACTGGGCACTGGTCCGGTCTCGTGCCAATCAGCTTCTCCGCCTCCTCAGCCCCGGACCAAACCTTGACCAAAGTCTGACAGGAGCTCTAACGATGCAGAGTGATGCAGACTGACGCGCGAACAGGCGGGCAGAACGGCCTGGCCAACTCATGACAGAACGTTCAGCATGAAGTGTCTCGACTGTGATAGGCCGCAGCACTGAGATGCCGAACCCTGGCGGCCAACATGCTGGCTGTAAGTTTCCCACCACGTTTGGGCCTCTCCGTCTGTCTGTGAGGGCACGTTCGGGTGCCTGGCCACCCGCCTGGTTTTCGTATCGCTCGCTTTCTTACTTTTTCCCATGTGATGAGTAACAGCAAATGCTGCGCTGGAGAGGTCCGTTTTCCCTAATCCAACCAAGACATCGGGTTTGCTTGTCGCAATCGACTTCACTGTCGACCGCAAAGGATATTATGACCCAAGACTGCGCGACCTTCGCATGATGCCCCAACCGCACCGGCCGAGACGGGGTATAATCCCGGTCCGGCTTTCACGGGGGAGGGAGAGCTCCACCTCCACCGCCATCACGCGACCACGCCGCAGCCCGTTGTCGCCTCTCACCCTCCTGCTCTATGCAGCTGTGTTCATCTCGGGTGTGCTGTCGGACGAGAGGGATCCCGTAGCGGACTTCTGCAGGAGGTTTGGACATCAGACGGCCGTCGTCGATCGGAAGTTATACATCGATGGCGGCTTCATAAATTATAGTCCCCTGCCAGATAATCCCACGAACTACACCAGTATGCTACTCGCATTTCATCTAAGCGTAACATAACCCTAGACGGTGAAAGCTCACAAATCATCTCAGATACCTTCCTATCGTATCAGGACCTCGACCATAATGGGTTCGGCGGCATGCCACAGCTATATTCGAACCTGTCAAAGAATGCGACAATCCCTAGCGTGAATGGAGGCATCCTGTGGGCAGACGATGTTAACAAGAAATTCTACCTTTTCGGTGGCGAGTACTATCAGACACCGCCAAACGAACTCGCCCTCTACGAGTACGACACGCTGAACAACGACTGGAACATCATCCAGAACCCGCCGTTGAGCCTGAACAGCCCGAGCTATGGAGCGGGCGTGTCGGTATCAGACCTCGGAGAGGCCTACTACTACGGCGGCTGGCTGAGCAACAATTCCGTCCCCAACTGGACGGGGCCGCGCATGGCAACGACAGGGCTGATCAACTATAGTATGGATCAGAACCAGTGGAGTAACATGACGGGGCCAGACAATATTGGACGTGCAGAGGGTGCCATGGTTTACGTCCCCGTGAGCGATAGTGGCATGCTGATCTACTTCGGCGGAGTACAAGCCAATGCGAATGGGACTATCACGGGCCAGCCGATGGACCAGATATTCGCCTTTGATATCGCAAGCTCGAAGTGGTACACGCAACGAGCTACCGGGGAGGTACCCGCCATGCGCTCAAAATTCTGTGCTGGGGTTACGTGGGCTTCTGATCAGTCGAGTTTTAACGTGTAAGTTAAGCCCATCATATTTTGCTGTGTTTTTCGTTCGTTGCCTGCTAATAGAACATCTCTTTTCACAGATACCTCTATGGGGGCGCCGGCATGCCTCCCAACACTTCGGGCTTCGACGATGTCTACATCCTCTCGATGCCCAGCTTCACCTGGATAAAGATGTACCCAGCGAACAGCACACTCGAGCAGTACCCCCACAACACTCTTACCTGCAACGTAATCGACAACGCGCAGATGCTCATCATCGGCGGCACATTCCCTCTGGATGATCAAACCTGTGATTCGCCTGAGCAATTTGGGACCCATGGCCTTGATTTGGGTGAACAGAATCCGGACGAGAGCCCGGTAAGTGGACCGCATAGTAGACGGGGGCTTGACGACGCTCGTGTACTCTCACTAACACCATCCACAGTGGTACCTGTACCGCCGCAATTTAACACATTACGTCGTCCCGTCACTGATTTCCTCGGTGATCGGCGGGAATGCCCAAGGCGCAGCAACGAAGACCAGCCCGCAAAACGGCTTCGACACGCCGGACCTCAAGATCCTCATGGCGCGCAGGTTCACGGCGCCGGTCCGAGCACCCACCCGCGTTGTCTCGCCAACCTCCACGCCTCCAGCGTCGACATCCCTGTCCAACGGCGCTATAGCCGGCATCGCCGTCGGCGCCGCCGTGGGGCTCACCGCGCTGCTGCTCGGCGCCTGGCTGTGCCTACGCCGGCGCCGGCAGCAGGACAAGGACGACTTCTCCAAGATGCGCACCTCGTCCGTCGCCCCCATGCGCAGCAACACATACTCGCAGGGCGGCTCAGGCCTGGCCTGGAGCCCTGACGGCAGTCTGCCCGCTTCGGCCCCCGTCAGCCCGACCTATGGGCCCGGCCAGTACGGCGGCAATCCCTGGCTCCAGCAGCCGCCCTCCGGCGGCCCGCCCCTGATACCTAATTACCCCCAGGAGATGCCGGCCAACATCCACGAGACCGGCGTCAGCGAGATATACGACCAGCCACCGCCGCCGGTCAGTGCCACCGGGACGGGGAGCTTCGGCAGCAACGGGCCCGGCAGTCCCGGGTTCGTCGTCAGCCCGTACTCGGCGGCGGGCGGGGACCCGACCAAGTCCGGCAACGAGTACGGGTGGCCGAGCCCCGTGCGCGAGGGCGCGCAACCGCCGCCGCCACCCCCCGCCGGTCTTATCAGGACCGCCGACGACGGGACAGGCAATGTGTACGCCGCCGGGGGCTTCGGGCCGCAGGAGCTCAGCACCGAGCCCCCGCACGGCGGCGAGCACCGGGGCTCCAGCTGGTATGAGGAGGGCCGGCGGCACGAGACGTATTATCACCGGTGACACAGGCTGCCCTGAATAAAGCAAGTTGCGGTCGTGGTTTTGTGGGCGTTCTGGATGGTTCATTTATAGGTGGCATGCAATGCGATGCGATAGACGGAAGGAGATGGAACTGGATGGGATGAGATTGATAGCAGGTCAGACATGCGCAGACATGGGACCGCGGCGCAGTGGAGAACAGGGACATTATACCACTTGATTTCTCTTTCTTTTCCTTTTGTTCTCTCTTCCAAAGGCCCCCCTATTCTCTAGGCAAGGAGCGCTACGACTAGGGAGTCTGGGTTACTTCTGATGGGATGTCTAAGGCGCAAAAGCTTTCGTTGATCTAGGGGAACTGTCTCGAGTCTGGCTTCACTGTCAGACACGAGAGTGGATAAGTGCCTTCTGTGCGCACTGCTGTTTCAGCGCATGGGTGTGTATATATTATAGATGCTGCGATACGCGCCCCCTGAGTTTTTCCGTAGCCTCAGATATGCCTCAATGGAGATTTGGCGGACGGTGAGCAACCGATGTTATGGGGTTTGACTGTGCTAAAGTATCCGTTGTGCATGAAGGGTTTCGAATTCCCAGACAATGTAGCTGCTTAACCTATTTGCTGGTCTGCTTTCCGACGTACAGTTGTCCGGAGAGAACCGCGAGCTTGCTATAACGCAAGTAGATAGGCAATTGGGCCCGCTATCTGGATACCATTGGTTTCAACTATACTTGTTCGGGGATCTCTCATAATCTTAGGACACCATGGACTTATGGAGGCTTAACAATGGCAGGCATTCTAGGCGGAGGCACGTAGAGAGATCGATTACGTGGATACATAATCTGGCTGCGGGCGCTGGAGTGTCGGAGAGTGATGGTCCTCTGCTATGTTGCCCACAAGACCCCTTTGGGTATACATCGAGACCAAACTCGGAAGTGATATCAATACATTATGAGAACTATCATTGGTCCCGGAGACTGATTCCACTTACACAGATACTATTTTGTGACTCGTCTCTTTTGCTTCGGCTGGCGACGTAAGGGCTCACGCTATTGCCGTCGTCCCAATGGGCTGGTCATCACACCCCAGAGGGCACTCACATCTGCACAAAAGTCCCTGCATAGCCGTCTGTCACTTGCCCTCAGAAAGGAACGATCCCTCACTACCTGGGAGGTGCCAAAAGTCCCCACACTGCCACATAGCCGTGACCAGCAAACATATCCTCACTTCTCATGACTTGTCACTCCGACCCCGAGAGCGCACATGGCGGCATGGAACAAGCACATGTCGTTTCCCAGTGGTCAGGGAGTTCTGCACGCGGGAGACCCTCACGCATCTCGGCAGACAGATGTGTGCGCCTTGCATTGCGGTCGGTCCGTCCTGCAGCCCAACCTAAATCAGTCGTGATATTGTGTGCTACGGGCGGGTGGCCGTGCTCTAGCTGGCCGGTTACGAGAGATGGTGCAACGGTTGCCCTTACATGGCCGCTTATACGGTCCCCGTGTCACGCAATACATGCACAGATGGGGAATCCGACGTCTGTCGGTGAGCCGCCGGGTAAGCTCCTCAAAGGTCTCGGTCGTCTCCTTGTGACACGGGGTCACAAAGTTCCTGCGGGAAGGCTTTCTTCTGGGAGGGGATGTGATACGACAGTTTGTCACTTTCAACCTGTCTCAATGGTGCGCGGTTCTCATCTGGAGCGGCAATGTACCGTACTCCTACGATAGTGATCCATTTCCAGATTCCTGAGCCAAGACGGTGTACGCAAGTGTCAATTCAAACTGCTAAGGCGATCACCTGTGATCAGCCATTGCGTGATGCTGAGGAATTGCCAGACCATTATATCGCCATAGCGGTAAACCTAGTATAGGGAGACGGCGGCTATGCATAGGGTAGATTGCGTTCCCCCAAGCTGCCGGTCGACGGCGAATGACAGCAGCAGTCATTCATTCCCAATGGCGCGGTCGTCTTTCTTCGGTCTTCCATGCGGTGAGCAAAGATAGCTAGTTGGAGCTAGGTGAGCTACCTAATTGCCGAGCCGGATGGCGGCATCGCTCTTGGCTTCTAGAAAATGCGGAGGTCGTATCCATTACCCAAGAAAACCCGCCCTAGCGACCCCATCCAACCCTTGAGGCTCGGTGCGGCGCGCTGCAGGTCGCACGACCGTCGACTCGTACGTGTCACGCGATGCACGCATGTCTTACCAAATCGCCAAGTGCGTGCGTATGGGTGTTGGGTACGTGCCAAAGGGGTTGTGGTTACTCCCGAGACTCTCCCCCCCGAGCAACCCGCCCGCGTGTTCCGTGCCAATGTCATCAGCATGCTGCCCAGTGAGGTCATCCAAGGGGACCAAACTATGCTCTGAGAAGCAGGACGCCCAGGACGCGCCTCGGTTGCCAAGGCCGTGGTATACAAACCACCCCCGCAGCCAGTGGTGCCGCATTTCTACTACTTTGCCCATGTTCAGGGTATCAAGGTCCGGGTGCACATAGTTCGTCAGTGACCAGCCGAATCAGGGCAGCCGTGTGCGGCACCGGAAGTCGGGCGCCGATGGTTGATGGAGGTGGGGATTGCTGCCAAGTTCAAGATACACAGCACATCGTATGTCTGGTCCGGGATTGAGATTCTAAAGTCCCACCCTGAGGGGCAACTGGAATGCGATGTTGAATACGTTTGGGTCAGTCCGGATGCACCGAGGCCAATACCGGGTGGTCATGCAGCGGCGATCATGACTTGTAGGGTCCCCCGAATTCCCAGATGTGATATCATACCCTGCTGGGGCTTTGGTTGGCGTTGCAGCGCAGGGTGCTACAACGTTTGATATCGAGCCATGCGCTCCTCCTGCATGGACGGTTGAATTGGCCAAAGGAAACATGCAAAAGGCGCGACGACGATAACGACGGTTTACGACAGATGTTTTGTTGATCTCTGCAGCTTGGCTGAATGATGCGTTTTTGAGCGCTTAGACCGGACCCATTCGTCGCGCCACCGCGAGATGGGCGTTCAACGGGTCCGCATCGAGACAAGTTTCGCATGAGGATGTTCAAACTATTCAACTCAGAGCCAACGCCGAACGCGAACCGCTCTCCACAGAGGTGGCAGTTGACTGATACGAGCGGCGCCCATGTCCAGCCATGTGACGGGGAGGTTCGTATGCGCACGTAGATCAAGATCGACCTCGGCCAACTTCTGGAGACCCCAGATTGTCATTATAGTAAGATGCTAGCGTTTGGATAGCTCCAGGCTTTCAGCTGTCATGCTTGGGGCCGGCTTATCAAAAGCCGTGAGCAGATAAGGAAATTATGAATGAGCCTGGTTGAACAGGTGACCAGCTCGACCATTCGCCCGACCAAAGACTCGTCAGAATGACGAATGTACCACAGTCCCTAAGGTAGTAATGCGGCCATCACAAACAGCATCAATAAATAGTTATGCAAGTGATGAAACAGCTCTCAATTCGGCAACCGTAGCCGTTCTCCAGCAGTCAGCAGGGTCTCGAGTCCTACGGCCCCGCGTAATCCATAGATTGGCCGAATGTGGAAATATCTGGCCCACCAGGAGCTCTGATTGGGCCATTCATTGATGGCTCCTGACGACCGACTTGGTGTTCGTTTCGAGGCGGCACAATATCATGATAAGGATACTCAGAAGCGAGCAGTCGCATGATTGGGAGGCGGGATACGTTAGGGTACCTGCAGAGGATGGAGAGCCGATGGGCAAGGCGAGAGAGAGAGAGCTCTGACTCTGTGTGGCATAGTTACATGCTATTGCATGCAAAGCGATATTATCCTGATTCTGGGATGCTCGCTTAAGCGCTGGGCGTGGGAGACTCGGGGTATTTCCAAGTCCATCGCAGTCTTATCTCGCATGAAATCGATCCAGGGTCCACGCTGCGAGCGCCGCACACTCCACTCCACAATTATCGAGAAAAGCCCGATGTTTTCCGCTTCAGCATCATGGCTGTGGCCGACACGTTGGCTGGTGGAAATGTTTCATCGATAGCAGGCCAGAGACGTGGTCGACCACATGTGGAATCTTCACTGAAAGATTGGGGCCGACATCTGTGCATGGCGCCGAGCCTATAGACAGCTGTGAGGGCATGCATGCACGGCTGTGAGGCATGGGCTAATTGATCCGGAGGGGCATTGTTCTGTATGAACCCATAATGACACTCCACTACATCAGCTCATTGAATTTGATCGCATCCACTGCGGGTGAGTTTCCTAGGAGCAGATTTGTCGTGCCTCCCGCCGTGTGAAACCTCCCATGCACGTGGGATGGAGCGTTGCAGCGTTGCAGCGTGGTATGAAAACGGCATGCCGAAAAGCCCACTACTACTGCAGCAGGAGTGGGTGATCCACGCTGGGACAGGAACTTTTCCAGTCAAGCTTCAAGGGGCACTGCAACCTTGAGCCCGCCGACCCCCGTCGATCAGGCCTGCCAGGGCAGCTGGAAGTTCGGATGGGTGTTCTCGGTCCACCACGGAACGGAAAGCAGGACGGAAAAGTGGCCCACCTTTGTGCGTCCGTACAGCACGGGATAAGTTCTGTCTGTTATCGTGGCTGGCTGGGCTGGCTCGACTATCGTCGGCCTCATATCCGCCGAGATTTGAGCCGCCTTGTGATAGAACCCCCACGGATGTACCGTGCAGAGCCGAACGTCATGGAGACAAGTCCAGATGAAATTTGGGGGCAACGTAGCGTAGCTCAGAGAAGAAGAGAAATCCAATTGTCGTACTGCCGTCCCAAAGTGCGTCCTCAGGCGGGAAGGTCGGGGGATGCATCTCTCCAGGGACCCCGCAAAATCATTAACTTAGTGGACAGGAGGGACTTGCAGATCATCGAGTGACAGATCCGTATCGTGCATAGCACAAAACTAGCATGGCCATGCTTTGATTTGATGCTAATTCTAGTTGTTATCCTGTGTATCTTTGAAAAATGAGGGACAAGTGGATGCGTCCGACTGGGAGAGTCATGCCCTGCTCTGCTCCGGCACTACACCGGCGCCAGAGGGTTGTAATCCGCAGATATGATAGCCGGAAAGTGGTTTCCCCAAGCGTGTTGCAGACGGCTCAATTGCACCGTTTTCTCCTTTGCTGCGTGGGCTGTGCGGCGATCTCTGACTCGTCAACAGTTTAGCACAGACCGGTACCTTGGGAGAAGGCAAGACTTGATGCAATAGTCTTTCGGGCCTGGGGAGACACGTCAAATGTGGAGCTTGCTGAGACGGTTGAAGCTCACGATGGCGCGGAATCTGGGACTTATGACTAACAGGCTCCAGACGGTGAGCTGGGAATTGCTCGGGAGACAACAGGTTTTGACGACGAGGTTGCCGTCCACACCAGAGAGCAGAAACGTTCTCAGGTTTCGCCTAGCAAACCCCACAAAATTGCGACATGTCTAGGCTGGCCGGGGTAGACAGCACAAGTGTGTGCTAGAGGGCGCATCCCACGATCCGGCTGCGATCGAGGCTAGGGCGGAGACTTTCAGCGGTGCCAGGGCAAGGTTCAGGGCTGAGAAGGGGTCGAGAGGCTAACCGCCCTGGCAACCTGGTGGTCCCGCGCCTGGAAGGGCGACCTCTCAGCCAGCGTCCAAGAAACGTGCTCGTCCCGGTGGTGGATGAAGTCAGCATAGAGTTGGGAAGAAAAAGACCCGGGACAGCGCGACACCAGTCCTTTGGTGAACGTGAAGTCTGAACCGCCCGCCAGTCACAAAATATCGGTCAGGCACGGGCCCTGAACAAGCGCTGTGGGTTTTACTGACTAGGTCGGCGGCCCAAAAAGTTTTTTCTCTTTGTGACTCCCCCTTCGCCCATCACGACATCCATGTACAGAGAAAAATCTTTTTCGCCGAGTAGGAGAGCATCAGCGGTGGCCGCATTCGCCAACCGTGGCTGCTCATTTGCCAGAGAGCGCCGGGCTACGGGCGGCGTGCCGCTTTGGCTGTGACTACCGACCTGGACGGCCACCCTGATGAAAGTACCTGGGGCCGAGGGAGGGGCTCGCTATCCTGTTGGTGCTTAGTGAGAATGGCGATATTGCTGCCGGCCGGTAGCCAAGGTTCCAGGCGGCTGCTGGATTGCGCCCACGAGCCTCTGTGAACGGGGGTGAACGGGGGTGAACTCTGCTGGCTACGCTCCCTGTGTTCTAGTCTGGAGCAGTCGACCCTCTCACCCCACGCCAGCCTACATAGTATGCATGATAATGCTTGCCAATTAAAGATGCATCGGGGGGCCTTGCGAAGCGTGCCGTTAGGAGAATCCGCGTCCCTCTGGTTGCATTTTCCCCTCCAGCTCCCCTCCAGGGTCCCCTTTCTCCTCGTCTGCAAGAGTTGATAAAGAAGGAGCCGGGGCCTAGCCATCCATTCCCGGGGTTTTCGACTTCTTGACGCGAGGTGATACAAGTATTGCACAAGAATCAGCAAAGCCGCTCAGCCGCTGCGCTCATCTCGATCCTGCATTGCCTCATCGATACCGCTATTGCTCTAAGTAATAAGCTCAGCAGCCCCTCGGCTCGACCGTTTCAGGGCATCCTCTAGTCTTACCACAGCGAGCTCTGCACTGCCAAGGGCATTACCGTAGGTAGCGCTTCCCGAAAGCCGCTGAAACCCAGCACCCAGCACCCAGCAGCACACACCCACACCCGGAAACATTGAGTGTTGCGACCACTAGAGCAGTAGGAGCAGCAGCAGCAGCAGCAGCAGCAGCAGCAACAATTTCGACGACCCGACACGACACGACAGAAGAGGCTACCCAGTTTTCTCCCGGAGAATTTCCTGTCCCCTGCAATCCTCCCTGTGATGAGAAGGGGCAGCATACATTGTGAGAGCTGAGACATCGAATCCAAGGCACAATTGGCCGAAGCCCCCGTGGTCGTGCCATCTCCGCTTTCGGCTTTTGGCCAGCTGCCCTACCTGATTGCGGATTGGAAGAGTCACTCGTCGGTGGGCCGCCCGCAAAAACACGACCTTGCAGGACAAGCACGCAACCAAGCAATCCAGCAAGCAGGCAAGCAAGCAGGCAAGCAACCGGCCAGGCCAAAAAAAAGGTACGAACGATTGATAAGTTGGATATACCCTCCACACGAGCTACCTCCCCCCTTGCCTTTCCTCCCTTCTCCGCACCGTCGTCGTGGTTTTTGTCTGTCATATCCATATTACTTTGCAACTTGGGACACAGCCAACTGCTCTCGCCCTTGTCCGTTCATTCATCCCGCTGCAAAGCAAGAACACCTGCCCTAACCGCCACGCTATCCTCTCTCCCTCTCTTGCATGTTCGCTTGCGGGCCCAGTCGTGTCGCCTCGTTTATTCTTACACAGCCTGTAGAGTTCAGGACGAAAACCGGGTAACGACTTACACGCACAAGCGCGGACAGCGATCAAGTAATCAAGCCCGCTACGAGTTACATATACACTGCCTGACACCCCACCGCCTGGCGACTGCAAACCTTGGGCGTCAACCATCTTCAAGCTTCAAGGGACCGAGAGTTAAAGAGCCACTTGCATCCACCGCAATCGGGCCAACTCGACGCAACACAGCCAACGTCGGATTCGTCATAGCAGCGACATTCCGCATACTGCAGAGCCCAGACAACACGCAATCGCCTTCTGGAAGAACCGGACCCTTCTACGACTTGACTCTGCCACAGCTTGCGACACGAGTTTGAATTGCGGGACCTCACGGAACTCGCACTTATAACATTACGGGTGCCCCCAACCAACAAAGCCATACCGTCACCTGCAACAGGCGAGGGCGAACACACTCAAGGGATATTTTCTTCTGTTGGACCGCATATCCGCCACTGTGGGACTTTATCGCTCTGCATCTCGCCTCTCTTTGCCTATAATTCAGGGAAACTGGAGACAAGTTGACCGACTTGCACTCGTCTTTCCCTTTTTCGCTGGCCAGACCCCTCCTCTCGAAAGCCAATTCGCCTTTTGACGGGCCAGGAGAAGAGACACCCCGCTTCGCAAGTTGGAGGGACCCTTATTGCCTATCTGGCCAACCACCATCAACGTCCGGGCCCAGGATCTTCGCCGGGGTCCAATCACACCTGGTCCCAATGCACCACACCCGCCGCAAGTCCGGCCATGCCTCGACGAACACATCCATGACCGATGTGCGCAAGGCCGTCACCGTCTCAGATCTCTCGCGTTCACGACGGCCTCAAACTCTGTCGAGGAAGAACACGCCGCAGACCGTTACCAAGCTCGGGAAGAACCCTCGCGACCGCGAACGGGAATGGGAAGAAGCCCGCGGGTGGGAAGACGAGCGGGAGACCTTTCCCCAATACTGGTAAGTGGCTTTCTGTCCTATGCTGTGCGCTCTCTGCCCGCATCGTGCCTATCCGGCAATTCGGCCACCCGCCATGGTCCTACTCTGCACTCTGTGCTTTTCCCTCTGCTTCTCTGCGCCCTCCCCGCCCCCGCATCGACATGCCTTAGCTCGTAACCCGACCGGCCTCTGGCTGGCTGCATCGTCATCTGACTGGCAGGTGAGCTATCACGGGGATGAACTTGCGTCACTGTCCGGTCCTGCCAATCAGGCAGTCATGGCCGCTGTTCCTGCATCACACATTCATATTTTTGGGAACACGTCTTGCTGACAAGTCGTCTCGTACTGTAGCATGAGCTGTGAGAAACAATTTATCCCCCAAGACGAGCGATTCCTATACTGCTCCGAGGCGTAAGTCGGACCCCGCCCCGTCAGCCAATGAATCGAGTTCCCTCGCTAACACTTGAACCAGATGTCGCAAGTATGATCAGAACTCAAGTTCTGTTGCATCACAATACCCACCATCAAGACATGACAGCTATGGTAGCTTGCCGTTCTACTCGGCGGGCGACCCAGAACCCCGCGACATTATCCCGCGGGCCTCGCCATCACGTCCCAGCTCAACGTACTTCTCCCCTCCCACCACACCAACCAGCACGCAGTATACGAGTGCGGTTTCTGCCTTGAGGTCACTGTCCATACGACCTCCCAGCCCGCCTTCGCCAACGACGAGTAGCGCCAGCCTCTGGCCATTCACTCGAACAGCAGCGACGAGTCCCAGCACGTCCTACGCGAAGCCCTCCAACTTTTACTCGTCAACATACGACTCTGGCTACGGAGCTTCCGGCTATCAGTATGGATACGGGTACGCCTCTGCCGGCGTGGCTTCGGATCGACCTCTACCGTCCAGGAAACCAGGGGGCTACGGCCGGCCAAAAAGCATCGAACTAGTGACGCCCATGGTCGGTCGCTGATTCAAGTTCGAGATCTCGTGACGACGTGGGACTCGTACGTGGCGCTGATGTGAGAACAAACCATGGGGTGGGTTTCAAGGCAACCCGCAAATTTATTTGGCGTGGGGGTCTGCCCTCAGGGAACTCTGGCTCCAATCTAACTTGGGTTGCTTTGAGACATACGAACACTGGCGAAAACGCGGGGGTCTACCCCATACCCCAGAGATAACAAGGCAATGTCTCGGCCTTCACCCACATTCCTGGGTCGGAAAAGCCTGCATCTGCTGCATGGAAACAAGGCGTTAGCATTCAGGATTGCATCATTCATTTCCGAGAAGGGTTCTCGGCGGGCGCACAAGCCGAAACGGTGAAACAGATTACTCACCCAGCGAGTCTGTTTAGTGATTTTGGCTCCGCAGTTGCCGGAGAGTCGTCAGCTCGCAAGGGTTTTTGGAGAGCTAGGATTAATATATTGGCTGTCGCGGGGTTTCTGCCCACGCCTCCGCCTGATGGAACAATTACAGCACGGGACGGTTCATGGATAGCGGCTTGGGGGTCTTTGCATACTACGGGGCATGATTGGCGCATGGGCTGAAAACATTTTGGTTCCTCTGACTTTTTCTGATTTCACGCGGCCTGCATAAGTAACAACTCAGATTCGCTGAGTCGATTTCTCTGCTCTGCATTTTTCACGGATCGATATACCATTTTGCGCCACTGTAGGTGGGGATCACCTTTTTCTGTATTACACACACAGCTAGACCGCTTGTTTCTCAAAGCGTGGGAAACATGGGCATATGCAAGCTCGGGGCGGAGCGCGGTAGCGCAATTGAAGAAATGAACAAATCACTTCACACTGATGTCTCTCAATTCACCTTGACCGCTTGGCTGGTGCATGGCATGGCATGCTAGTCGTATTTGCTTCTGTTACTCTGGGCCAGCTGGTATATACAGTATGTACCGTTTTCTACAATTAACTAGCACATACGACCATAGGCGCTAGAAAATTCGGGATCCCGTCCGCTCTCCCATAGATAAGCTGGCGACCGCTGGATTAGTAGTTGGGTGGGTGACCACCAGCGAATACCCGGTGTTGTATGTCTTTGCTTTTTTCCCTTTTTGGTCCGTTTTGGCAATTTGCTTTTTCCTCCGTCACTTTCCCCAGGGGATTGCTTTTTAAATGCCTTGTGCAATGCTGAGGAAGAACGCAGTTAAAGGGTGCATCGCAAGATGGCGTCAAACTTCAGTGGCAACGAGAGAGTCGTGGGGGTGCCTTGAAATGCGAAAACTCAAAACCTATGCTATCAACTCCGTTAACGCATAAAGATGAAACTATATTTCCAGCATATTTTTCTTAAGCTAAGAGGCGGGTTTCCGGTTACGTTTCCCAATCTGAACGGTCGATAGGCTGGGCTTTCACTAGGATACACGCTATCCTACAATGGCTCACAGCAGCCGTGACTGCCCGTCTCCCGAAAAGTATAGTTGTTTCTAGGGAGATAAATGATGACGGCTGGCAAGGACGTGCCACCGCATGTGAATAATTGAAGCTATGTGCTTGTGTTTGATGGTTACCTTTTCAACACTGTCCTGGGAGAGATAAGAGGTATGTAGATACTTGCACTTAAATATGCATATGCCGGCATGCTATCAATGCATCGCATGCTGGTTGGAGATGTGAAAATGATACAAAGTCTATCACGATATCAGATAACGCTCAGTAAGAGCATCATGGACTTCTGTGATGCTTCTGGTTTTTGACTGGTGCTGTATCAGTCAGGAGAGCAGGGGTCCTGCAACATGATCGATGATGGCTCGCATGAGGCTGGTCATAGCAACATCGAACTCCTTGTCCACGGCTGGATATACTCGATGTTTTCATATGATGCTAATCGTTCGCTCCCGTGAATCACATGGCCAACTTGCAATCTCCCCAGGCTGTAACTTGGGCAGCCTTTTGCAGGCTTCTGAAGTCCGCTCTGTCGTGCTGTGATGAAAGAGGATTGTATCTTCGTGAAAGCAGCGAAATGATCTCTGAGGCCATATCTGAGTAGCGATGAGATCAAATTGTTATATGAGATTCCAAAGCGGCGTCTGAGAACAGAAAACAATAACACTGCTAGCCACGCGGATGCCCACAGTTGTCTGAGGTATTCACCATTTAAATGGCCGCAAGATGATACGGATGATAGGCCGTTTCGTCCATATATATAAATAAGAGAAATCCACATCACAGGCAGCTTGTAATAAGTTACATGGGGTCAACACAATCCAACAATCCAGCCGTCACTGACTGGTTTCCATACCTGCCCGCACCTGTTCATAAATTAAATCACTGGATGGTGTTTTCTTCAACTCACTTTATTCTCTTCACCAAATTCATCTGTGAAGCTGGTAGGTGGTTGGTACGCTACAGTTTGTCCTTGTATTCTCACTCCTTCCTCTTCAAAAAGCTGTCAATTCATTCCGGCCACCAAACTCACCTCCAAACTTGGTTGGTGATTTGTTGCAACTCCCACAAGGGTTCCTCTTTCGAACCTCGAACCAACTCGCTCACTTCCCTCACCTTACCTCAGCCTTCACAGCAACTTCGGCTGACTCATGAGACCAGTTTCACTCATCAACTTCATTCAAGCTGTCTGAGGCACGATGTCTGCTTTTCACGACCAGTCAGCCCAAGGGCCGTCTGCCTCTGGCGGCGGTGCCCGTTTCATGACACTTGACGATATTGCCGAGTCGCAGACGCTCCACACAAACATGCGCTCGACATATAGCGCAAAATGGGAGCCCTGGGAAGCGTTCCGAGAGCTGGTGCAGAACTGGTAAGTGATTCATGTGGCCTGCTCAGTATGGAAGTCGCTGTCTGACCGCCAGCTAGGCGCGATGGAATCATCAAGTCCTTCAACCTCGATGAGACCAAGTTTCGCGTGGAACGCGAAGAGAAATTCGATGGCTCCACCATCAACATCTTGTACAAGGCCTCTTCGGCATCGGACTTTTGGCCGCTTCCCGAATGTCTGGGCTACATACGATTTGTTGCGGAGGGTGCCACCGCTGCCGGCGTCGTTGAAATTGTCAATCGCCGTGCCACTATTCAGCCTTTCCACTTCGACTTGGGTGGCACGACCAAAAGTGACGACAAGACCTTGGCAGGAGAGCATGGCGATGGCCTCAAGGTGGCTCTTCTGGTTTTGCTCCGCAAGCCTCAGGGTTATGCGATAAGTTGCATATCCGGCGGATTCATATGGACTTTCAAATTCGACAACCACGATAAGCTGGTTGTGGAACTGCAACGCATGTCCAGTCGTCAAATCGAGTCAAACTTGAGAAAAGCAAATGCAAACTGTGACAAGGATCTGGTGCCGTTTGCGCCCATGCCTTACGAGGATGTGGCCTTCGGGATTGGCTCCTCTGATTCCGATGACATTAGACCCTCACTATTCCGGGTCAGTAGAGTCGCTTTCGATGGGTGGACTAAAGTCGCCCGCTTCTTGCATGGGCCTCAATCTTGTGGACAAATCACAGTCTCGGAAGGTGATCTTATCACTGATTCAGCGTTTCGCGGAAACATCTACCTGAAAGGTCTGCTACTCAAGACCTCGAAGAAAGGTGATTTGAGAGACGAAGACTCGGCAAGTATCACAGGAAAGCCCCTGAAGTTCGGTTACAACTTTGCAAATGGCGCCATGAATCGAGACAGGCAGTCGCTGGCTACAGCAGGGGAGGAAGGCGTAGCCATCAGGTCTATCTGGAACCAAGTCTTGTTTTTGAAGCCAGATATCGCCAAGGAACTCCATGATATGCTTAACTCAAAGTTTCCATTATATGCAGATGTTGCCTGGTCTACGCAACACTCTCTCCCTCTAATTATCAAGAACATCCTTGGACGCTACTTATTCACTGCCCCTCATGATCGGAGATGGTATTACACGGCCTCAGAGGAGAGTCAGGTAGGATGGATGACTTGAATTCTTGCCTCAGTAGCCTAGTGACACACATATAGAACCGGAGACTGCTCAAGATGATCCAAGGCCTCGGCCGAGAGGGATTCCTCCTAGAGAACACGTATTGGCGCCTACTCAGCGACAATGGGCTCGTGCGAACGGCTGCCGAGGAGCAGCAACGGCGTTTCTTGCAGGGTAACACTCTAGAGGTGCCAGGCCCTGCGTTTTCTCAACAGGTCTGGCGGCTGCTTCGAGCTTCACTTAAGTCTTGCCAGCAGACAAAAAGCGCTAAAGTTGTTTGTGCATCAGCCGGTGGAATTGATCCGGTTGCCATGTACCTGATCAACGAGAACAAGGTCCGGGTCCATGTCGGCTGGCTCACGGCTGAGAGTGCAGCAAACGAGCTGGGTTTCCCTGTGGACTTCCCAACGACAGATCTCATATGGAACACGGCCAAGTGCCTTATCCGGGATATCATAGAACAGGTTCCAGACATTAATTTTGGACCAGATGCCAGGTTCCCCTACACCGCTGGCCGATCACAGAAGCAGGTGAAGAACATAGAGAAGAACTTGGTCGAGCAGAGGATCATGGACCACACGTGCCTCAAGAAACATCTTCGGCTTTCAATATGCGAAGCGCAGCTCGTGGTCAGCTGGGTATGTGATGCGGCATGGAACCACGCTGAGGACATATGCGTTCAAGTGCACGGTCAATCTCACCGCGGGGACTTCAAGGATACCCTCATATCAGGAGATGGTAAGAGTTCCCGATATGACTTTTTGTAGCCCATACTAACCGAAGTAGCTTATGGTAGAGGCCGACTTTGTCAAACTACCGGGACATGCCAGACTCTCCTCGTCCGGTACGGTCAGCAGTCATGTGCCTTCGCGGGATTAAAAGAAGGCCAAGAGTACTTCGCGATGATTTTTCATCCATCCCGTCGTAATTCCTTTGCCGTGTTCTCCGACACAACATTCAAGATTCCTCACTCAGCCCCGACCCCGGCACCGCCATCTAGCCCGGCAAAGAAACGCAACGTGTTCGGTAAACACAGCTAGCTTCCGATGTGCTGTTACATGACTAATTGATTCCTAGTGCTGGGTGATGAGCTCGAAACTTTGGACGTCATGCAGCCACGAAAATGGCACGACGGTGAGAACGATGAAGGCGTAAAGGCAGTCATCGGGATCCCGACAGATAAGCCTACAGCGACGCTGTCGAGGAAGCGACAGCGAACTTCTAAGTAATAAGACTGCATCACCTCTGAGTTGGTACCACTCAGCTGTAAGGTCAAGTTGCGCGGGATCTGAGTGGGATGAAACACTGCTCATGCGTTCGCCATATGACTGGAGGAGATATACTCTGGATTGGGAGAATCATCTGAGAAAACATGGTACACCAAGCGAAGCTGGGGAGCATACCTAG